AGATTGGTGTAAAATTCTTGAGTTACTTTATTAAAATTCTGAATTCCTTTCATCTGTGCTCTAACATTTTATTAATTTGAAATTATCTTGATTGGTGGTGCTGTAGCAGTGATGTTTTTAGTTTAAACAAGATGAAGTTCATAGAGAAAGGTGGTATTTTTGATTGGACCTGAAAAAGATCTTGCCTGCGTGAAAATTTGACTATTAGTAAAAGTCTCTTCCTACTAAGCACCAGAAATTTATTTCATGAATCTTCCAAGAGGCCTTGAATATTGCACAGTCCAGACAATGTATGCTCTGGAATGGCTGTAGCCTCTCAGCCTTACTGGCTTCTATGTAAATTTCTATTTGACAACTCAGATTTTAAATTTTTGGAAGTAAAATGTTACTCTTCTGCTTACTTTACTTTAGGAAAATTATTCTTCTGTCACATTGCTGAATGAACTGCATGCTGACCATGCTAATCAGAGAATATTAATGCAAAGGCAGCAGCTGTCAAGAGAAAGCATTGTAATCTGTATTCCCCAACACTGGTTATAGGGACTCTCCAGTCTTGTTAAGCTTTTGCTAAATTTTTTGCTAAGTTAATTTTGCTAAGTTTCTTTTATAAAATGAAACTTGGTCACAAAGGTGAGTGACTGAAGTCTCTTAGCTACTGACCCAGCTTCAGTCAGGATGAAGATCTAATGCTTTGGATGCCGTTAATATTTCCTGTTTAAAGAGTTCTTTTTTTCTTGTGCAGGAGTTAGAATAAGCCCATCTGGAAGCCAGCTCTACAGACTGTTTCCAGAGCAGCAAGCAATACTAGTGAACTAAAGACCAAGCAATACCAGTAAAGATAAGACTGGTTAATTATTTTTTTTCTTTGATCGTGTCATAGTCCTATTCCATAGAACACTGATTTTATTTAATTTACATGCCAGCATATTTATACCCTGGAAAGAAACCAACAGGTGACACCCACTTCTGCAGAACACAACTGGACTTCTCTAAGTATTTCCTCTAAGTATTCTTTGTAAATGAAATGAGTCAGCTAAGCTGAACAGCATCACCCTTTTCACAGCCTGCAGGCTCTGTGGCAGGGATGTGTGGTGAGTGACAGGAACTGAGTAAGTTTGCATGCTGGTGGGAGCAATGAAATAATTTCTCATGCTAAGGCTGGCTGTACAAGCTGAGGTTTTCCCACTCACTGAGATGCTGTTTTTCATCTCCACACGCTGGGTGCAGCTGGCAGCTCCTGGCAGCTGCAGGAAGGCTTTTGCCATAATCCTCTACTGACTCCACTAAGCATAAGCTCACATGCTATGTAGAGTATCTATTCTCAAGCAAAAAGAGCACAGGGAGGTGCCTTGCTAATGCTTTAGTTGATGGTATTTGCCACAAAAGTTAGGTCACTGTATCTTAGAGTGACTCCTCTGTCACTCAAAATCAAAGTTCAGATTTTGGCTCCATGACACCATGGGAGAGGCCAGACTCTTCTTGTTATAAATAGTGGGATTTTGATGTGTGTTGCTCACATTTACCTGCCCTGTCCAAGTCACATCTAAAATACTACAGCCATCTCCTAACTAAAACCTTGGCAGGTTGTACCTAGAGTTTTCCTGTTTCATATGACTTTGCTGGCTCCAGGTCTTTAGAAATTCCTGGTCAAACACAATTTAGTCCATCTGCCAGACTGCTCTGTCCCAAAGCATAAATTACAAGCAGCTGAATCTCATGTTAGGGATGTAAATACAACTGACTTCCAACCCATTAATTCTAACTCATTGATCCATTAATTTCAAATCATTAATTAAATTCAGTGATGAGGAGATAGTCTGAAAAAAAAACCTTGAAGGATAAAGATGTTTTTCCAGACTTCAGTCAGTATGTCCACATTGCATCTTTTATGCAATATAAAACAAACACCAGGAACAACTGCATTTTATATTCTTGTGTTCGTGTCATATTGTTCTGTGTGAAATGTAGGAAACTAAGTCTAAATTAGGACAGATCTCTTGGAGGTCAAACCTGATACTGACTGTATGTGCTAAAAGCTGGCCTTCAGTGAAGTTTCATCTGAATACCAGGGAAAGGAAGAGTTTCAGACCCCTCACTTGCAGAGTAATGTATTATTGCAAAGAATTGTTTTCCCAGCTTTCTTCTGTGATGCTGAGCTCCCATGTGCTGGTTCCTTGTGCTGAACCAGGATATGAAAGGCTCAATCCTACCCCTTTGCAGTTTACTCTGTCACTGTGGGCAGGCATTGTTGCCAGAATAGAGCAGGTGTTGGCCTGTCCCCATCTCATCCTCTGAGTTTCTGGGCTGCTAGGGACAAGGCTTTTTACAGATCTGTTTTATGGACATTTGTGAGCCATTCAGACATAACCATTATGATCCATGTATTTTTCAGCTCCACACTTGTGACTTGTCTTGCAGTCAGCTGTGGAGCTCCCAGCTAGCTCAATTTCTAAAGTAAGTACTTACAAAAAAAACCAAAAAAAAAACCCCAAAAAACAAAGGCCTCATGATTATTTGGATTCCTAATCCTAGAAAAAAAAATTAAAAATTTGTTTGAAATCCAGTTCGCAACTTCTCAGTACTACAAAAGAGAAACAAATAAAATTGAAGAACCTGTTCTGTACACATTGGCCAATGGACTGGAAAGAAGGATTTTTTAAAATTCTTTCAGGGTAGGATGAAAAGCTGTAAAAGATCAGACTTCCTGATCAAGGGAAAGGATTTTTCTGCTTCTGTAATATCAGTCTTTTACCAAAATTAGGGAGAGAAGCAGGGAATTGCTACAATTTTAAGTAATACTGTCAGTACAGTACTTGGAGCACAAAAAGTCTAAGCTGAACAGAAGATTTCAAGTTGCTGCTTCTTTAGAAATCTCTTTTCACAGAGATCTGGGGTCAAATTCTTTTCTAAACTGTCTTGGCACCATACCAACAAAACGCTGCCAGTGTAATTGAGGGAGCCATTGTAGCTGAGGGAGCCCTGACTCCTGCTTTCATCTGGACTGTGTTGTCTAGGTGTAGTTTGACCTTTCTTTTACCCATGCTGTGACCATCTCGAATAATGTCCTTGAATATTGCTTTGAAATGAGGTGCATATTGTAGTGGCAGCCAGAAGATTGATTCCTTCTTTTTTAATCTGTGCAAACCAAAACTCTCTCATCAAGCATACTCTTAAAAAATCTGCTCATGTTTAATCTAGTGTAATTTAGAGCCTGGCAGCCACCAACTCAGTGCCTGTTCCAACTTTGTGCTGACTTCCTCTGCGACCCTTAAATCAGAGGATGATTGCTGTGGGGTCACCTCCAGAACAGTCTGTTGAGGACTCAGACGTTTTCCCTGTGGCTGCAGAATGTGTCTGTGCTGAGCTGCACCAGGTCTTGGGGAAGAGCTTTGCAGATGATACAGCATAACTTTGCATTTTACTGAAAGACAAGGATTTTCTAGTTTAGGAAAACAAATCCATTTCTTCATGCAGGTTGCCAGTGCTTTTGCCCTTCTTGTAACACGGTTTCTTGAAGGCAGATCTTTTAAAAGGGACCTTTTAGTCTCTCCTGAAGATTACACTCTTGTAGGGGTCTTGCCTTGATCTGTAGATTTAATGGCTTAATAAGCATTAGACCCTCCTATTATGCAGTAACAAATAGGAATACAATACTTTTATCAATATTTGGCACAATTAATTTTTTTTTTATGTGAAACTAAATATTGATGCTGTCAAGTGACTGCAGCTTAAGGGCATAAATTACAAATGTTCTCCTGCGAGCCTCGCTCAAATCATGCATTCATATACAGTAACCAACTAATGTCTTTCTATTCCTGTAAGCCATATGATTTGATTGCCAGATTACATGATTCTGTATTGTGCTTAGATGTCAGTGTTTTTATTGTTATTACCAATATTATGTTTTATTCTTACTGTAAGTAGTAACAAAAAATGAACTGCTTCCTTACACTATAAAAAGAATACAGTCCCATTTGCAGAATGTCTCTAAACAGAAAATATCTTTGGGAAGAAAAAAAAAAATTGAATAAATAATTCACAATATGATGAATGAGTAGAAAAAAAGGTCTTTTGATGTATTTTGCTACTCAGGACAAAACCAGATTTTTAAAATAAAGTAACCACCTATTTTAATGGAGAACAAAAGCTCTTCTAAAGAAGGATTGCAGTTGGTGTGTTTTTACCCATTCTGCACTTTTGCAGGTAACAAGACTTGTGAAAGTAATGATCCCTTTGATTTTCCTGATTCTTGTCTTTTTTCCATCCTCCTGTTTCTTCCTTAGCTTATTTCTTGGCTTATTTTCTAAATGAAATGTCAACCCACCCACCCAAAAGAAACCGTAGTATTTCAAGAATACCAGACTGCAGCAAAACGAACCAGCCTGTCTGTAATATAAACAGGCAACAAATAAATTCGTAAAAACCTTGGAATTAAAGTCTGCCAACTTAAAACTGCCCATGCTTTCCGCACAAGAGCATCCCTGGGAAAACCAGCATGTGCATTTTCCTGTTTTCTCACGAAACCGGAGGAGCTTCATCAGCTCGCAAGTGAACAGCGTGGTCCCTTCCCGCTGGGCAGGGGGAGCCCGGGCTGGCTGCAGCAGCGGGGCAGGGGCAGAGCACAGCGGCGTCGCTGCAGGGCGCAGTGCCAGCAGCACCCTCAGCTCCAGCCAGACCCCCGTCACAGCTCGCACTGCCCTTTGCACGTGAAGGGGCCGCTCCTCAACTGAGAGCCCATAAACGAGGGCCTGTCAGGCTCTGGGCTCATCCAGGTGAGGGGCGGTGGCTCGGGGGGCCGGCACACGGTGCAGACGCTCGGCAGCTGGGGGCGCGGCCTGAGGCCCTCACCCAGCGGCCCTCACCCAGCCAGCAGCGCGGCAGCTCCGTTCCGCCAGGCCGCGGTTCCGCGGCTGCAGCGCTGAGCGCTGCCACCGCTCAGGGGCGGGTGGGGCCGGGCGCTCCCCGCCTCAGCGGCTGCGCGCCCTCAAGCGCCCCTCAGCATGGCCGCGCCGGCGCCGGGCCCGCCGGTGAAGGTGCTGGCGGCGCAGCTGCGGCGGGCGGAGCGGGGCGCGGGCGGGACCTGGCAGCTGCGGCGGGCGGCGGCGGGCCGGACGCCGCTGTCCCTGCGGGCCGTGTGGATGCAGGGCACCGTGCTGGAGGTGCAGCGCGGCGCCGAAGGCGGCTCGGCCCGGCTGCAGGACGGCAGCGGCGCCTTCACCGTGCTGGGCGTGGAGCAGGTGCCGCAGGGCCGGTCGTGCCTCAGCGCAGGTACCGCGGGGCGGGGGCACCCCCGTGGACGGCGGGCCCCGTTCCTGCCCGGGCCCGGCCTAACGTGGTTCAGCACATCCCCTCTGCCCGGCCAGGCCCGGCGGTCGTGCCGGGGCCCGCGCGGTAGGCCCTGAACAAGGAGAGAGATTCTTCTGCTGTTTCTCTTTCCTGTTTTTTTCTTCTTTCTTTCCTTCTCTTCCCTTCATCAGAACTGCCAGTTCAAATGGACAAGTGTTGGTCTGCGGAATTGCAGAAATGGTGGTACGAAATAGATGCATTGCATAAAAATTTTGCCTTCTGACCTATCCTTAATCCACTTACACAGCAGACAAATGTGTTTGTTTGGCTCTTACTGTATGTGTAAATGTAGTTAAATATGCTGTAAAGGTGGCTGCACAGACAATGAAGCCTTTTAAGCAATCTTCATTCCTTGAATTTTCTTAGAAGCATTGGCATTTTCAGTTTACACTGTCTACTTGGCTTTAACTTGGCTTATGAATTAAAATGATAATACAAAGGTTAATTAAATTTAATGCTTACTTGTTTTTTAGGAAAGTATGTAATGGTGATGGGTGTGGTGCGGTCCTGCAGTCCTGAGCCCATTCTTCGAGCAATAAAGATGACAGATCTCTCTGAAAACCCTGTCCATAAGGATATGTGGAACCTTGAAGTGGAAGATTTGCAAAGAGTCATCCCCTAATACTTTTACTTTCTGCCTAAAATAACTGGAAATTTGGTTTCTTTTGCTTTTTGGTTCAGAACATTGGACTGTTCTCTGTAACCACTCCTGGAGTAAAGCAAAGTGAGAAGTTGGGCTCAGTTAAGTATTGGGACCAGTGCTTACCTGATAATAATCACACTGTTCATGTCTTCAGTCTCTTTTTATGCCAACATATTTGAGAAATGCCTATTTGATGTTTTGAGTAAGATGTCCACACTATTAAAGGGCTGTATGTTTCTGTGTGCGTTAGCTGCTGTTTGGGGAAGCAGGGCTTGAGGCAGGTGTTTTACAGCAGGGTGTTCACGGCAGCAAGGGCTGCACAGGACTTCTGTTACCAGGGTGAACTCAGTACCTAGCATGAAGGCAAATTTTGTTTCAAATCAACCAAGCTCTGGAAATAATGGTTTTCACCTCTATTTTCTATTTCAGCAATCACCATGTCATTAAACTACTTGTAAGACGGGTGTCTCTTGGTAACCATTAGCAGTGTCACCTACTTGAAATACCTCTCTAGTTACTGAAATACGTAAAGTGGTTATGACCCCTCTGTTCCAGTGAAGTGGAGTTAATGAAAAGATGTGATGTAGGATTCATTGGAATAGGGTTCTGCAGGTGCAAGATGTAAATACTTTTTACCTCCAGAACCAAGCATTCTATGCCTAAGTTCATTTTTCTTTTTGAAGTTTTTTTCTTCCAGTGTATGCTATTTTTAGCTGTTTAAAGAATTCTAAATTATATTCTAGTCTTCTTTCCTTCTCCTTTGAAAAAAACAAACCATTAAATCGTATCAAGCAGCCTATAAAAAGTAGAAATGCTACTGCTCTTTATTTTCCATCCTGTCTAAAGAGAATTTGAGTTTTGATGAATGCATTGCATTGTCTGTGTGGAATGGCTTTGTGATTGGGGACTGTATTGCCCAGCAATATCTCTGATTGAATACTCTACAATTTAGGATGAGAATCAAGTGGTGGCAATTAAATCTTTAAATTGTGGGATTAGGTTTTCAAAGCATGTGGAAACCAACTAGTGTCCTTTAAAGTTTTGAGATCTTTGCAGACTAAGGGCTGGAATTCAGAGTACAATTCCAGTCTTGAATTTGGTATTCCAAACCATACCACATCACAGGATAGTGGAAGTCCTGTGCTCTGAGATCCTGCAGATGAAATGCCAAAACATACAGAGATAAAGAATTTTGGCAGTCTGAGTTTATTGTTTGTAATGCTGGAAAAAAATTGACTTGTGGAGTGGTGTAGCCTTCCAGAAATAATCCATGTGACCAGCATATTGGCTGGTAACTGGTTCATATTAAAAATTACTTTCTTAGGAGTTCAAAGCAAGAGACACTTGTAGCCAGTCAGTACAACTGACTGTTGTACTTCTAAACAAAAGACTGCTGGAGATTGCTTTGACTCCCACCCAGCTCAGCTGTACTTCACCTAATGAGAAGCTCATGCTGCTTGTGGCTGTTTAAGGCTGGGCTGAAGGTCCTTGTTTCTGAATTTTCACAATTTAGATTTGTGAAGCTCTACTGCGTACTGGGAATTTTCCATTTTCCTCACCTTGTATCTCAAATTCTGCAGTTAGAACATGAGTTCGTGATTTTTGTTGGTGTTGTACAGCAGAGTATGTAACTGAGGAGTTACAGGATAAGGGGCTTCTTTAGCCCTGTGTTGAGGGAGGAGGTCATAGCTGAGCTCTTGTTACATCTGTTTTGGGGTTAACTTGGTGTAATATGCAGAAATTCTGTGAATTTTATAGCTCATGGGGGTTCTTTATAAAGAACATGTTGGAGGTGAGTTGTAAGCCCTAAAAAGACGCTGGGAAGCACGACTGCACCTGTCTGTGCTCTGCAAGAACAGCTGGTGTGTTCAAAGTGCTCTCACAGCAGGAGTTAGAGGCAGAAATTCCTGTGTTGTGGGGAGATCCATGAGATATGCAATGGGTATTATGTATTTGCCATATGGCAGTATAGTTGGTATACTGCATTTAGCATCTGAGGCATAAACACTTTGGATTTCTTCAGTCAAGGTGTACAGTAATGTGCAGCGTTGCTAGTAGTTATCTACTAAATTTTAGTCCTGCTAAAGCCAGGGCTAGTGCAGAGAAAAAAGCCAGTTTTGAAGTACTGAAGCTGAGGGATTGATCTGATAAATGCTTCAGTCAAACCCTCCCAAGATGCTTCTTTTCCAGAGGTTCACATCCACGAGGAATTGCAAAGGACTCTCAGTTGGCCTGAGGGCTGTTTTGTGTGGAGCTGGCACACTTACAATGGGCTTCCCCACATCCCCTGTCACTCTGGTGTTGTGTTTGCTGATAGGAGCTGCCATCTCTCCTCTGTTAGGCGGGAGGGTGACGTGTTGGCTCCATTTTTTAATTCCCCAGATGAGACGTTACCATGTAGTACATAAGGCGTACTTAAAGACAGTTTGGCTGAATGGTTTTATTGGTTTGTTAAAGGGTTTACATAGTACAGTCAAAGAACCCTGTGGCCTGTGTGGCAGGTGGTGTTTGTGTGGGCAGGTATTTGGTGACAGGTGTGACAGCACTGGCCTTTGAATTAACAGCAGAGTCTGGCAGGGAGCAAAGCACAGCTGCCAGTGCAGAAACATGGAGACAAGACTAGCACTAATTCATAGCTGTCATGTATAAACTCCAGTTTATGACGTGGAACATTTCCTTTAAGTGTGGAGTCATGTGGAGGTTTTTTCTTTTGGGGTATTTTTTTACCCTCACCCCTGATGTTAACCTCTGTTAGCCCTGCTCAGTGTAAGTGATGTCTCGTACATGCCCCTGTGTGCAGGAAGGTGCTCTGGGTCAGTGGGTGTCCAGCCCAGCCCAGGGGGTCAGCGAGGTTTCCAGCTGGCCTGTGCCTCTAGGGTCAGAGTGGGGTTCCTGCTGAGCTTCAGGGCTTGGAGCATGTCCCAGGGCTCTGGGAATTCCTGACTCTAAGGAGTATTTAGGCAGGAGCTCTGTGCACAGAGAACCTGGGAAGGAGCCCAGAGATACCAAACAACTGGGCTGAGTGAAATGGCTGCAGTTAAAAATGTTTATTGGTAGTTAAATGGCTTCTTTATTACAAGTGACATTATATGCAGCTTTTAGGGGAGACCTGGTGTGTGGATCCATCGCAGTGTTGCTGTCTGCAGTAAGCATTTAGTTAAATTCCTGTATTTCTGACTAAGCTCTTAATCTTTTCCTCTACTTGCTGATGTTTTTCTTTGTTCCTGAAACTCACCACAGGACATTTTTCAGAGGTGCTTGGTGTGCTTAGCTGGGATATGACATGATATTCAGTGACTGGGGAGAAAATTCTGTGTTTTTTTAATCAGTAACTGGTATAAATATTCTTTAACTTCCAGAAATATTTCATACAATTTTGGCTTTTTACAAGGGTGCAGGTATAAAATTATTACAGAGGAAGACTTGATTTTTAGCATCTGATGTGTGTGGGAATCCTAAAAATTGCGGGATTTTTACCTGACTAGTATAGGAATCATGTTTTAATTGGTATCAAGCTAGAGAGTAAGTGTTCAGAAAGTGAGTGCAGCTGCAAGCATCGTAAAGGAGATAAGAGGCAGCTGCGTGCTTTGTCTGTGAGCCAGTCAAACCCTTCCAGTTCAAACTCTCCAGGTCAGTACAACTTTTGTTGTTACGAATAATCAATAAAAATGTAGTCCAGCATAAAAATAAGGCAGTCAAATGTTTATTAGCATGATATCTTAGTACAGAATACCATTATTTCAAAGTTTGCATATTATGCAAAGACATTGGATGGATTTTGCAGTGTTACCTTTACCAATAGCTGCATTCCAGGCACTGTGTGGAGAAAGGTAATGCAATTTTTAAATCAAGTGACCTATAATACAGAAAGGGATTTAACAGGTGGGACACTCACACAAGAGTAGCTATAACACCCTAACGTTACTTCATGGGTAGGGTAGACATTGGTCACCTTTTCCCAACACATCAACTGACTGCTGCCAAGGGGGTTCTAATGGTACAAAGGGAAAATGTGAAACTGCTACACAGAAACCAAGAAGCCTGTTTCTCATTTAGCAGTGTGTACATTAATAAGGGAAAAATCAACCAGCATAAAAATGAGAACAATGATTAACTGCTTTCCATTATTTACCCATCTTATTTCTATCTTAGCCTTCTTGTGTGTTGGAGCACTTCCCTGGAAAAAAGATAGATGATTTTCTCCAGAACCACTGAACAGTGGAATTTCATTTCTGGAGAAAAAAGAAGTCAGCATCTCTGCTGACTCCAAGCTGATGATGCTGCTTTCAGTAGTCCACTTATACTAATCTGAGCTGGAAGAGAGCTTTTCTCAGCTTCTCAGTGTATTTTTGCTATGGGTCCAGGCTTGTGGAAAGGCAATTTTGCCACCAAATTAAAGAATTTTTTTAGAGTAACTGATACTTTCATGTCCAATTTCTTTTGGTTGATTATAGTTTCTTGTCAATATACTGAAATAATTCCCCTTGCCCTCAGGGGTTCTGAGTGGAAAGCTTTCCTTTTATACTATATATACTTCATTATATTCACAGTTAACACTTCTATTGTTCTCTCTTTGTTCTTGCCTCCCTAAAATAAATGTTCTGTTTTGGGTGCTGAAAGGGTTCTTCCATCTTCAGGGCTGCTATCTGCCCTTCAGAACTGGCTCGAGCTGAAATGAAGAGATGAAGTCCAGGTAAGTGGTAAGTACAAGTCACATGTATTGCAGCCTCTTATTACAGTGAAATACAAAAAATATCTGAAGGGAAGATAGCATCAGATACATTTATGACCTCAAAAGATTTTGGGGAAGGTACTCCAGTGTTTTAGATACAGTTTTATCTTAAATCACTAAAATGATATAAAAATGTAAGGTTCTCTCATATTTGATAAAATTCACATTTAGGAGGAAAAGGGCAGCATTATTTCTAAAGTTTATGAGGTCTGTGAGTTCATCTATTCAATGGAAGATCCTTGCCAAGCATGAATTTCTAAGAAATAGTGCAGAGGTAGTTTCTGCTGACAGCCACTTTCTGTTTTGCTCTCATGACTGTCACTGGTTATCAGTTACTGTGCATGAGAAACCTAACCATTACAGACTCTTTCACTGTGTCAAACCTAATTCTCCCTTAGTTTGGTCTGTTCAATTTCCTTCTATTTAGAGTGTTTACATATTTAGAGACTTAACTCATGTCTGTCCTCAAGCCTTCCATTTTTTCCCCAGAACTGTTCTCAACTTGTTCACAATTTAAGCAAAACATACTGTCCAAAACTGGATACTTAACCTAAATAGAGAAGTATTTCTTGTCTTAAATATGTTGATTCATATGTACATCCCCAATGTTACTTTACTTCTTTAATGGCATTTTCTCATTAACTGAGTTTGTGATCCACCTTCATTCCAATCCTTTTCCTCAGAAATGAGATAATGTAAACTAGCAGCACTAGCTGACTTCAATCATTCAGCTACCAAGCTATTCTAAAACTTTATTTTCAACTGAATAGTCTGTGTTCTAGATTTAACAAAATTTGTCTCTGCATTTCATATTTATATGTTCAAGTGTTGATATAACTACTGGAGCTAAAACCACTCACTACCTAAAAGATGCTACCCAGAAATGTCCTGATCATCCACTGCGTAAGAGCTGAGTGAACTGAACAGCTCAGGCACATACTGACACACAACAGTGCTTCAGCCTGTGGGAGTGTGATGTGATCACTTCTAGGTTTTTATTTCATGGCCAATAAACCCATCTACAAACACTACTCCCTTCCTTAATGGGTAAGAAATCAGCTAATAATTATAAATTTTTTAAGGCACACCACAAACGGGTTTGTAGTCACCAAATCACTCCTTTGAGATAGTAGTGAGTTTACAAATGCAAATAAATAATATTTCATTACATATATTAAAAACCCCACCCTTTTTTCATTACTAAGCCTCAGTTATGCATGGAGCATAAAAGGAATAAACCCATGTGCTTCATTTCAAGCAAAAGCATAATTGGGTCTTCTGCGTGATTCTGCCACTTATTTGGTGTAAATGTTTCCATTGCAGTCTTTTTAAAAATACAGTGAGTTACTACTTGGGCAAGAGTATCAATAATGGAACTCCAGTCACTTTTGGAATGCACAAATTGGCCCAATAACTACAGAAGTGGGAAAAGATTGTAATTCAGGCAAGTGCTACTGCTCTATTCAGGCTTTACATCTTCCTTAGCTATATTCCAGGAATCCACTTAACAGTGCAATCTGGATGACAGCTGCAAGTATTGATAATCTGGATATTTTAGGTTGAAAAGATAGATAAATTTCATTATTAGAGACTGAAAAGTACAAAAATAAGTCTCTGAGTATTTTGTGTCTGTATATGTTTTGTTGTAATATGAATCCAAATGCATTATTCAGACCAAAAAAAGATGGGACCAGAAATAGTATCCAAGAGGAGAAGCTCCTGGGAACATCACACAGTATTCTGCAGGTGTCCTTCTGCCTCTGTTACACAGCATATTAGGACAAAATAAGAAAGGCAGTAGAGGGTGTGCAGTGGATGGGCTCTGGTGTGCTGGTGAGTGAACAGCAGGAAGGGGAGGTTGCCAAGAGGCAAGAACGTTTCTGGGAATAGGATCTGTTTTGCTCATGGCCACAGTCATATTCATTAGTTTTATTTTCTCATGTCTCCTTGAATTACAGACATGTAAGTACTGGAGTAATGCAGTCAGAATATTCGAGGTGGTAAAAGAAATGAAACTTACCACTGTGGAGGGACTTCCACAGGGACAAAATTCCGGTTGCACAAATGAACAAAAGCTGCTGCTAAAGTGCAGGCAGCCCCCAAGGCCGGGGAGTCACAGGTGTCCTGTGTACACATGGTGTAGAATGGCTCGGGCTCCACCTGGGCACAAAGGGGTGGGTTAGGGGAGCAGGGGGACCTGCAGGTAAACCCAGGGGTTTGGGTTGTGTCCCCTCCCCTCTGCCTGGTTAGGACCATTCATAAACTTTTATTCTCTTCATAACAGCAAGGAGGTTATTTCTGTTTCCAAATTCTAGACCTATATCCTAAAGAGCAGTGCAGTCATGCCACTACTCCATGGAGGTCAAAAACCTCCATTTATATTTATATATTTTATACACCTTTTTTCTGTCTGGATTGCTGTTTTGATTACTTCTAAAGTTCTCTGCAGCTAAACTTCTGTATGACACATAATTAAGACAGTGGTTCTGGCTGAAGTTCTACTTACAACTTTGAAGCAGTTCCCAAGAAGTGAATGTGGTTCTTCAAAGAACACTTTACAGATGTTCTGCTTAGCTGTAATTGGACATGGCTTCTCTTTCTTTGGTACGAGACTGCACTTACTCACCTGGGAAAACATAATTACTGAAGTTGGTGTATTTTGGGGGTTTCTTGCATATGTCAGGGCAGAATGAGTTCTTCAGATTTCCAGTGTGAGCTGGTTTGAAGGATGATATGGGCAGTTCAGTACCCCACTCTAATGTTTATTCTTCATTAATATTGAGAGGCACCTTGCAGATTAGACCTTGCTTCCTTTTGCTATTGATTCTGTTATTCACTGAAGGATTTTAGTGTGTAGTTGCTGGCGTAGCAGGTAGTTGGCTAGTTCTCTTTTATATAGGTCTGACAGGTCAAAGTTGTTTTACTAGATCTTTCTGATGGAGAAAAAAAATCTTCATGCCCTTGCTGGATTATTCATAGGTAAAGGTGGCTTTAAAAAAAAAAACAGCTAAACCACACCACCAAGTTCTTTAAGCAAGTGTAAGTTGCAGTTATTTTAGTTGCTAAGAAAAATGAACTGGCAGTTTACTCTATGCTAAGCCTCACCCTGCAGGAGTCAGACACTCAGTCCCCTCCTGTTGTGCAGCCCTTCATTGTGGTGGTGGAGCTCTGCTAACGTCCTTTGCAATGTCAGTGCATGAGAAAGGCTGAGACAAAGTTCCTGGGAGCAAGCTGCAGTCAGAGTTCACAGTCAGTGTGAGCCCTTCCAATCAATAGTGCAAGTGCAGCCGTTCTGCCCCTAAAGAAGGGCACTTGGAACTGCCCTGCTTCTGCATGGCACTAAGTTTCTTATGTACTGCTTTTAATTGACTCTTTCATTCAATGTCCCTGGGGAGTTTTGCATTTTTATGAATATATCAGAAGTTAATATTTGTAGCAATTAAGAAAATTGTGCCTATGATCAGTCACATTGTGATCCTGCCCCATTATTAACGTAAACATAGGCTGCAAGCTCATTAACTGTCTCTGCAACAGCAAGTACAAGACACTTGAAACAATTCTCTTTTACAGTAAAGTACTGACATAAAGCTGAAAATGAGATTTCTGTTCCCAGAACTCAGACATGTTCAGTGAGATGGGATAAATGGAAGAGTCACAAAATCTTTGTGGTAATAAGATGCTGGTTCCTTTTCTTTTTGTTAATAGGTTCTTAAAATTGGACTTGGAAGGGATTTAGAGGATCTTGTCAACATGGCTTGAGAGCATGTTAAGGCTGCTTTTCTTGGTTGATTGCATTCACAAATGGTTCTGTCCAACTGCATGTTTGTGTATTTAGATTATTTTCAGCTGATGATAGAGTACGTGAATTAAGCAGAGCTATAATTTTACTGGTATAAAATTGTTACATTTATTTATTATACTTACAGGAGTCTTTTTATACACATCAGTGACTGAGGGCAGCAGCTAACCTTCCAAAAAGGTCTGAATACTTAGTGGTGAGGGGATGGAGAACAAATTTAGTAGTTACTTGTTTCTAAAGTTTTATTGATAAGATGTAAAATATGAAGAACAAACAGGCTCAACTGACCCAGCTAGAACTACCAGCTGTAAAGAGAACTTCAAACTGTGGCCTGAGTGATGAATGTACAGATTTGGCCCAGACCTATCCTGTAGCACCTGTCCCTGCATTCCAGGAAGAGGTGCTCTAAGGAGGAAGATATCAAAGATACTTGGCTCCAATATCAATTTCTTCTAAAACCAGCAGCAGCCACCTCTATGGTTTTACCTTGCTACCTAGGCCAAAAATATTCAAAGCCTATTTATAGGGAATTCTTGAACAGTTTTTAGCAAATATGTGCAACCTTTTCCTTGGTTAGACACAAAAACAGTGTAGTGTGCTGCTGTTTTCACTATTGAGCTTTAGTTATCTAAGCCAACCCAGTGTGTCTTACAGTGCACTCTGTGCTCAGCAGCCCTGCCCACTGGAGCCCCTCAGCCCATTACCTGCCAGCTCTGTGTGAACTCTTGCACGTTGTCAGTGAAGGAACCATTAGGCACCATCCATTCGTTTCCAGCTTCATTATCATTGGTACCAAAAAGCCCAGCTGAAATACCTGGGAGGAAATTGAAATGGACTAAAATAGGAGTTGTCAGTAGGTGCAGGAAAATTACAGCAGCTGTCTCTGGGTTCTGATTATTCTGTCCAGCAGAGCTCAGCTCTATTGTGGAAGAGGGGAAGCTGCCCAGCCTGCTTTGCCATCTCGTGTCTCAGCTGGTCATGGGCTTCTGAGCATATCAAGGCATCAGATCCATTCTCTGCTAATCTTTGGGGGGTGACTTTGAGAATAGTGTGGGGTACAGGGATGGATGGTACATTGACTGCATTCCAAGTATGCCAAAAAACCCTGTGAGGTTTTTGGCCTCCCTCTGTAGTTGTCTTGCACGTCTGACAAGGTAAGCCTGCTCTAGAGCAGATTCTCAACCAGGGTTTGGAGCTGGGCTGACTGTAGTACCTCTGATTTCTGCCTGCTTTATTGCATTGAATTAACAGTAACTAAAACTTGCTCCTCTCCCTGGAATGGTGCATTCTGTGCTCTATTTGGCAATTACTGGGAATGCCTAGTGCCATTTCCAGGGTGTCTATAAATGAAGAGGGGAAAAGCAAGTGAAAGCACAGATGCTGGTGCTAGCAGTAATACAGATAATTGAGAGACAGCAAAAATGAGTAACAGCTGACAACAGCTGTATGATTGATACTCACCGTGATGCCACCCAGCCAGAGTGATAGTACAGAGATCGTACTGAAAGTCACAAGAGACAGAAACTCCTTTCTGATCAGATACTTCGATTTTGTTGGTTCCTCGCCTTGAATTCATGGTACTGTTTTCAAGGGATTGATCCAGGACTTGGCAGTTCTCTTCCGCAGAGGAGAAGTTATACATCTTGGATATCTGTTTTAAAATGAGAATGCAGTTTCAAATCTGTTGTAGTGAAAGTTCAGTCACAGGCAAGCACAGTGGATTTGCAGGTGCGATGAGGCCAACTTTGCCCAGAGTTAAGGGAATAAGAACAGGGTTGTGTTAAACTTCTGAAAGAGCAGACAGCACAAAGCAACCTCTCAATGCTGTTTTCTTAGACCATATCAGAGGAAAGTTGAAAATTCGTCATACACAGAGAGCAAAGAGGCAGCCCCTGAGTTAAACTGGTTGTGTTTTGGAGAGGTATTTTCTTTTTAAGAAGTGGTTACTTTAAAGCCATTGCCTGAGGGTGCTTCTGATCTATGTTTTGAGTGTTAATATTTTAAAAACTAATTTTTTTATCAGTTGAAGAAATTTTTTTCCAAAAATAAAATATGTTTGACTTCATCTTCCTACCTTTAGATGTGGGTAGATAGTGATCACAGTCTGGTTCATCTCCACATACAGTGATCTTGAGTTCCTAGTTTCTTCATTTAGTATTACAGTGAAAGCATTGTGAGCAAAATCCTTGGCAAGAAGTACACTGCACTTCGATTCCAAATCATACATTTTTCCATCAAAAGTCACAAGATGCTTGGTCCCCACTAACATAGCGTGATCTGGAGAATGGTATTTCAGAAGAACTATCAGTGACTTTTCCACAGAGCAGTAAATGCTACACATACGGCAACACACACAGCTTCTTGCTGGCATACTCTTAAAGTAATTTCTCAGAAATATATTCTTCCTAAATAACATGATTTAAAGTGTAACAATTATTATTACACTGACATTACTACACTTACATTTTAATTAGTTACATTGTAGTTGCTCTGCAACAAATCTCAGAAACAAAACTATTTAATGATTTATTTTTTGTTACAGATTTACCTCAGTGCCATAAAACTTTGATAAATTTGAACTGGGATTCAAAGCTCATTGATTTGTCATTGTACTATTTGACAGTCATATTTATAAACACAGATACACATTATACATTCTTATGCAGAAAACACAAGAATATTAATTCTCCAAAATTGTCTCCAAAAACATCCCTTCCAAACCAGTGCATCAAACAGCTGCAGTCCAGGAACCCGTGCTGATACATGACTCAGATTACTGGGTCACCAGGACCTATTTCACAGCCCTCTGTCGTGTCTCTCCGTACTGGGAGGAAACCATTAAAAGGGTTTTCTGGAAAAGCAGTTATCTCTAAGGGACAGTTGGGACTGTTAGTGCATTCCTTCAGTATTTAGCAATTCTTTTACGGGCAGTACTGTCGCTGAAGTTTTGGTAGGGCTGAGCTTGCTCATCTTGGAGGCAGCAGAGGTGAAGTCACCAGTTTCCAAGCCTCTGTACCAGGACACAGCCAACAGGTGTGACTGGCAGCAAACCATAGTATCAGCTCACAGGAGCATATGGGTAAGGCAGATAAATACCACCTGCTGTTTCTAGTCTCAAGAGTAGGAAGTGTAAAGAGTTGCAAAATCTGCATGAATATTAAATAGAGCAGTGTTACTGCATGTCAGCTTTGCCCAGAGTGTTGATCTTACACATACCATCACTATATTACAAGAAGGACTATATGTATGTTGATAGGAAAATTATTAATTAGCAACCATCTCTATGTAAACTCCTATTCCAAATACAATTTTAAAAATAAAGAACTAAGTGGAAATAGACCCAGATACAAAACAAAGCAGCACTTTGAAAGGACTCACATTCAAAGGGGCTCTCCATCATCCTCCGTTTGAACCTATAGTATTCTGCAAGTATGTTGAGATTGTAGAGGTCTTGCAGAGGCCTCATCAGTTTTTCTCCAATGAGGTAAGTGGTAACATTTGCCAGCTGCAGGGACAGGTCTGCTGTAGGCAGTACTGGCAGCTTTCCTGCCACTGAACAGTTCCTGTGGAATACAAACAGAACACCCCTTATCTGCTGAACTGATGAAATGCTGTTGCTTTATTATTAGAAATGTTGAAGTGAAATAAGAACTGTAGTCTGGTTAGAACAGCAAAACACAACCCGACTCTGGCCAAGAGCTGCACTGCTCCAGGCCATCTCAGGCCAGTTACCAGTTACTGAAGCCTTGTTTGATGCCCAGTAGCTCCTTTCAAATACAGTGGGCCTAGCAGCCAACAGAAATAAACATTAGGATGTGATGTGACCAAAGCAAAGAGTTGCTGGGTGGCTGTCCAGCACTCTCAGCTGCACACTGACAGGAAGAGTAACTATGCACATATCCTTTTAGAACACTGCCCAGAGCAGGGATCCTGCAAAAACACCAGTTACCTGGGTGAAAAACTGTACAGGTTCAGCAAGGGCTTCTGGATCTTACTCACAGCTCTGGAAAACGTGGCATCTGCCCATCTGAGCACCTGCTGTGTAGCCTGTTGGAGAGTCACAGATTATAAAAGCAGTTTCAGTATGGCTTCAGGGCAGGGTCAGTAATTGCAAATGAGTTCTGAATCAAGTGCAAAATACCACTTTAGTGTCTCTTGCATTTGTGTCATGCCTGACAGCGTCTTGTCACATAGAGGGTTAATATTCAGAGGACAGATTCTAGTCACAACACCAAGAAATAATGGACAGAAATATATTCTTCCTAAATAACATGATTTAAAGTGTAACAATACTTCACTAAGTTAATGTGCTTCTGTAGCTTGGAAGGGACTGGTATCTTTAATAATATAAATTAGCCTCCTGATATATCTTTTATGCTTTACAACTAGAACAACCCTGATTTATTTGTACACTGTTTATTGGAATCACAATTTCTCCTCTCTATGAAAGAAAAGTAAAAGTTACATGAATGACAGATTACTGCTGCTGTGATTTCAACCAGAACTAGTAAAACAACCTCTCCTCTAGCTGGAAAAATACTCTTTCAAAGCAGGACAAATATTGCAAGAATAGTAAGTTGGCTGTGCACAAGCTTATTATGTGGAAAGATAACTGCACTATTTCCATGAACAAAACTAGTTAACTATTCTGGTGTATCCATAGGTCAAAGCTAAGACTTAAATTTGTATGCCCTGTCTTTCAAACCATTAGAAATGGAGAAGTGAGTTATACCAACCATATCCAAGCCTGCTTTCACAACCTTTAATGCCACCTGGATTGGTTCCATTAACCACACATCTTTTACAATCTTGGGTAAGAAAGCCTGGATTTTCTTCATGAGCTCTTCTGTCTTCTCTTTCCAGACTTCATCCAGTGGCTTCAAGGTTACATCGTAGTAGGCGTCCTTCAAAGTTGCTAATGGCTCTGAAGCAAACACATTAACGAGACAAACCTTAGCTGGTTTGGTACAAAGTGACTATTCACTTGTTTGTTTCCACCCAATTTCCAGCATAAGTGAAGGAGGAGCACAGAAAAGTGGAAGAGGCATGGCAGTCAGACACATTGTACAGCTATGAACTGAGAGCCATTTAGCTCAGACCCTGACCCCCTTATAAATAAATATATCGTTGCTGTCCAAAAGGAGTGTACAGGATGCTCTGCAATGTGTCCCCATCAGTACTGCACAGCCTGCTCCTGCTGAGCAACAGGATAGTTTGGTCACAACTGGTTTCAAGCACTAATATCAACCAAATTCAGCTTTTGAGTGGGAAGAGCCTAGAGCTAAGTAGCCCTAAGTGAGTTTTTATCCTTGTGAGAACTGAGGGTTCTTGCAGCTAATTCCAGCTGACCACATTTCTCAAAGGTTTCAGTATGGGCCACAGTCCAGCTGAGCAGTGAATTAGTGGCTACTGGATAGGCTTGGAAAATACCAGATCAAGTGAAATCCAATTAGTACAAGCATTAAAACCTCAAGGATGGATATGAACAGCCCTTTGGGAGGAAAGGTCTGCCAGGGAACTGTTAGTAGAAATACTTCAGTTTAGGAATTAAGGACTCTGTTCTCATCCAATGGAACCCAGCCTCCTGCAACCGAGAAAAAGCCTCACCACTGATTTCATTAGAAAGGTGCTCACACAGAGCCCTCTTAGAGTTTATTGCATCAAGGCTCCCCACTCTGTACACAAAGAGCCAAGGTCAGCACTTCTTGCTCAATAAAAATAGAAACCTTTGTGTTGTTCAGTATGTTTTATAGTTTACAATGAAGTTTGGTTTGCCCTGCACTGACACTGTCCCTATTCTTACTTTGCACAGTTTTGCTTACTTTGTAATTCATTCTGCATTTGCCAGACAACATCTTGAATTTTCTCCAGGTAAAGTGGGATCCTGTTTCTCAGAATGTGTCTGATTCCACTTTGCTTCCACACCTGGGTGACAGCTGTACCCCCACTGTGCAGGAATCCTGCTGCCTTTTGCAAGGCCATTGAAGGCCAGCCAGCTGCTTCAGACAGGAAACCAACATGCTGCACCTACAGTGGTTCCAAAAAAGAAGCAATTTCAAAACACAGTGATCTCAAGCAAAGCTTTGACTTCATCACGAGGTAATTCTGACTCTGCAGTGTTGGTGCAGAGATACAGGAACTCCACCATTAAACATGTTTTTTGTCTCTATGAGTTACAGGTCAGCACAGGAGTAATCACTGAAATGTTTGAGCAAAACAAAACAGCTGTAGGCAATATAATGATGTTTAATTAACATTGCATGAACACTTCATGGTATTTTCATAGATCATGTACAGATACTTACTGATCTCCTGAATCTCCACAGGTATCCATCAAACTTCTTTATCTTCTCTATCAGTGTGGCTTTCAAAAGGCTCCCAATTTCATTAAGCTTGTTCTGTAAGAAGATTATTAAAACCTTGAATTCATTACTTAAAATTGCTTGTGCTGGATTCAAAAGTTTGTACTAATTTAAATGCTGGCAAACACCCACAGTGGCCTCACATTTCTTAGGGGAAGCTACTTCTGCATTATTCAATGGATAGACATGGGAACAGAAAAGTCAGATGATAAAAAGTGTTCCCCAAGTAGAGAGTATGTGAAACCCAACTAAAAGTGAATGCACGTTCAGGATTCTAATCATTAGTTTTGTAACCAACACGCTGAGCAGTTACTGGTGCTGTCACTTTATTTACTTGCCCTCCTCAGAGGATCCTCCCTTTAGAAGAGGGTCCTGTATTTTCTATCTCTAGGCATGGCTGAACTTCTTAATTCTCACCGTGGTAACTTTTTATATCAACGTGAAAATAATGAAAACATTTCATAATTTTGCCTGGTTACTCACCAAAATTCACACCTGGAGCCTACACGGAAGGTGCTCCATCAAAATTACAAAATCAAATATTGTGAGAAAATCACGCTGCAGTTAACAGCCATTCAAGGGTCTCACCTCAACCTTAAGAACTGGATCCCCACATCCATGCGCCAGAAAACTCAAGCTTCCATTAGCAGCTGCTAGAGTCACTTGTCCCACGTTTTCCTGCCTTTTACCATTGATGCTGAGATACGTGTTAATGGCAGCCATCTGTTGCCCATCAGAACAAGCACTGAGTTCCACTCCTTCTTCCAAATCCCCTTAAGGAATGAAAAGGGAGCACTTCATTTACAGGAACAACACTGACAGACATTGTTTCAAAGCCAGCCTTTAACTACTTAGGTGATCAGAGTCTGAGCGTGTTAGGTGTGGAGGAAAAAAAACCCAAACAAAACAGAAGATATAAACAGGAGATAATGAGATCAATGTCACAATTTGATTTCTGTGTGGCTTGTCAATGAATTACAAATACAGATTTGCTACTGCAAAGGAAGCAGTGGATTAATGTAAATCTAAATCTCTCACAGGTCACACTGATTTACAGGCCTTTTTTTCTGCTTAAGTACTCAATGTCCCTTGTTGACGATGTTTGAAAACTGCTCAGCCCTTAAATGAAAGCCTCTCAATTCTACTCATCACACACAAACACACACGAGTCGTTTCTACTCTGATGAAACTGATGAGCATAAACAAAATGCAAAGTTGGCAAAGTTCATGTACAATCTGGGTTGAGGGGGCTAAGCAATTTCTACAAATTTCTGACTTCAGTGATTCACAAACTAATGGTCCCAATCTCAAAAACATTATAGGACTTAGAAGTGAGGACTTGAACCTGAGAGAAACTCCCCTGCAGAAGTGTGGAATGGCAAAGCCATAAGTGAAACAAGGGCTGGGACTGTCAGCAACATGAGTTTGAGACAACTGAGATATCACCGAATTTATTTGGTTTGCACACAGCTCTAATGTAGCTGAAATGTGGATGAGCCCCACCTCTTCCAGCTCATTTCACCTCACTTATCTAGAATTCAGGCACAACTTGAACCTTTTTTTAGCCTTTTTTCCCTCTCCATTGTCAGTCAGAGCTGACTGCTGTGAGACAATCACCTGCAGCCAGTGATTGCACACATCCTACTTCACACATCCCAGTTCATACAGCTGTTCCAGCATGTGGACAGTCAGTCTCTGGAGGTGCCTCTCTCATTTCCTTTATTGAATTTGGAATGTAATGATTATCTTAAACAAGGCACAAAACTTTAAGATGGTTAAGTCAAGAGGAAATTAATCCTAGATTTTCTTACCATCTATTGTAATCATACAAAAATGTCTCCCAAACTCACCTTTATAACAAATTTTATGCTTCAGCTTTTCTTTATCTGAAAGACCATAGCTTGAATGAACTGAGCTAGCTCAGTGCTAGAGACACAGCCTTTCTTCCTGTCTCTTCTTAGCGATGATACTGGGAGCCACAGAATAGCTCCAGCTGGAAAGGACCCATAAGGATCATCCAGTCCAGCTCCCTGCTCTTTGCAGGATGTCCTAAAACTAAGTCCTGTGGCTGAGAGCATGGTCAGTGAGGTACATACCTTGCAGATGCCCCATGTAGTAGTGAAAACACTCCTTTCCTTTTGAAGCAGTGACTTTTACTTTCTCTTTCTGATCAATAATCCCCTCCACCAGGATTTGGCTCTGGACAGATGAGGAAGCAGCAGTTCCTGTCAGGCCTAGCCAAATATCTTCAAAGGCTCTTAACTGCAGCCATAAAGGACAAACATTTATTCAAAGCCACCACACAGAATTAATGATCATTCAGAGATGGTGCTCAAATATCAGTGCTTCCCACAAAAGGGTAAGTGGTGAGGGAAATGTTTCCCAGTGTTTGTGTACTGTGCAGGAGTTACACTGACAGAGGTACAAGCATCAGAGTGATTGGACCAGGAGCTGAACAATTGGATAGCACGAGGCTTGTGGACAAAATTTTAATGGAAGCAATGAAAGAAACATAATGTCCCAGCCAGTTCTGTCTGAGGCTGCTATTTTGTACCATTTATTCCAAAACACAAAATGAAGCAAGCTCATGCAGAGCAGCTTTTCATCTCCCTCCTCTCTAAAGAGAGAGGAACGGAAAAATAAGTTAGTATTTGTTACTGATTAAATCATCATCATAATTTTGTTAAAGGATGATCTATTATCTCAGTTAGTGCCTGACTACCCACATTCCTGCTAATTGAGAGTTTGAATGGTGCCAACCCCGTTAGTTTTTTGCCCCACTCTGTTGTCTCCATCTGCCTCTCCACCATATTAATTTCACAGGAAATTAAAAGCAAATGCAAAATAGTGGGGAAGGGGAGAGAAAAAGGGAGAGATTTGTCTCAGAATAAGCAACATATGAGCTATTCTGTGCCTTTTTTAGGTGTTTTTTTGCCAGGTTTTTTTCTGGCAAATGATGCTTTGTGTAAACGTTTTATTTTGTTTCCCTCTTTCTTCTGATGCGGTGAAAACTCCATACCTCACTCAACAGAGCAGTCGTGCTGAAGGGGAGTTATAACAGCTCTTAAAATTGATACCCTCCACTAGAAACACGTTTCATTTGTGTCAGATCTACAGAGAACTAATGTTGGTGCCTTGCTTTGTTGGTCACAGTGCATGGACACTGCCTAACTGTTCCTTTAGAGACGGCACTAAAGAAACCAGGAGTGTTTTGTGTTGCCTGCTGCTTTATAGTCACTGCCTGTGCCTGATCTGTTTGGGAGATGGATAGCAGCAGGCCTTTGAAAACCAAACCCCAGTGTCAGTAAAATAAAATAAAAACTCACTTCAATTTCCAGAGAGTAGTTCTTCACATCAGCAGTGCTCTGATTCTTTATGGATATTCCAATCAACCCCTCATCTTTTCCATGATCAGCAAGGTGGAGTCTGCCCTCTGACTGCAAAATGATGTCATCTTTGTTGAGCCGGTGCTTTCCAGATAAAACAAGTACCTGAGTATTCACAGAAAAGGTGTTAAAGCTTCCAAATTATTCCAAACAAATGGGCTCTGCTTTGAGTAGTAAGAAGTTGTACAGTGGCAGCATTCTCATGAAATTACACCAGGAACAAAAACTTGTAGTTTCAGAAACCAGTGCATCCTCCTGCTCCTCACAGCACTGTCTTCATTACATCTTCAGTTTCTGTGCTCTAACAAAGCACGTTCAGTGATTACATCCTAAGAGCAGAGGAGCAGCTGCAGAGAACTATATTTTGTTAAAATGTCCAATGTTTTTTGCTCCTACATTTCTCAGCTACTCTAACCAGACGTTTTGATAAAGTTGGGGGATACATGGGAGGTGAGGTGAATGTTGTCCTGATTTCAACTGGGATAGAGTTAATTTCTTCTCAATAGCTGGTACAGTTTGGGATTCAGAATGGGAATGGGGTTGGTTACACACTGATGTTTTGGTTTTGCTCAGTTGTTATCCTAAGTCAAGGACTTTTCTTTGTATGTCTCTCCTGCTCTGCCAGTGAGAAAGTGCACAAAAGCCCACCTGGGACAGGTGCCCCAGCCTGGCCAAAGGGATATTCTACACCACAGAATATCATGTCCAGTAATAAACTGGGGGGGAGTTACCCAGAAGGGGCAAATCTGGGTTTGGGAAGCGGGGTATGGCATTGGGCAGGAGGTGATGAGCAATTGTATTGTGCATCACTTCATTTAGTTTTTTCCTTTTCATTATTATTAATAGTAGTATTAACTGTTTTTATTGTATTTTACTTTGTTTTCAATTATTAAACTGTTCTTACCTCAACATACAAGCTTTACTTTTGATTGTCCTTCCCATTCCACAGGGAGAGGGGAGGGAGAGAGGGGGTTGAGTGGCTGTGGTGCTTAATTTCCAGCTGGGCTTAAACCATGATGCCTTTGAAAAGAATGATCCAAAAGTACAGAGGCACCTGTTTTTGGAGTGACATGCATATACATCCTTTGCATTATAAACAGGTTCTATCACACCTTGGTCTGGGAAAAAGTTTTCCTGTTGCTAACAGAGTGTGATCTGTTCTGACAGTAAATAAGGAAACCAAGATATGTTTCAGCCACTGGGAACTGGGGAGAGACATTTATTGCAGGTTCCAAGTTCTGTGTTTGTGAGTGTCTACAAGCAACCCTGAGGACCAGCATGCACCTAAGAAAAGTCATGGGTGGGCCTTCAGTTTATGTGTGTAATAGAAAAATAAGGTTACATTACGGTTCAAAAATCTATCACTACCAGCAGAGCAATCATAAAAACCAGCAGGCTTAACCACAGGGGAAGGAAAGCACTTTTACTCCTCTCTAGTTTTCTTTTTGATCACTTATAAGCCAGTTTTGGTATTCTCCAGAAACATGAAATTAAGATACTTCTGAAAGAGGAATAGGAAAGAAAGAACATGGAGAAAGTGAGAATGTTTACAGCCATAAAAAGACCTACAGAATACACTATAGTGATAAACAGAACCTTTCTGCTTCAGTCCATCAAATGACAATGTCTATTTTTAAGTTATGGATGTATGTAAGTCTTCTGAAGAGTTGCAGCTGAGGAGAACTAAGTCTCCAAATGAGTAATTACATTTCAACTGAAGTAGGTTCAATGTGTTTATGTCAGACTTACATTTGGAAGGTCACAGAACTCAAAGCTTGTGTAGTAATCCAGACAAGAGCCGTAGTTGGTTTCTATTTTACCCAGAATCTTCTGTTTGGTACATGGGGTCAGGAAAATATTTTCCAGAACCACTTCTAACTGAAATTTGTCAGGATACAAGAGTTGATTTCTCTGCGATGAACCAAGACAATAAAGTTTAAAAATGACAGCAGAATTATAAACACTCGTTGGAGCCCACTCATCCCATCCCTGGAGTGGCTTTTGGATTAGGTGGCTTCAGGATTTTAATGTAACATTTCCAAAACACAGCATTTCCACTTGACAATGTTTTAGCTTACCGGCCTTGTTACTGGTAACAGCCTTACCAGCCTACAAGTTTTGCAAATTTAGGGCACAGGTGAGGCCTTTAGTTTATAAGAACCCTTTCTTCCTTAACTAAGCTCCATTTAGCTTTCTTTCCATATAGAAAAAAACGTAAAGTGAAATAATAATACTTAAAACAAATGGTGCTCTATAGAAGCTTTCTTAAAATCCACTAAGCATTACATCTAAAACCAAAATAATTTCTCATCTACTGAGAACAGCTTCCATAAAAATGGTGAGTCAACAGATACAACTGCCTTCTCTTACCTCATACGTGAAATTGTGTTTGAATTTTTTGTCATCCCAGTTCAAATCTAGATATTCATTAAACAGTGTTGGTCTTTGCTCTAGAGACCCACATGCATGCAGGTTTTCCATGCTTAATATTCTCTGAAGCTGGAAAAGTGGAAAAAATTGACATGTGTAAGTAATTTTTTTAAAAAGTATATCCTTGGGGAGTAGGTTTGCTGGGCAAAACCGCAACCTGTAAGAACCCCTGGATGGTCTACACCCATAAAACACTGCTTCAGTCTCTCCCAAAAAAACAGAGGGGCTGACAGCTCTGTCCTGAGGGAAAGCTGCAGCCCAAGTACAACCATGTCTGGCAACATGAAACAGAATTTTTCACAGGGTTTATTTTTCTTCCTCTGAGGCACAAAAAGGTTGACTTCAAGGCTTTCATATTAAAAAAAAAATTATTCTGTGAGGATCAAACACAGCAATTCGGCTACACTCACTACACTCATCCCTTCCAAGGGACGTAAGACTCATACCTGGCCTGCAGAGAGTGTCACACAGCCACCCCAGGCAGTGATGTCCATTTTGGATTTATCCTCCAGGCCCAGCCAGAGGTGAGCAGGCTGCCCAGCATTCCCTGAGACCTGCAGCTGAAAGCAGAGAAGGATTTGTCCTGCAGCAAGACTAGAACCAGCAGAATGATTCCCAACCAGTAGAGGAAAACAGATTCACAGTGAAAGCTCTCACAGATCCATGTCCAAACTCCATGGAATTCTGTGGTCTGGAAGCTCCAAGGCCTGAGACAAACACAGGGAAGCTGCACTTCTATAACCAAGGCCATGGAAGGCTTTTGTTACCCTCTCTGGAATCTGCCTGGGGTCTGTCATGCAAAGTAATTATTGGCACCACTGCAATAATGACCCCACAAGAGAACTTATTCCTCTGAATACAATTCTGGAACCATACTGAGGAGTATTGTGCAAACCCCCCTGAGCACCAAAGAGCTTCAGATGAACAAACACTGCACAGCTGCCAGCTTATTGCTGAAAGTCTTCAGCCTCAGCAGCTGCAGTGTCCTGACCAACATTATGCATTGTCAGAGAGAAATTATACTGTAGTTGATCTTGAAAGATGATTTGTGGAGTTCCTCCTCCTCTTATCCCCTATATATGCTTTGCAAGTGCACTTCACAACGGTAGTTTAAAGTGTTTCTAGCCTTGCACATTTTCACATTTGTGTTGCAATTTCCTATACAATCCATAAATTTACATTTTCTTCACAGGGGTATCAAAGGGTTTCTGGTTTGGTTTTACTGTGGGGAGTTTTTTGTTTGTTTTTCTTCTGTGTTCAGACTAGGAGTTTGTTCATTACTTTATGGACAAAATTTTCCTCATTTTCATTGCTTGGCTGGTTCCTGGGCATTTCTAGGTTCCTCCCATCTAAAATGGGTCAATGCTAAAAGTACAAGGCTGCTGGCGAGGAAACAATGCTGGTGATTTGGACACCAGGGGATAAGAGCACTCAGTGCTCTTTACATTTTTCAGGATGATTTCTGGTTCTGTGGTTCTCAGGGAGGAAAGGCACACTCACAGTAAATGCAGCATTACAGCTCATGTTTTTCAGCCCAGTCTCATGATCTCACCTGCTGGTTGTACTTTCTGCCCTTTCTTTCTGACAGGGAATGCACCTCCAGTTGCTTCAGAGTGTAATTAAATGGGTGGGCAACAGTGGCTCTGTAGCTTGTCCGGTGTCTTCCAAACTTCAGAGAAGATGACACTGATATCTGATCCATATCAACAGATGGAAAAGGAACTTGTGAAATGAAACACCTCTCACATACTGACCTCAAACATGCACCCAGCAAGATTTCCCTATACCTTGTCCTCAGGTGAATTATGCGCACAATAAAGTCCTTTCTGAAGAAGTGAGGCAAATTAATGTTCAAATTAGGACAATTTTTGCTGCTTGAATTCCCTGTATAGCACAGCTCAAAGCAGAACTACTCTCTGGATTTCCATCAAATCATGAACAATGCTTAAGTTTGTTGAGGCTTAATTTTGGTCTTATTTTTAGGCACTGCAGGCTGCACTGCCACGGTTATTAGACACAGCTTTCAAAGTTAAAGCACAAGAAAAAGTCTTTGCTTTATCAGAAACTAAATTCTGTTATGTTGTTGAGAGCAAAATATTTTTGTGGCAATTTAGAATGTGGTAGCATTTAGATAGTTGTGGTAATTTAAGCAGAAGTAAAAAATACATTCTATACAACTGCTAAAATAAATGTTGTAATTTTAACACTTTTTAAAGAAATAAAATAATTGCATGCTCTTTGCAGCCACATTTATGTTTATGTGTGGTAGCATATTTTATACATCGTCTTCTATCTTTCCATTATTCAGAAAATAATGTAATACTTATCCAAGGTGCTGCATTTCGGATGTACATGTAAGGATAGCACAGTTAACAGCAAGTCAGAAAAGTGTCCCCAGTTAACCACATCAGGAAATCAATCTACCCTATGTTCTCCTAGTTCTGTCTTTTTCACTCTTGATATTTCTAAAAAATAGACCTGACTTATTTTATGAAAACAGAGATTGGATTCAACAGTTCCACATCTATCAGTCTTGCTAATAAGGAGAGCAAAAGAATAAAATACGAAAGAGCCGCGGCTTTGGCTGAATGCTAAGCAAGGTATGTGTCCACTTCTGTGTGTGTAAATCCAGGATTATACCCATGCAACGAGTTCTTCATCCTTTTCAATCTCAGCTAATGCTCACACTCGCTCATTTGTCTTAGATTTTATTTCCTTGTCCATAAGGTGCTTCATGACCTTTGTGCTATTCTTCCCACCTACTCTCAGAGGCCTTTACCCAGTGCTTTGAAGCTTATGCATTTCATTACCTTTGGTTAAGCAGCAAGGTGTGGGATTACTGAAACAAAAAGATATTATGGCCTGAAAATACTTCCTACAAGAATATCAACGGCTCATCTTTCACAGTCAGAACTTTTTATACATCCAAGAAGGGGGATAGTTTGCCTTATAGTCAAGTTCCCTGGCTTGCTAAGTGTCTTTTTTAATTAAAAAAAGACCTCTTCTTGACATTCTTGTTATTCTCCTGACATTTATTTGCTCTGGGCTACTGTACCTTGTCCTTCTCATTCCAAACTACAGTAAGATCATCCCAGTGACTGCGTGCTGAATGTTTCACATACAAGTTGACCCAGACATGTCGTGGAAAAGGGATGGAGAGAGGATGGAGAAGCTCCACTACAAAGAAAACAAACAAGTCAGATTTCCCACCAGGAATCATGACAGTTCCCAGGACATTTTCCCACAGGCATCAGGACATCCCTTGGTTCCCAGGGAAACATGGTCTCTGCTCACACGCACACCCCCCTACCCAGCAGCCACAAGGACTTCACTGTGCTGATGTCTGCTCCACATGAGGAAATATAAGTGAAAACAGGAACCCTCTCTCTATGTACTGGCAGAACAGTAATTACCTGCAATAACCAGAAGATTGACAGCTACACCCAGAGCAAGTGCAGCAAAAACAGCCAGGGAAGTAACCTGTGTGAAACTGAGACAGCCTTACACTGGAAGAGGAACAGCTTACAACACTCAAACAGGTAAGTGCAGTTATCTTCTCTATTTTCAGATCATAAAGCCTAAACATAAGGGTTTAACACCTCGAGGTAGCAGCCAGTGTGACCAGTGTTCCCTTCAGCACCCAGTACTTAAGTTTTATGTTCCATATCCACAAAGCAGAAAGAGTATTCTGAAGTGGACACTTCTAACAGCCAGACCTATAATGAATTTGAAGCAAATAAGACCTTAGAAGCCCTAAATTTGAAACAGTATTGAAATGCTTTGGACATGCATTTTGAAATCAGATTTATGTAGCTTATTTTATTGTCTGCTTTGAACACTTGTAAAAGACTTGAGAAACCTACCCTGCATGCCATGACCTCCAGGCAGCTTTGGGAAGAGTCCAGTGTAAGTGCCTGTTAGCTTTATCTCTTTGCCATCCCACAGGGCAATGTGCCTTAGCAGACGAGTTCTGTTACCTTTTTGGTAAATTGTCATAAACACAAGCTGCCTTGGAAGAATTTTTAACTAAAAATAAAAGAGGGCAAACATTAAACTCCAAGTTCTCTGAGAAGGTAAAACCTAAGTATAATTTTGGTACCACAAAGTCCTTTCTGTAGGAAAGTGTTTTTAAAGGTCTAGCACAATGGTGCTCTAAGCCCACTGCTCTCGTACAAGCTACTATTCATTTCTAATTGTCTTCATTTCTACAGAAAGTCATCTTTGCAAATAATTGAACATACATAAACAATTGAGTATTCCCTTTACAACAGTCTTTGATTATTATAGTTTGATTTTCTTTTATCTCACAGAATAATCCTTACAACATAAAGAGTCCCACAGAATAAATCCAGCAGATAGCACAAACAACAATAGGTATTTGTGACATCTTTTTGTATTTAGAGAAAAAAATGTGTGGTACCTACATTATAAAAACTGGTTCAGTTTGTAACACATTATTTTTCTTATTTACTATAAATCCTATGTGAGTGCTCCATCTATAGGAGCAAACAAATATAAGCTCAAACTAATCCACAGTCAAATGTTTGCTCGTACTACTGGAGAAATGAAGGGCAAAACACTTCACACAGCAGGAGCTGCATTTGGCCCTCACTGCTTGGCAGCCACCCCCTGAGTGCCCTCCCACCACAGCCTGCCTTTGCCATCAGTGGATGGTACCAACCTGGGCCATGGTCTGTGCCACTTCAATGGCATTAGTGAAGCTGCTTCCCATCAAAGTTAGCTTTGCTGAAACATTGAAATCCCTTTTCTCCATCCTGAGGTAGAGTTTGCCTTTTGCTTCACTCATATCATAATTAACCTTTTTAAGTACCCATTAATTTAAAATAAAAAAGAAAAAAAAAAGGGGAAAAAGAAAAGACTGGGATTGTTAACATCTTTAAAAACAGGAACATCCTCCACAATAACAAAAATGTTAGAGATACTAGTACTAGAATTAAAGCAGCTTGACTCCTAACACATTAGACAAGGCTACTTTGCAGTGATGTTTGCAATGGATTACTTGCAGATAGTTACCTTAGAAGACAGCTCTGCTGCACAGGGGAAATATTGTAGAAAGAAGGGATGATTCTGGAGTGCTTTTATACTCAACTCTTCACTAAAGGGAAGAAATGTATTGTTCAACAATATTTCAGAAACTCTTGCTGGCAGCACAAGTTCATCTGAGTTAGCTCCAAGTCTGCCCCAGCTTTCAGAGTTAAAATGGCAGTACCTGCCACTGAACACTTACCCAGCTCCCAGGTTTTGATGCAGTCACATAAAATGACAACTTCTAAGCTCAGTAAAAAATCTGTGTATGTATCCCAGGGACAGAATGTAACCCACAGGACCAGAAATCACTTTGCCACAGCAAATGCATCAGCTTTTTAAAAATGAGAAAGGTATTTTGGAATCTGACTTCTCAAGCACTGTCATGGTTTATAAATTTAGAATTTACAATTATTAGAGATTTTAACAGAACTTACAAGACTTTTCAGTGCAAGGGTCTTTTGCTAGAAACTTAAGAAATATCTGAAATACCCCAAGGCTGAAAATATCATACCTCTAAACACCCTTAAAAGCCTACAATTTTGTTCAGATACAGCCATACTGATACCAGCTTGGAAAACCAAGTTGCCATAATTTTACAAGTTTCAACTGTGCCAAAACAATTTAAGATTTCAAGTTATGTCAAGTTACATTATATTTTTAAGTACTTGTCTGGTTCAGGCCTAGAGTTTCATGGACTCTTTCACTGTCTGCTACTTGGTTTCTGTGTGGGCAGGCAGAGAGACAGGTCCCAAGCTATGAGGGGAGGAATCTGTCTGCAGCCCTTCAGAAACTCCCTGAGGTTTACAGAGCATTTGGTGACTACTCACTTCATCCAAGTTTTGTTATCCATTTCACCACTGATTTGGTGATTAATACAGTAACTGTTTTCCATGGACTCACAGTGGCCTAGTGACATTTTTTATAGTGCTCAGAATGACCCTTTTACCCTTGCTGGTCTTTTTTTCTGCTGATGGAAAAGGAGAAGTTTTTGTTTTGTTCATAGGTCAGCCTCAGAGCACCTTCAGTTTCATTTTCAGTCATGACTTCTTGAATTGTCATCTGTGGAGGGGAAAAATAAACAAATCACATGCATAAATTCTACCCATCATTTCACTTCAACTGAGCACAATCTCTTGACTCACTCAAAACCACCATCTTGACTGAAGCTTATCTTCCAGACAGGCCTTCTGGATGCTTCCTACATGTAAACCAAGAGCCTCAAGAGAGGTCTTTCTTTTTTTGTGTATGTTTCCATAGCTACTCGTTTCCATTATTGACAAATATTAGTGTCACTTTCAATGTAGCCTTATCTAGTTTAAGTCTAAAGCTACTGGCTCTTGTTATTGTCTCCCATACTCTCATTTTTATATACTAGAAAGAAATCGTGTGCTCTTTTATTTTTGGATTTTTTTTGTTTTTCTGTTTTGTGTTTTGTTTTAGGTTTTTTTTGGTGTGTTTTGTTTTGTTTTTTTTAAGAAACAGATGAGGCTCCACAAGTTTTTTACTCCAGGGCATTTTCTTCATTTTCATCCTCCCACAGCTGCTGCATCATCTACCACCTTATCCTGAAAATGCTAAAGAATCTCTCTGGGAAAGAGGAGGGCCATTTCCCACACTTCAATATCAACAATGGTATTTGCCAAAGTCTGTGGGAACAGTAATTTCTGAAGTCCCCTGGTTGTACTCATACCTTATACATGAATAAAGCACCTCAAGAATTGCCATCTCCTTTTTTCTTTCCATTCAAACATTTAGAGGATAAAAGACATTAATGGGGAAGAAGCAGTGAAAATATACCTTTCAATAAAAGGTTGGCAATATTCCCTTGAAACACTGATACTTAATATGCAGGTTTAATATTGATCTAATGTTTATGTTCAGGAAAGTGGACCTTTACTCTTGCATCCTAGCTACATGTCCTGTTATTTGAAGAGAAGGTGGTGGATTGCTTGGAAGTGTTTTTCTGTGTACTACCCTTCAAAAGGGAAGGGGACATTTCAACTAATGCTTCTTTCTCCCAAGGGATAAACAGGTACAGCCTTTGTTGATCCTATCAAGTAGTTTTGAATATAAATCTACTTCTGTTTATTCAACACTGATGCATTTTAGGTATTTGTGCTAGAATTGGTTTAACCAAGCCAAGGAGTTCTCTAGGAATGAAGGACAGCTGTTTTCTACAAAAAGCTCTTTCTACTTTTGTGAGCCCTATCAGCTGCAAAATGACAGTAAGTACGTGCCTTCCTGAAATTATTAACCCTGAAACTGGGGATTTCAGGTACCTGACCACATTCCTTGGAAACAGACCACCAGCTCTGTATGTAAGTTAAAGAGGATTCAGATAAACTGGGCCAAGTCAGCTCTCAGCTGCACTTGTATATAAACCTGGATTCATTTCACTGAGGCTACTGGAAGTGCTCTGGATTAATGCAAATGCAGCTCAAGTGACAGCTTTCATCAAAAAACAGCAGAAGTTCTGTGGTGCATTACCTTAAGAAAGAAGGGAAGTCCCAGGCGATGGAGAAGTGATATTGAATGCTTCACCTCTGCCATGAACACAAATACACCAAAGAGTTCAAAGTCTGTGTCAACATCCACAGTCACAGTTACATCTTTCTCATCATACTGGATTTCACAGGCAGTCTTGGCTTTGTTTTCTATACAGAAGGGACAAAACAGTGCCAATTTGAGCAGCTAATTTTTGAGAAATTTCAGTACTGCCTGCATAAAATCAGTCCAGACAGCTTTTAGGTTAATATATTCATCAAGACAAAGTCATCATTCAGGATTACAAGAACTCTGGCCTGTGGTTGGAGGAGGGCAGAGTTTTTCTGGATGTCCTTGAACTTTGTCCTTACAAAGTCTTGTGGTAACAGAGCTTGTGTATCCACATCCAGTATTAAGTGACAAGTTAGTTCCTGTATGGAATGTGTTTGTGCAGCTAGAGCTGACTAATCCATACAGCAAACTGCATCCCTGGCCTGCAGCAGCCTCTTCCAGGGAAGAGCTCTGAGCTCTTTTGACCTCCAGCAACTCCTTTGGTTCCAGCTACAGCAGCTCAACAATGCCCAAAGAACATGATCTGAAGACCTTTCCCCACTTTCCTTCCTACCAGCTTTTCATTTTTGAAAAGGAAAATACGAGACTGCTAAAAGATAAAAATAAGAGATGTGAATCCCCCCAAATTATTTATTTATCTTATGATAAGACAAAACCCACAGAAATGTGGGTTTTGTGGTGGAAAGCACATGGTGACTATGGCTGTCCTGAGAGCAACCTCTCATCCTGCTATTTTTTTCTGAATGGGTGAAAGGAGATGATGCCACATTAGTATTGATTCAGTGCCTGCTAACTTCAGTAATTCCTGCCCTTTGGTGCAGGAATTGCAGTTGTTGAGTTTCCTTCAACATGAATATATTCCTCTGGGGGCACTTAAGGTACCTGATCACAGTGTAAAAGAGATATGCAGATAGAATTTATGCCAGGGCAAGATTTGAGGGTAGGCTGGCTTCATCAGCTAATCACAGATGTAGTTTTAGAATGACAATTTTACTTACAAACAAGATAAAGTCTCTTTCTAGGTACTACCAGCAAATCTTAGTCAGTTTGTAGCTGTTGAAGGAACAGCTGAAACATACTCAAAGAACTATTATAGAATAAAAAATCCTGCCAGGAATGGCAGGTACCCACCTGATTTCTGGAAACTGAAAATCAAGTTGATTGCCTTAGGATAGCCAGATGCCTGGAGTACCTCACTGCTGTGCACACTCTGGCAGAAGAGATCCACTTGGTGGCCAACATAATAGGAGTTAATTATGTATGTGATTGATGTTTCTCCAGCTGCAACGTGCACATACCTCTCTTGAGTAGTGTTTCTCCCTTGAAAAACCACGTCTATCTAAAAAATGATACGGTATAAGTTCTCAAAACAATATTTAAATACTATTTAAGACAGGAGAAAATGAAAGTTCTTTCTAGTCTATACTCATGTCAAAATCTATCCATTAACAAATTGTCTCCTGGCCTTTCATTAATTATCTTTGACTTTCAAGTATGAAGCTCATTCAACTGAATGAATGTCAAGCCATGCCAGCCTCACTGATCCATGTTATATTCTCATTAGGTTCTTTTTTATCCCACAGACGCAACTCCCTTCTTATAAAGGATACTCAGGCTACACCTACTGACAATATTTACCAGATAGTAGGTACTTCAATACTTCCCATGAAAATAGCACCCAAAGAAATACTTCTTCCAGTATAAAATTCCCATTAAAGAGCTTAGGAGCAACTCCAGTCCCTGGAGCAATGTGCTCAAGCCCTCCTGTAGAGCTACAATATCAACAGTACCCACTCAACTAACACTGATCACAATGGAAGAATCTCATTCAGATAGCAGTCAAGGAGAAGCTTTCTCCTTCAGTAGTTCAAATTTTAGGCATCCAGTTTTTAAATATCAGAAAATCTCAGCTTCCATCCTGTTCCTTACAAAATGGAGTTTTCATTCAAGTAATGAGCTTGAATTACATAGTTATATAGAACAATAATTATAATCAAAAACAAACAAAACAAAAACCCACAAAACAACAAAAACCCAAAGCTACCTGTAAAGATGATGGGACTCTGGCTTGTAGCAGCCATGGCAAAGAGTGATGGAAATTCCCTGTTATGTTGGTACTTGTTCCAAACTCCTGGATTTGTCCTTCAAGAACTATTAGGTGAGCACCATAAAGCACTTTAAAACTAAAGCTTCTAGTGACTTTGACATTCAAGACAGCCTGTGTGCAACAAAAGTAAATTGTGAAAAGACAGAATTGTAAAAGTTAAAGCTCCTGCTGGTCAGAGTTCTTTCTTTGATTGAGACAGTATAATCTCAAAGATGTCTCAAAGATGCATCTTTGTATCATTTTATAACACAACATAGTTACAAATGTCCCTTTTATTTAAGACTTCAACCATTTAACATGTATTCTCAAATATGGCCATGCTTTAATGCTATTGAGTTACATGGTTAATAAGTCTTGTGTTTCTCAGATAAAAAAAAAATATGCCAAGTAGTCAGAGTTTGGAAGGAAAAAAAACATTTGGAAAGGATCCAGTGAAATCCCAGCAATGTTCCCCTCTGTTCTGTGTGTCCAGGAGACACTGCAGCTCTGTCAGATACATAAATGCAGTGCTTTCCTTTCACTCCACACTGGGAGCCAACCTCCAATCCCAGGCCCGTGCAAAGTCCAGATCTAAGCTCTTCTCCCGTGAGAACAAATGGAGCTTCTGGACTCCCCTCAAGAACAAAGGGAGCACCTGGACTCCCCTTCACCAAAACAGCAAATGTGCCATCTCTTCCCCAGCTGCTGTTGCCCTTGTGGCCTGGCTCCATGTTGATAACCTACCTGCAACTCAATCCTGTCTTTTATTTGCAAAGTCTTCAATGTCTCTATGTTATGAGTAAGCTTGTAGTTAAGAGACACAACATCCAACTTCTGGACAAAGTCCAGTTCTTCTGTAATCTGCTCAGTTCAAGTAAATATGACAAAAGTTAACTGTGGCACATCTCTGATATGGACTAATTTACATGTCAGAATAAAATTATGAAAACTATTAAAACTTTATGGTGAAGAATTGTCTAATTTTTTTAGAAGTCACAACTTCGTACTATAAAAGGGGATATGCTGCACCAAGTGAAGATTTTTGATAAGGAAGGTTTTATATAATTTACAAATGTGAGTCATGGATCATTGCTGATGTTAAATTTGTTTCAAGGAGCAATTGCACAGAAGGAGTGGCTGAAAGATACTACCTTCATTTAATGAAGGCCTTTAGAACTAACCCACTAAGTCACTGCGAAGTATTGTATTTGGATTATTTGCAGAAACACTATTTACCAAATCAGTTAGCTTATTTCAACCTCTATCTCACACACTACCGGTATGGAAGAAAAACTTACTTGCTTGTTGTTCACACAGAAATTAATAAATCCTTTGTAGAAGTCACTGTTTTTTTCTGATATCACATCAAGTAACATCCTCATGGGAATGCCAATGTCAGCAGCTTCTTGGATGTTATGGGTTAGCACAGCATCCAACTCTTGCCTTTCCTGTTAATATTTCACAGCATAGAGAGCAAAGCATGTGTAGAACCCAAAGATCAATGCAATAGAGCTCAAACCAGAAATCTGTCTGTCCTACATTTAATATGAATTAAACTCCCACTAGCTATGTTGTTTCTCTGTGGCACAGAAACATGCAGAAATTACCAGTTATGGCAGCAAAGTGAGACACCAGGAGGAAACAGATCCTTGTGCATGTTCTCTGCTCTCCTGCTCTGATGACAAGAGAATCCAGACTTATAATTTTGTCAACAGAAAAACAAGAGATTCACAGCCTTCCCTGTGTTGCTGTCTCACTGAATAAACAAACAGCAGTGTCTCAATTAATCATTGCCTATTACTTTGCAGGGTAAACCACAGTGATGTAAGGAACATCCGATAGAAGTAACAAAATTTTACACATAAAGAGCATAATAAGGAAATGATTCAGGAAGTGCCAGAGCCTATATCCTATTATCCTATACATCAGTTGCTGATCATTGAAGGTGCCAGATTTTCAAAGATTTTATTATTTCATTTCTATTCTGGCATTCATTACTAAAGTCTGACTATTTGTTCCAAATAACATAGGTTAGAGCACATTACTCTGTACCTTGTTTACACATTCCAACAGCCTGCAGGGTACTCACATCATTGACTTTTAGTATAAGGAGTCCTCGGAATTTACTTTCATCAACAGTGATCAGTGTCTGTGAATCTAGGTTCATTTTATCCATCAAAAGGTAGCCTGAGCCATCAATTTTCATTGGTACTCCAAGATCCTGTAAAAGAAAGAAAAACTATAAAAAATCACCACTTTTGCACTTAACCACAAATACATTATACCCCTGAAACTTAATTCCTAATAGTAACTTTAATCACCTAGCTGTAAAATCAGGTGTATCAGGCAGCAAAAGCACAGAATGTTTCAGAAATCTTGAGAGCTTTTTAATACATTTTATAAATGTTGTCTTTTTCATTCTGAATATGTCTGATTATTTTTGATACATGAGTCAACACAAAGAGAACACTGGACAATGTGGCAGCTCTTCCTGCCTAAATGAAAAGTTAATTAATATTCTATACTTGGCATTGTCCCAGTGACCCAAAGTATCCATAAATTCAGTGAAACCAGACAGTATACAGAAGTTTATTATGGCAGCTCTGTTTTTGGAAAAGGACAAGTAAATCTCATCTTTGTATCTTCAGATTTACTCTGACTTGAATATTGAATCCACAGATCATAATGTGACATATCGCTCAAACTTTCCATACACTGAATTTTCTGACCTGAAGATTACCTATTTACTTCATATATTTTTAAACTATTTCAGAGTTTGTTTCTCAAACTGCTGAGAAATTGTAACTGCTGATAAAGCCAAAGAAAACTTTGAATAATCATTATTTCTGAATAGAAAAACCTTGCAGAATTCTCAGCCATGTTTTAGAAAACACATCAGAGCTAGTACAAGCAAGTCCATTATCTGCAGTTACTGATAAACAGAAAATTTGGCATATGCCAAATACAGTGAATGACTGGCTCCAGAAGTAAGATGCAACATTAAAAGAGAATGTTCTTCTTATTTCTCTGCTATCTCTCTGAAATACTTGGATTATTGTCTTTTGACTTTAGCAAGTACAAAGGTCCTAGCTTAGATGTATAAATTCAACATTAAATGAGAAAATTCCGTACCTGAATTGTTTGGCATTTGTTTTCTATAAGCATTTTCCACTGAAGGCTCTTTTCAGGGTCAAAGTCCCCATTCATTTGAAGCTCACAGGCACCCAATTTCATTCCAACTCCAATAAGATATTTTAAGTGTTTCCGTACAGTGACGGACAGCTCATTTTCCCTTGGGATTTCCTTCAGCTGGGGGAGGTCATGCCTGAATTGAATTTCCAGAGTCATCTTTGGCTTGCACTCTGCTCTCACTTCAAGATGGGCAGTTTTGCCTTCTGTTTCCAGAACAGAGAACAGCTCTGCCTGGCACTTGTCTTTCTGAATGGATCCTGTGAGCCGTGACTGAGCTGGGAAATTGAGATCCTATCAAGATTTAAACAAAAAAATCCTCTGGAATATACAAACAGTTTAAGACAAGTGTGTATTATATGATACAATATCAGAGACAAAAACTACAATCTCCACGCTGCCATTTTTCTCCCTCTCAACAAGAAATACAGTGATTTTTCCAGAATAGGACCTGATGGAAGATTTAGGGACTGTGCTACAGAATTAACAACTTCTGCATCTTTATGAAGTTTTACATTTATAAAAATTACAAAATACCTGTTTCTTCAGACTGGCAAAGTTAACTAAACATTCTATGCTTCACACCAATCTCAGTTTTCAAACAAATAAATGTACAAATATCATAGGCTTAGCAGACATCCTTGCATCTGGTTGTAGAAGGTTTGTTATTTTTAATGATTAAACTTCCAGCTTGACTTATGCAACATCCCAAATGAAAGATTTCTTCCCATTCTGTCAAAGGATTTCAAAAACCACTGAAAAATCTACTATTTTTAATACTTTAAGGGGTTTTCATTCTCTCTTCACTACAACTTTCCTGTCATTTTTATGTTGTCACTTTGTAGTTGAGGAAGTTACTCAATTTGAGGATTTGAAAGCAAAATATAAATGCCTATGAATATCTAGGAAAAAAACCCCTAGATTTTGCAGTACTCATTCTTTCTAGTATAGTCAGTGAGGCTAGCTGGAAAAACCAAGGAAATTCTGTTTTGATATAATCCTCACAGACCAGGGAATGTATTTTTGACAGAGGTCAGGCTAATATTGCTGTTCAGCCTTAGAGGGCAGTGTCGGCCTGCGAAGGCAGCAGCCAGCAAAGGCTGAACTGATCTCCGTCTCCACAGAGCACCTGGGAAGAGGATGTGTGAGACACTGCCTAATGTGACAGGGGTGCCTTCCCAACACTCCAGCACTGGCATTTTAACTAAAACCCACAAGGCCTTCATTTGATCCCAAATTTTTTTTAAAAAGCTTCCCACAGCTACCTGCAGAAGTTGACATTCTGTTTCTGTTTCCAGTGTCCAGTCAGCTTTATTCTGAACACAGAGATCCCCTCTAGCCCTCAGTCTGCATCTGCCAGCCTGCAGCAGGAAAATGCCCTCTGTGGTGGAGTCTGTGGCTGCAGAGATCAGGACAGAGTTTTCAAAAGGCAGCCCAAGCTGGCTGAGCCAGGGATGTGAGTGCCTGAGCATCCCTTGGAGTGTATATTCATGCTGGCAGGAGGTGTCTATCTGCATATCCACTGCTCTGCCATCACACTGCAGGTTCATTAACAAGCCTACATTGCAGACGTTCTGTCGAAATGAACCCCCCAAGACTGCAACACGAGGCAATCCCATCCTCTGCAACAGAAAAGATTACACGGTTTAAAACACACAAAGTAAAGCAACTGTCTTTCCTCATTTGTACCTAATTCATGAGAAAGTATTCCTTCCTTCTGAAACCATCTGCTTTTGGAAAGGACCACACAAAACAACTTGTTTCATAGAGAAATCTGAAATTTCTCTGTGAAAAACCTGAAAAAAAATTAATAGGGGGGAGGGGGGAAAGAAGAATAAATCCTGCAATAAACTTTTCGTAACTATTGTAGAAGAAAAAAGTCTTAACCTCCACAATTCCAAACTGAAAAGACATGCTTTTCACTAGATTTTAGGACAAAAGTTTCTTTTAATTAATAAACTATTACTAAGTAATGTTTTTATGACAGCAGCAGTAACATCTACCATTGTATTACTCCAAATTATCATCTTCAAATACACTTCCCTGTGCAAGTGCTCTGACTGACTCACTGCTTTGCCAGAACAACTTCAAGGACTAAATTCGGCCTATCCATGAATGTGTCAGAAGACAGTTTTCTGTAACTCAGTGATCTGAAATACACAGACTGGGAGGACATGAAGAAAACAATCTGGGCTTACCTCTAGACTGATGCACTTGTTTCTAAAAGCAAGTACCCATCCTGTCTCATTGCTTGCCAGGGTCACTTCCCCATCAGCTTCCAAAGTGCAAGGCCCAAGTACAATACTAAGGATGCCCTTGTATTTGTCACTTCTGATGGCTGACACCTTCAGTTGGTTTTCTCTGGCAATTCCCAGAGAATGAAGTGAAAGCAAAGAATGCTGGAAGTCGATTTCTAAATGAGGATGAGTGTTAGTGGTGGCATAGAGCTGCAGGCAGGCAAATACATCATGAAAAGAAACATGTCCAAAGAGGATGACAGTAAAGTTGCTGGTAAATACTGACCCATTCAGTGAAAGTCTTGCTGGAGTCTGAAAAATTACAGAAAACTGTTGTCATGTTTGCTTTCCTGTTAGGTCACATACTGTTTTTAAAAGCTCCTATTACTAGAAGGTTCCCTACACCTTTTTGTATTCATCCTACATAATTATAAATGTTGAAACAAATGGGGAGATGGACTCAAATCTTTATTTGGGACTTCCAAAATAGAAATAACATAAAGAAAACCCAAACCAGTAATTAATGGAGTGAAAATATTTGAAAGTGCACACAAAACTTCCAGGAAGCTCAAATCCATTTCCATGTGCCTCACACTTTCAGTACTTAGATTCTCTTCATGGTAGTTTAAGACACTATTTTGTTGACAGCAAAGTTTATAAATGAAGCCAGTACCTCAAAATGATGAAATGCAATTGCACCATTGCAAAGGCCAAAAAGTTTTTTGTTAGCAGATTCTCCGCTGCAAGCAACCTGTTGGTGTTGTCAAAAAAGTACATTCAGAATATGAAGAAAAGCAGGGAGAACTAAAATTCAAAGGAGCAAGTTACAGGGCTGCTTTAAGGATCAAATGGATCAAGGCTCCAAAACAGATTTAAGAACAGTTTAGTGTTTGGTGCACTAAATACATTACAATATATGGCAGGATTTTTGCAAACCTCTAGTACACATGGAACGATGTCTGTCAGTCCTCTCACATCATGGTGAAGTGAAAGAGAAACTTCCATGGCAGTGTCAGTGGTTTTCTTCTCTATTGCAATCTTGAGCTGCTCTGTCTCCACTGTGGCTGTTATCCCTGCAGCAATCTTTCTGGAGAAATTCTATGCACAAAAGAAACCAAATTATGGAAAGAAACAAACAACAACAACCCAGCAATGACTGGTAAAGGCAGAGTGTGTTTCACGGTGCTTAAACATCACAGCCTGTGTCAGGGCAGCAGCACTGGTAAAATAGAAGCACAAATTCATCAAAGTAGATTCATTTCAAATAGAGATTGTAGTGTTATGCCAGACCTTCTAAATGCTGTGTATCAATAATTCCTTCTGGCTCCAAAACATACTGAGAGCATTCAGTTCCCTGAAGGATTTGAGCCCTCAGGCACAAACAATTAAAGCACTGGAACTACTAAAAAGCAAGGCAAAGGAACTGTTTAGAATTCTTTCTCTGCACACCTGTCTCACCCTACTGCAGTGGTTGAAGCCACCCAAGTATAAATAAACACGCGCGTGACTTGAGCCTTTCAGTGGATGTCTGAGATAGCAAAGTATTTGGACCCTTCTTTTATGGAAAGATAATGTGCAATTGCAAAAGAGCTTAACATTCACAGATCTGTAGCAGAAACACAGATAGAGAGAACAGTGGCTAAGCAACACCACACCAGGAATCATGGTCCATAATGCTGCTGTGGATAGGAATTTCCAAAGGGAAAGCCATGCTAAACACTCTTCTGCTCTTTAAAAGCCATCCAAAAGATGACACCAGGACCAGTTAAATCCAGTACCAGATGCAAGCCTTAGGCCTGCTGGTCCACTTTCCATTTATAGGGGAAAGATAAAATTGGACAAGACATCTGTTCATATGCAGCAAAGCACTTCACTTAAATGAGAACTGAACATAGCATCTCATGTAGTCTAGATTCATCTCCAAGAGCTCAGATGAAAGGTCCACAGTATAAGGAGCCAGACACCACCTTTCTTTCACTCAGTAATTTAGTAAATCTCAAACACAGAGCAGCTTCTAAAATAAATATGTACAGTGCATAGGAAAAGCCTGGAGTTATTATATATATACAAATTGTCCTGCCAGAAATTAAACTTGCACGGGCAGAACTCTTCTTACCTCATAATAGCCAGCAGCTTCTAAAACAAAAGGGATCCCATGTTTCTTTATCTTTGAGATGTTGTGCTTTATGCTGACAGATAGCTGGGGTATTGGGAGCTCTGTGGCCAGTCTGTGTCCCTCAAACACAGCAGCAATCCTTTCACTGCCACTCTCCAGGGCTATGGCAATGGTGTGATTTCCTGCGCCACGCTCACACGTGGCAGTAAGAATGCCATCCAAAGGCAACCCTATTGCAGGGAAGGAAGTAAAATCAACACAGCACTTCTGGATTATTATTACATACTACAAAGAAGTACTACAGATCAAAAGAAGCCTTCCATAGTTTTTCATAAGGAACCAAAGGAACCCATGCAAAATTACTGATAACTCCAGTTCATGAAAACACACAGCTTTGCTTAGGAAACAACACTTGGCATAAAACTATATTTAGAGGAACTGGTCAGCTTTGATGCTGTGCAAAAACACAGATGTACAAGTGAGAAATAATTTACTCTGAAGTATTTCAAAACTCTTTGAACTATTTCTGTGTCCATTTTACTGTATTTTCTCAACAATATTAAAAAGAATGCTGCTAAGACTGGATTACATTTTGTTCTGGTGTGAGCAAACACAACTAATCTGTTTCCACTGGTCAGTAGTCATTTAGATAAATTCACCTTGTTAGACCACACCATGAAGTCAAATTTCCTTCCTACCTGCATTTTTTAAGAAGTCGACATTATGTGTGAAAGTCCCACTGACTCTGCCATGCCCATGATCCACGATATTGAAAAACTCTACAGAAAGAGCCTTCTCATCCACCTGGAAGCTAGCTAGCCCCCTTTTCTTCTCTTGACTCAGCTCCAGGTGTCCTTTCAGTCGTGCCTCCACTGGGACTGCCTGACTGCCATTCTGTATGATGGCAACAGTGATATTGTGCACAGTGGTATTCCCAAACACATTCCTGTTCCTGACATGCAGTCCATACAGTCTTTTGTTGACCATCACATTGATGTTACCTGTAACAGGCAGAAATTATTACTGCGGAGAGAGATTCTTGGGACAGAAATAACCACAGTTTTAGAAGTAATGTATAAATTAACCATTACTTTAATACCAGGAGGAAGTAGCAAAATTTCCATTTATTATACAAGATAATTTTGCCTAATCTAGAGAGCAAATCAGTTCAATGTTGAGGGTTTCTCTACTAGTGAGTGTATGTGTTTAAAACAAATTACATACTAGTATTTCTGGCATCTGATTATTCACCAAGCTGGTTGTGCTCTTAGGCCATATACTATACTATAGTCACTGCAAAAGAAAATTTACAGATGGATTGTGATCTACTACTTGTGTAATTACAGGCTAAACAATCCCTCCAGAGCGACCTACTCCACCCATGGAGCCATTCAAAGGAGTAGGAGTCTCAAGTGAGCCCCCCATTTCAAAAGAGGAAAGAGGCCACCCACTATTTCCTTTAATCCATGAAAACACGAAAAATCCCACACTATGTTATTTCACTGAAAAGTACTCTCAACCCGATGACCCATGGTTCATTTTGTATGCAAAATACTCTGCCCTGCATTATACAGAATCACAGAATGGTTCAGGCTGGAAGAGACTTAAAGCCCATCTTGTTCCAACCCCTCTGTCATAGGCAGAGACACCTTCCACTGTCCCAGGTTGTTCAAAGCTCTGTCTAGTCTGCCCTTGAACACTTCCAGGGATGGAAGCAGCCACAGCTCCTCAGGGCAACCTTGTTCCATTATCTGATCACCCCCATAAGGAAGAATTTCTTCCTAATATCCAATCTAAACCTGCCTTCTCTCAGTTTGAAGCCATTCCCCCTTGTCCCAGTGTCACTCCAGGCCTTTGTCCAAAGTGCCTCTCCAGCTCTCTTGGAGGCCCCTTTAGTTACTGGAAGGGGCTATAAGGTCTCCCTGGAGCCTTTTCTTCTCCAGACTGACAATCCCAGCTCTCCCAGCCTGCAGGGGAGAGGAGCTTCAGCCCTCTGATCTCTGTGGTCTACTCTGGACTTGCTCCAACAGGCACACATTGCTCTTCTGTTGAGGGCCCCAGAGCTGAATGCATTGTGCAGCTCAGGAAGGATTACATTAAAATTAAGAAGCTTTCTTAAAGATAGCTGCAGGTTAGAACAAAACACAAAGGAACAGAGTACCATTGTGAACGTTGTTTTTGCACTTCAGTAATCCATCCAGAGAAAGGAGATGAGGTATGGCCTTTAATCCAGTAAAAGTGTGTTGGACTCTTCCATTTAGAGACAAAACAAAACCAACTTTCTGCTCCCTGGCTCCCATGAAATCCACGTGAAGCCTATTTTCATTAAGCTTCAAGTCAGAAGACAACAGAAGTCTAAAAAGACAGACATAAAAATTGCTAGTAAGATATCATTATGGTTAATTCAGAATTGTCAAGATACCCCTCCTCACTCAAAGCAGGATCAATGAGAGCAGGGTGCTCAGGAGTGCGTGTGGTCAGGTTTGGAGTATCTCCAAGGATGGAGACTCCCCAGACTTCCTGGGCACTCATTCCAGTGTTGTGAATCAGGCAATCAGATGCCTTGCAGTCAGCACACGCCATTCACCAGATGTTTATAAATTCCTTAGTAAAGCTTCACAGATTGGCAGACTAATTTTTCTTTCAATTTCTTGAATGCTTTTGGTATGGTTCCTAATAAAAGAAAGAGTTGGAGAGACTTTGAGTTGGAAATGAAGCCTTCTCTGTCACGATATGAAGCATCTCTTTGGTGCTGATTTAAAAGCAGCATTTGAGAATTCAGCTTAAAAAATAATTCTAAGCACCGCCATCATTTGAGTTTGGTAAATGAACCAACAATATTTCTTTACATCTTGGTCCTGAATTGAACAGTGTTGGAGAAACACAGCACAGCTTTATAGGGAAACCTGCTGGAACAACAAAAAGCTCCATTTTCAGTGTTGTAAGTGTAAGACTGAGACACAATTTTCACATTGCCTTCAACAAACTATCCACTGACTTTCTAGACTCAAGTATACTACACAAAATACCTAAAAGTGAGGCAATGATCCCAGTTTTCATAGTGTTAGACATCCCTCCTAGAAACTGGAACCCTGTTGAAAGACTGATGACAAGTAAAACCTCAGTGAAAATCCACTCCATGGGAAGAAAAAAACAATACAGTTCAGGGAAGTAAGTTTCATTCCATCAGTCAGCAACCGAAGTCTGTACAGATTGCATCATTTTAGCTTTTGTCCAGAAACATTAAACAGTTTATTTTTGTTTGTATTCTCACTGCAAAACAAATCCTAAAGAAATCGTTATTCCAAAAATTTTAAGTGTTCTGTTTTCTTTCCTGTGAACTGCAATAAATTGCTCTCTTATGGCTTACTCTGGTATTTAAACAAATTAATACACTATTGGAAGCCCAGAACTGCAAGCAAACTGCAGAGGCACATGAAATACCCTTCTTGGAATATTTTATCTTATTTTTAGTGTTACTAGTAAATCAAATGTGCTTCATCTAAATTGTAATATCTTCAGATTCCTTTAACTCTTATTTCCTCATTCTCCTTATCCTATCCAATTGGTGAACACTGGGCCCTCTGCAGGAACACTAAATTCTTCACTGCATAGCTTTGTGTTTGTGAAATTTGAAAAATCATCTGAAACTTGGGAGGGTCAAATTTCTATTTCCCACCTCTGCCACCTCAGAGCTTTCTCCAATAGTTTAAAAGCCTTATAATAAACATTGGGAAGTGCCCTTTTCCACTGGCATAGCTTGTACTATCTCTTCACTCAAAGTTCTCTATACAAAGTCCTTGGAAAGCAAGTAAAACACATTAACACAATTTATACCAACTAATGAAATATAAGGACAGAAGTATTTCAATTATAGGGACAACATACGAACCAGCATTCACTCAGTGACCTTGCTGCAGCCATAGGGAAGTTGTTACATTTAAACTTGTGTCCCAAAACACTCTTCAGTACCTCAGTTAACCAACACTGATTTCTCTACCTTGATGGAAATATTTTGACCATGAGCTGGAACTGTACTGATTCTGGATTTGTCAGGATTGTCTGATGGAGAAAAGCCCTCAGTTCAACAGTTCTGGCATTCCTCCTGTTTTCATTGTTCACATCAACCTCCAGCATCAGCATTTCCCTTCCATTGGAATGAAGGTGAAGGGAGCCATTGACATTGTTTTCACCATAACTCTTCAGGGCTGCCTGAGCCTGCACCTAGAGAAAGGAGAGCACGATATGAAAGACCTCAAATTATAATACACAATACTGACACATCAGTTTGGGCAATGATACTGCAGACAGCAAGATGGGACTGGACAAAAGCAGAGAGGGGAGCAAAGGAGGAAAGGAGTTTTTAGTTCTCATCTTTGTTTCCTATCATCTAACTCTAATTTTATTTAGCAATAAATTAAGTTAATATTGCCCAAGCTGAGTCTGTTTTGTCTGTGAAGGTAATGGCTAAGTGATCTCCCTGTCTTTATCCCAACCCTGTCACAACAAAATGTGAGCTACACTGAATTTTAAGTACAGTTTAACTCGACTTTAAGAGTTTTCTGAATTTCAGCCAAAACTCAAGCCAGCTATTCCAACCCCATTTAGCTATCTAGCCAGAATAAACTCTAAGCATCAAAAGTTAACTGTTTCCTTAACAATTTACACCTCTCAATTGTAGTCATTGAGTGCATGAACTGCAAATCTTCAAGTTCAAGCAACAAGACGGTAATTACCAGGGGACTGACCTGTGAAGACACGTTCTTGTTGATGATGACTTTTACACTCACACCACTGTCAAAGTGTTCCAGTTTAGTCTTCCTGGAAAACAGCTCCCCACTTAGGCCCATTGCTTGTGGAAACACCAGCTATTTGACGAAGTAAAGCATCAGAACAGAACATTGCATTCTCCCCAACTGCCTCATGTGATTTAATGTCTGAACTTTTAGCATGAAGTGGGTGATACATATAAGAAGTGTTTGTATCAAATTTTACCAGTTTTATCCCAAGATACTGAAAAATATATTGAAAGCAGTAAAAAAAGCATGAACAAAAAGGCCAATGTATGCCTTACAAGGGATTATTGACACAAATTATTGATACATAACTGAACCTGCTGAGATACCTACAGTTATTTGTCAGGGCCAGGACTCGCTTGGATTAGGACATTTACCAGCATCAAACAATTATAATTCTAAAGACAATATAGTGAAACAGTTACCAAGACATAAAAAATAAAATACCAAAAATTAAAACCATCCATACCTGGAATGAGTGTGTCACATCCATGTGTAAAAGATATCTAAAATCTGCCTCACTGGATTTGTCCTGATACCTCCCTAGAAAACTGAGAACATCTTCCTTATTCACTTTTAAGACAGTCTCAAGCTCATACTTCACCTGTGTGTTAAGAATGGGAGTAAGTAAAGGGCACTGAGCACTAACCATGTGTATAATGAAACAACAGGGAAGTCTTCCCTACACATCATGAAAAATGAAAGAGTTGCAAACTATTATGTTTTGGTTCAGAATGAAAAACAAGAAAATGAGGGAAAAATAGCTACATTTGGCAAGAAAAATTAATAGATACAGCTAGATAAGGGTGAGAATCCTGAATCCATTCTATCCCAGTACTTGTTTTATTAATAACACTCATGCATAATAATACTCAAAAAAATTATATATGAAGTATTCTTATCGTAGATTACTACACAACATATTATCATACACAATTAAGGAGGTACCAAGGACATAATCATCCTCTGAATATTTTGGTTGCCCTAGCTGCATGGCAAGGAACTAAAGACCTATAGCAAGTGAAGTCTGAAAAGACGAAGTGTAAATAAGCAGGTAATGAACATCTCCTAACTGAATCTAACGGGAAATTTACTCACACTTTGATGACTTAGAGTTAAAATGCACATTTCAACATCTTTGGGAAACATCCTGTAGTTATAAGGATGAGTTAAGCCAGCACAAATCTAAAAAGAAGTTTGAGATAAAATGCAAGGAATATAAGTAATATTCAGTAAACCACTCATTTGCAGGTTGTTTTGGTATATCATACTAAAGGAAGTTCTTGGATAACTCACATAGGGGTTTTCAGGTTGGTAGCCAAGTATAAGAGTCTGAACTGTTTCCTCCACCCCATTTATCAAAACTTTTGTTTCCATGAAATAATGCTTTTGCTTTTTGTCAACAGTAAATGTCTCCTGCAGAAGGAAGCTCTGCAGAAAGGGCACTTTAAAAGGATGCCTGGAAAAAAAAAAATAAGCATAGTGTAAAAGATCTTAATAGACAACTACAAAAAGAAATCACGAAGAGTTCAACTTGAACCCAAAATTATCAGTTACCATCAGGGTGTCAAGTACAGAAATGAAACACATAGGACTGGACACTTAAGAAACTACAGAGCATAATTACAACTGCATACAAACTCCACACGCTAACCTGAATTTTTGAAAGAGTTTCTATCCTGAATTTGGTAAATGCCTGGAAAAGCATTGGGGGAAGGTGCTGCTCCAAAATTCTGACATGCATAACCAGCACATACATCTTCTATACCTGCATGGCCAATACTTCATTTCAAATAGAGAAAGTATCCCAAAGCTCCTGGCAGGTTTGAAAATCTTACCTATCCACATCTTATGTTTTCTGTAGACCCAGTATCTACATGCCAAGAATCCTGCAACAGATGTTCAGCACTACACAGCTCTAGGAGCAGTTTATTTCTTCAGTGTCATGTTTTATGGACTTTATTAAATATTTCTACACTTTTACTTAGTCAAACCTCTTGGAAGCATGCACAACCTTTATAAGCAGACACTGGACTGCCTTTACACATGTTAGAATACCTGCTACAGCTCTTCATTTACATATTTTTTTACTGAAAAGACACCTCCCAGTGTTTTAATTATCTCTGAGCTACACAGTGGTTCCTAAGGCAGCCTGTGCACTCCTGTTGATGCTGCTGTGCCTTAAGAAAGCTGAGATTTCCCCAGAGGTGATCCAGATGTCTCTAATCTGAGCATAAACTTTTACCAAGGCCTTCAGGCTGTGCTTCAGTAATGGATAATGAAGAGAGAAATTTCAGGGACAGCCAATATGTAGAAGAAGCACACTCATTCTCATCAGAAAATGGAAGAATATTCCAAAATCTAAACAAGAACATTTGTTACATCTTTTAAGAGGATACCTCTGGCTTTAGAATGGCTATATAATACCTAAAGGACTAGGAAAAAGGCACAGAGAATCAGATCTGCATTTTGGAACTTCTCACCACATCCCAGTTTGGACACACCATAAATCCTACTGTTTTCAGGAAATGAGGCTATATGCCTGGCTGAGTTGCCAGCAATCATGTCACAGTACATGTGATCTGTTGCCTTTGACAGCTTTGTTCACTGTCATTTAAGTAAAGAGGCCAAAAGCTAATGGAGGCAAATAACCAGCCCATAAATCTGCTGTGCTTGAGTAAGTTCAGGGAGCCAGATGGGACAAAGAACAGACTTTGTGCATGTTGTACTTTGTAAAGTCCAGAACATTTCCTAAGAGCATCAAGATACACATTAAATTTAGGCCAAAAACATTGTTAAAAGATAGAAATAAGAATACTAAACCTGAAATGGAGGGTTGCACGTTTTTGATAGAGCATCTTCTCCTTCCTCAGCTCTTTTATCTGACCTTCACACTGCAGTATGACAGGCAGACTTTTATAATCACTCCATATAATCTTCACAGAAATGTTTGTCTTCTTAGGCTGCACTCAGATCATGAGACCAGAACAGGAAAGGATAATTGCATCAGATTTACTGCATTCATATTCAGGAACCTCAGTATGGAAACCATGTTGTTCAACAGGCTGTCACTTTACAGACCAAACCATTTCTGCTGCAGTTTAAGTCCAGATTTCCATTAATGTCTCAGAGGATTAAAAGTGCCATCAGTAGAAAATTGACTCCAGCAGAAGACAAATACCCCTTAATGTATCGCTTGAGTGCCCCCTATTTGCAACATAAGCAAGCTCTGGTACATAAATAACCAAACTGGATTTTCAAAGCATGGAAAAAACATTTTCAAAGTTATGTTTAAAAAAACACTTTTTAAGCCTTCCTGCAAGGTGTGAATGGACCAAAGTAACTGATCAAAGTACCTCTTCCGAGGAGAAACTGCTGATTACCCTTCCTGTGCCACAGACATCAAGCAAAGCAAAAATTATTTTAAGACTGGAAGGGATGTAGAGATTAAAATAGCATATAAACCTGGGCTGTTACCATGCTCACTAGCAGGCAAGAGATTCTGATTCTCCAAGACAGTAGAATCTTCCACACCTCTCATACATCTGCATGAAGTTGTGAGTAATCACATCTTCAGCTCTATTTCTAGTCAAGCTGTCTGTCTTCACCCTCTCCTCCCTGGCTGACTGTCTGGGCTCCCTAATAGGAGAGAAGTACTCCAAACTATTCCACACAAGTTTTTGTTTTCTTTTTGAATCTAGATTTACACTGCAACCTGTCAAAACAGACAGAAATAGATGCAGTACTGGAAGGGTTTAAGTTTCAACACTAGCAATAACATCTTTCAAGGAAGAGAGTGCCGAGTCAAAAAAATTGCTTTTGTTTTTCTTTCTCACCATTGGCAGATTCTGATAGTTGGCTGTGAAGTTAAATTCCTGTTTTGTACTCTTTATCTTAAAGCAGAGAAGTTTGGCTCGTTCATTATTCTCCAAATGAATCTCATTCTTCACAAGCTGATTCCACAGAGAGATCATTTCACTATAGCTGTGCAGAACATTCCTCCCAATACGATTAACTGTGGATGCCTAAAAAACAAAGACATTAGTCTGGCTGAGCCAGGACAGACAGCATTCCATTGTGCAGCAGCACAGTACAGAGGTGACAGAATGATCATTTACAAGAACTATTAGAAATGTGTGTCAGCTTCTCCATTATCAAAATACTCCAAATTACCATACAGAGTTCAAAGTTTATTTTATCTCCTCCAAGCAAGGAAGAGACAAAAAGCTAAATAGCTGATGAACACTTTTTTCTCATTGAAGAACGTTTCTTACATTCCTCCATGGCTATGCCTGAAGCAGTAGTGACCTAAGGAGGAAAAGCTGGTAAAGGAACATCTTAATCATAAGCTTAAGTCAAATTCCATAGTGATACAAGTCCAACACATTGCTTAATGCAAAGCAACTATGATGTAATCAGTTTTAAACCTCTACTGCATAGCACTGCCTAAAATAAATGAGGAAGCTTAGAAACCAGAGTCAGGGCATAGTGACAGCACAGAGCCCTGTCCCCAAAGCCATACATTCTGTGAAGCACCATGTCACCAACCTGCAGGTATGTGGTAGCTGGTGTGTAAATGTGAACTTTTCCTTCCTTCTCATTGTCTTGATCTTTATAGAATAGTTCCAGTACAAGGTTTTTAATGGAGAGAGCTTTTCCAGCTGTCAGCTCAGATGTCAGTAAATAAGCAGAATGCTGAGGCTGGTGCAGTTTGTGAGCTGTGTACAGATAGAGCCATGGGGTGTCTATATTGAGCCCACCTGCAAGGGACATATATTAAAGCTGACAGAAACATGAGATTTCAAACTACCTGGATTCTAACTCCACATCAAGGCTTATAAGATCCAGGGGTTCCAGATTTTAGAAGCTAAAATGCTACTATCAACATTTTCTCTTCCAATTGCTAAAATCTCTGGGTTGTATATCATGAAATTACTGTCCTTCACTAGTGTAAATAGAACTGCTGGAAGACGCCAGCCAGCCAGGCTGTGATAGGTTGGAGATTTCAAAAACTCAGCTAGACAAAGCCACAACAGATGTGATCTACTGCTAGAAACAGTCCTGATTGGAGCAGGAAGCTGGGCTGGACAACCTCCAGGGTCTCTCTCATCCAACAAACATCTTTATCATTCTGTTGCATTCATGCAAAACTACTCAGAAAATCCTGGCAGTAGCTTACAATGCCTGCTTTTCTAATTAAAGACTGAAATGGCTTGTGGTACTTCACCTTCCCACTTCTTCAGGCCATTTCTGGATGCATCCTTCCAGTGCAGCCCAGCCACAAATGGTACATGGTCATTATACTGCACCTCAAAGTTGGTGCTGCTCTGCAAATACACCTGAGAGGTGTGCAAGTGCTGCAGCTGGGTTCTATAATTCACCTGTTTTTCCAGGACTTGCATGGTAAACTGGAAAAGAAGTGAAGCAAATTTAAATAAAAACAAGACCCCATTTTCAAGGCTGTATAAGTTACACACACACACACAGAAGCAGGAAGGTCACAGCTTCTGCCTTTGCACACTTGCTATTCACTATGGATTTTCATGCATGGTCTCCAGTTATAGACTGAGGTTTTTTTAATACACATTTGTTACAACTACAGGAGATTAAAAAAGAAAAATGCTATAATAGTCTGAGTTATTATAATCTGCACCCTCCTTCCACATTGTGTCAGCAAAGCAGCATTTATAAATCTCTACAATCATTTTATAGGAGTCAACAATGCAGAAACCTCAGACCAAATTATACTCCAACTTTTCCAGTATCTGCAAAATTTATCTTCCAGCAAATGTCAGAGATCTCAGTGTCTCTGGGCTAAGACCTCACCTACCTCAAAATTATAAGGTCTAGGTACTTGCATTATATTATTAGTACATACCATATTTACAAAAAAAAAAGTTGCAATAAAAAAAAATTCAAAATTTATTCTTAGTCTGTCTGTTAAATATTTGGATTGAAGGTCTTACTTTTCTATTAATTTTCTATTAATTATTCTATCATCACTATTACCTCCATGAAATAGCTGACTACAGATGAACTGGAACTGTTCTTTAAGGCTTGGCTGATCAGCAGTTTCTTCTTGTTGTTTATTTCATCCCAGTGTTTCCCATAGTTCAGTTCCATCTGGGAGGAAATCCAAGATGCACACACTTCATGTTTCAAATGAACCTAAAGAAGAGAGCATTGCCTTTCTGCTGTGAATTCTTTCTCATTCGTGCCCAGCACAGAGAGTGCCTGGCTCAGCACCCACCTGGTGGCTGTAGGTAGGAGCCTGCACACAGTGAAACTGATGGTCCAGCTCCAGTCTGTACAAGCCCTGTGCACCCAGCTCCACTTGAACTTTCTGCTGTGTACTGCACTCGTGGCAAGGGGTTTTTGCCTCTCCTGCTCAAGTTAAATCACAGAATTACCTACTCAAGTAAATCAGAATTAATCTTTCAAAATGTTAGTAGTATAAATCTGGCACTGACTTCAAAGACTTCTGTTTTTCAGAACACCAAAGTGAGATTTGTCTATTTTTATACCTATATACTTGTTAATTTATCCTACAAATCCAAAGGAAAGTACAAACTTCATTACTTAAACAGAATTTTACCTGGCTGAAGTAAAAGTACTACAAACTAATCGTGATCAAGCTTTGCAGCTTTCTTGGTATCACACAATATTTAGTGATTTTCTGTTACCACCAAGCTCCCGACATCATGACACTGCATGTCATTTCATCTTAAAAAAATAATGAACTTCCAGCCCTTCTGGACACTGATAAGAAATTAAAATAATGAATTTGAAGTTCCACTTAATAAGTAGGATTACTTTTTAAAATGAAAAATCCAGTACTTCTCCAAGGAAGTATTTGCTGACCACTTCAGGTAGAACAGTTGTCAAACTGGGTTTAAACTGAAATGTAACTATACTCCAAGTATCTAACTTCACAATTACATAGCTACAGCCAGGTATCTTAAGGTACTGTTTAAGCGTTCAGGGATGTTTTGATTGTTGTTTATAAAATACTGTGATCAGCATGCCATTGTTAGCAAAATTATGAGGTCATGTCTGTGTAAGTTCAAGAAAACTTTATTATTCATATTGCTACATACTCTCTGAAGGTGCAACAGAGTTAGCATAAACAATCCCCCTATAATATTTATCATGATTAGCTACTACAAGGATTCAGCACTTTGATATAACTGTACTGATGTTCACCTGCTTTGTCCCACAAAATTAACACAATTCCTATATTGCAGCCAGGCAAGCACAGCCAGCTGCTTCCTAGAAACCACTCCTCATGTTATTCAGTGCGTGTATACAAACATCTGAAAACACAAATTAATTAGGAGCAATTCTCACTAAAAAAGTGTTTTTTAATCAAATGATGGATATGCTTGTGAAAAGCCCATTTAAAAAAAAATTGGTTTTATATGCAGACTCAAATAATAAAATTTATCCAACTGAAAAGAGAAACTTGTTCCAAGTTTCAGATCACAGTTTAAAAATTAGCTGAAATATTTCTATTGTGTTCTAAACACAGAGGCAAATCTTGTAGGAAAAATTAGTATTACAGAATACTTTCACTTTCCCTCTTTTTCAGTGTACCTAGGAGTCCATATTTTATCCGCAGACCATGAGACCACAATCCCTCACGCTGCTGGAGAAGAGCGACAGCTTTAACTCCAAGAACACCTGGAAGGTGAGCCTCCCCTTCCAATGAGTACTGTCTCAGCTTATCATCGACCTTTTTCTCCAGAAGTGCTACAGAAAGAATTTAAATGATTATGCAGTGGTAGAACTTGAAGTTACTTCAGCTAGTTAAAGAAATACTACAGTGGGAAAAGCCAAAAGGGCATTCAGTCCCTCCACCATGATGAACTCCCTGTGTAGTAAACAGATAAAAAGATACAGAGCTGGGTGTTCAGTGTCGTTCTCCATCTCCACAGACAGCCTGCAGACCACGCTTCTCACAACCTGCTTCAAGCTTATTGAAATGCATCCAGTCAAAGCTGCTGTTCAAAGGAAATAAATTCAGACAGACAGATCTTTTAATTAATTAAGCCCTAACATGTGAACATGTGGATGTCCACCTCTACATAAAGTCAGAGCTGGGCTGTGGCTTTGCAGCAGCACAACTGGTGCAGCCAAGTTCTCAGGTGCTAGGAGTTTAAAATCACACCAGAAACTAGCTTGGATGAAGTCACTGGCAATCCATGTGAATGCTAAGGATGAAAACTTCACCAAAAGATCATTTCCCAAGAAACAAACTGGCCTTCTGCATTCCTTAAAAGTTAGTTCTGTTTGAAAGTACTATGTAACCCTATGACATTTCAGTCAAAATGAGAGCCTTAGACATAAATTTATTTCACTGTATTATTTTAATTTTAATGTATTGATGTTATACAAATATTAAGGCTCTCTTTCTGACACTTTCTCTTGTATTTTTCTCTTAGCTTATTTGTGAGAAAAAAAGATTTTAAGATTTTTAGAACAGCAGATCTTAAGAGACATTTAGCTACAAATATACGTTTCTGCATTGTTTTGTACTAACAAAAGTGAAAAATAGCTGTTATTTTTTGGCATGTTTTTGTTAAGTAATTCCTTATATCTTATTTCCTCCACCCTTTCCAACAGTAATTCAAAACAGACTTCTATTTAAAAATTTCTTTTATTCTAAAATATATATATATTTGTATTAATTTATGCAGGATAGTAATTTTAAAAAGCAGTCTTTATGGATTTGAAAACAATTTTAGGAGTAAATGTCCAAAATCAAGCAACCCTAACAAATAACGGCTCCAGAACTTGCATTTATATGCCAAATACTTACTGTCCTCTAACCTGAAAGAAATGCAGCATCCTTCAACAAATTATTCAAAGATACTGAAAAAGCTATCTTCTTGCCAAGCTGTTTAGTGATGTTTCCTGACAAAATGATAGGACTGCTTTGCTTTATCAGCTTTACCTCCAGCTGGGTCATGTATCTCTGCTCTCCACTCAGCATCTGCAAATCTGCCATTCCCTAGAACAAACAAACAAATCAAAAAGCAAACCCCAAGCCCCTCAACAACATAAGTTTTAAGAAAGCAATAGTGTAGACTTGGGTGTTTCAGAAAAGAGATGAGAGGAGGAAGAAAATACACATTTTTCTATACATCTAACAACAAGCCTTCCACACTCCACAAAGCCTAAAACTTGCCATTGATCAATAATGGGGAGGAAGGATGGATTTGTTTTTCCAGTTACACAGAGGTCACAGTGGTGCAGGAGGCTACTTCCTTCAGCTTCTGCTGGTTTTAGGACTGAAATCACTACAAATGTTGCAATACCAGGCCAGAAATTAATAGGCTGTTACTGAAAATATTGGCAGTCTCACTGAGATTTAGGTTGAAATTTAGCACTGAGTCTAGCTCAAAAATACGTAATAAGGACAACTGCTAATTTCTCTGATGGATTGCTCACAAAACTGTTTTTCAATATGTGTATTTTCACTACCTTTCTTTTCTGTGCTTTTATGTAAGTATTCATCCTATCATGACAGCTCATGACATGCAAACATACCTTAATGTAATACACATCTTGGTCATCCACTATCAGTTCCAGGTGTCCAACTTGGGAACTTTTAGAAAACTCAATCCTCCCTTGGAGAAAAAGAAAACTTCAGTGATACTTTATCAGACTGTATTTGAAATGACAGATGTTCTTGTTATGAACAATAGATATAGAGTGATTAAAAACATAATAAATATCAGCTCAAAGAAAAAAAGGATCAGAATTTGCAAAGGCATTTTGCAAAGTGTCTTCAGAATAAACTAGTAATTTTGGAAGGATATTCTGAGGAGAATAACTGGGAAGAGGCAATGAAGCTGTCTCCAACAAACACAGCTTAGTCCTGGAACTGATTTATGCACTTTCTTTAGGCCTGTGCTAAAACTTGTAGGTTGTGTTGTGCTGTGGAGACATTTCAGGAGCTCAGAATGCTGTGCACACAAAGCCTTGCACAGTGGTAAAGCCCCCTTGCAATCCATTTGGAAATAACCAGGATCAAAAAAAAAGAAAAAAAAAGATCTAAAAAAAAAGTGGAAAAATCTAAATATGTGATATGGTAGAATACATCAACATAAAGCATCACTTGACCAGTATGCCAAAGAAGCTGAAATATGTTGTCTATACTATTACCATTAATTTGTCAGTTTATAGTTCCTCAATGGGTTTGTAGATTCTGTGTTCTATGTTACACTGTGATTGTTATTTTTTATTACAATGCACGGCACTACCATAGTCAGTACTTCATTGATTTAGCAACACATAACTTCATCTCATAACTAACAGAACACAGCAAATTGGACCAATACAGCAAGTTCAGCATATGTAAAAGATGTCAGAACAATCCACCATGTTCTTTAGCCTTCATTTCGTCAATCCTGGTAATAGTTTTCTTCTCTAATACAACTTTATGAACCAGGTACTGAACCTCTGACTGTGCAAAATATAGTGTTAACCAAGATGGAAACTCCATTGGGAATGAGTACTACCTAAAGCAGTAAACTGAACAGTTATCACATATTAATGCAGTTTCAGTATTAGATTAGTGAGTGAAATATACTGATATTTCTCAGTTAATTGTAATGAAGTTCTCCTTACTGATATCAGCTGGTGATCAGACTCTTAGTTGAAAAACCTACCATCCATCTCAATTTTTTTCTTAGGTTGTATAAATTGGATTCTGAATTTCTTCTGTGGGACACTAAAACTTATGTCAACACCAATATCTCTTTCCAAGTCTGACTTTGGAGTCCCAACAAAGAAGTGAAAGACAGCTTCACTTGGGATCCATGAATTCTCCTAAAAGAAAGAAAGAAAGAAAGGATGACCACATTATTCACTGGCACACCATTTACAAAACAATCTCTAATACAGAGACAACACATTGTTTATGTGCACTGTTTTGTAGATAAAAGGAGTATGGACCTTCTATCAGCATCAGTAATTTGTGTTCAACATATCTTCCCACTATACTGGGAATGAAATTAATAACATAGAGCCTGGAATCCAGAGGGTTGAACACACAGTACTGAGATACACCACTCTGCCACCAGAATGGCAAACTGAAAACTAAAGCCAGAGTCCAGTGTGCCAGTGGTACCTGAGCTATACAGTCATAGGCAGCTTCCACCACATACTGCTGCAGGCCTCTGTCTTGCTTAGTTAATGTCACAGCCACTCTCAAAGGTCCAGTGAGGGGGAAAACCAAATCACTGGCTGGGTCAGGATAGGACATTTCAGAACACAGCTGCCAGCCAATAATCTCAGACACTGATGGAAGACAACAGTTGGACATTCAGTTAGAACAGCAAACAAAGAAAACACAAAAATTAACTTTGCACTGTAGACCTTTTAGAAATAATATGTGAAAAAAAGAAACTCTACTGAATAAAATTATCTGTTACAGATATTTCAGAATTCCGTTCCAAGACAAACATAATAGCTGGACTCACCTTCCTCCCTAGTGCAAGATCTGGTTTCTGTGTGATCTTGGAAGACATCTATATCTTCTGTCTCATCCACCATTCTGAAGTAGAGTTTAGAGCTGCAACCAAGAATTTTGAACAATAACTTAAAACCAATTATGCTAAAGTTACAGCAATATTTAAACAAAAATCTCAGTTATATTCAAGAAAGTTAACAGCTACTGTTTTTGAAGGTGCCCTTGCTTAATCTTACCTGAAATTAATTATCTCCATAGATTCTTCTGGAGTGTTCAAGAAAACTTTGAGCTCTTTCCCTTTCTTCACCTGGATTCCCCCATCAAGACTAGTAGATGTTCTCACTCCTGTTAACCACTTTAGGCCAGCTTGTCCCAGAGTCCCCACAATTCCCATTTGGACAGAAAGCTGGACAAATGCACTGTTGAAAGATTCATGTACATATCCTTATATGAAATGCAGTTTCTTTTAAAAGCACTTAATTTAAACCTCTTCGATAAATACACAGAATTTGATGCTGCAGCACAGTATATTCCATGGTTAAAATCATGAACTATTTTGTTTCAGGAAATAACTGAAAAGATTGCATGTACACCAACACACACTTTCTAACATGAATTATAATTTTACTGTATCTCCTAAGGAGGGGATTTAAATGCAGATTTCAGCATGAAATATTAAGAAAGGGAAAACAATTAGAACTGAGTATCACAGGGCAAATTTCTTACTGTCTGTACAGCACTAAGAGAAGTTTAGTAACGTATTCAGTATGTACAAAAGCTAAAATAGCCAAGTAAGGAAACACAGGGTTAAATCCTCCATTGGTTTGTACATCCATAACCTGTAACATGTTTGATCCTGAGAAAAATCCACTTGTCACAGGTAAAGCACTCAAAAAATCAACTGCATGCAAGAATTCCAGAGTTTGATTTAGAGGTAGAGAGGAATAGTCAGCTTAAACCAGTACTGGATTAACACAGCAAGAGTTCAAAATCAGACAGGCAGGATAGGAAAACACTGCTGCCCCTACACCATGGCAACCATTCAGCAACAGAAGGCTGATGACTGTTTTTGTTTTTCAGCAATCTCCTAATTAATTAATAGGCATTCACACAAAACTTTCACATCAAGAATTGCTACTTTACATCAGGGACATGTGAAAGGGACACATTTGCAGCAGTTAATACCTTGGCTTGATATATCCATTTAGAAAGAAATTGGACTGCTGTTTGAAATCTGCATTCCCTTTGATTTTTATGTTGATTGCTGCTGAGGCATTGATTGCCAGTTGAATAGGAAAGCCTGAAATTGCTGGAAACTGCAGTTCTTCAGTGGCCAAACTCGTCCTTTTATTAAACTGAATCTCCTGCCCCTGTGATGAGTAAAACACAAACAAAACCCAGAATTTTATTTTGCATAATAGAGTTAGCATTCAAGAATTTTTCCAGATATAATTTTTGACTGCATCTGTATATTGTAAAAGTGTTTTTACCTGAGCTGATCTGGGACATAAAGAAAGCAGCCCAAAGCCTGCCTATGGCCATGGCACGAGTCAGACACCATTCCTACTCCAGTTAAAAAAAGAATTTGCATTTAGGCATGGATGGATTTGAATGAGAGAAGCAAGAGGTAAGAACCATTAGACAGCAGAACAAGTCTGCCTTATGTACCAAATGCTGTTTAAACCAAATATACACTGGTGTCTTTAAGAGTTCAGTTTAGAGAAACAAGAAATAATATTTTGTATCTTTTATTTATCTGTCAGAAAGCAGTTTCTCAATATGTTTACTTTCAAATACAAAAAAGGTTCCTTTTACCTTCAGAAGTTTGACAGCCAACTCAGCCAGATTTAAGGAATAACGTTTCATATGTTTTCTTAAATCTTCACAGTCTAAGAAGCTAAGTTCATTTCCAAAGATTTTCATGCTTAGCTCACATTTCAGCGCCTTCTTTCTTACTGTTCTCTCAGTGAACTGACATGATAAAAAAAGAAATCAAAGGGAATGGAGTTATAATTTCCTTTCAAACTCCCAAGAAACAATTCCTCAATGCAGGCTATGCTATAGGCTCCCTTTTACAAGTACTTTGGAGACCACTTAAGACCCTGGATTAGTAGCTGTTCTTTCCAGCTACACTTGAGCTTCATAGCACACAAGCTGGCTGTCACTATGAACACTGGTCATATCCAGTCCTAAGATGATAGGCAAAGAAGAAGTACTGCAATGCATACCCACAAACAGATGAAGCTTTGAAAAATACAATCTCAAAACAACATTATGGATTCCTTGATTGCTAAATAAACTGCTAGGAAGTAAAAAATTTACATTTTCTCTCCTTACAGTTCTATGATACCACAGCAACACAACATAATCATAAGCTTATTCTCTAAGAAGAAACCCTAGAAGATGAGTCCAAGGAAAGAGATGATCTAATACAAACTAAATGAATCACAGTCCCTGAGTTTTCCAGCTAATACAGCTAAACAACAGTTGAAGTCAATTCTTAGAGCTTTCCTGTGGTGTACATAAAACATAGCTCTCTCCAAAAAAGAGTAAATTCACAAAGCATCAATGTAACATCTGACATCAAACTGGGAAGTCAGACTGCAAACCACAGGACTCAGGAACTCACCATCAAGCAGCTGTTTACACTGGCACAGCAGTCGATAGACAAAAGGACATCAGCATAAAAGGGACCAGAGCTCAAAATAATGAAAGGAAGCCCAAAATACAGGCAACATAATTCCATGGCTGAATGTCACTGTTTTGAGACAATAAAACAATCTGAAAAAACTAAAGATCTGGCTCTTTGCTGCTCTGTGTTTTCTGCAGCTGAGTAGAACAAGTTACACGTGCTTTATGCAAAGGAGTCACAGTAATCCAGAGCACCTGTCCAATGTGAGATGGGGCCCTGTTTAACTGGGAAATGTCATTGATTTTTCTAAGATCTACAGATTCAGTTACCTTTTTGACTAACTCATTCATCTTACTGTATTTTCTACCAAGACAATTTTGGTTAGTTTTTCTCAGCTTTGGCTTGCCAGACTTGCTCACAAGATGATCAGTGGGGCTGTATCGCTTCAATGTTGGGTTCCTCTGCTTGACTTTCTCTGCTGTTTCCACTGGGGTTTCTGCTTTGTGGTTTCCTTCATTAGTGTTTCCAAAAAAATAGTCACTGAAAGTAGAAGATTTCGGCCCAAAATGCCTCTCTATAAGAGTTTCAGCATTCTCCAATCGTACACCAACCTAGTGAAAAACATGCAGCAGTGAAAAGCCTGACAGTGACATGTATAGGCCATGGCCAGTTCTAAAGCAGAATATCAAATATACAGCCAGATGTAACCAACATAAAAGGTTTGCCAAGCAAGACCACAGTAGTCTACGAAGTTAAGCATTCTACTTCCTTCAGTATTCAATACTGGATATTTCAGTATTAAATCTTCCCATAAAAATTAGATATGTAAAGCCCAGTCCAAAACAAAAATTCTTTTTCATTCAGGTACTGCAGTTCACTTACACCATGATGGGCAAGAAGGGGATACTGTTATTCTGGCATGTTAAAAACAGTATTTTGGCTGGAAAACACACACCTTTTTCATACTCTGAAATAAGATTCTGTTTGGAAGTTTGCTTAAAACAGAATTACTAACACACATAAATCCAGGGTATGTGGCACTGAAAAAAAAAATTCTGTTTCCTTGCAAGCTTAAACTTGAGATCTGAGGGCTACATTAAATACTTTTTTTTTTTCATGTGCACATTGTTACCTGGCACAGCAGATAATGATGAGGTCACAGGCAGGTCATTGAAATGTCCCCAGCACTGGATGCCCAATGGCACTAAAACAGTGACTTCAGCTAAGAACAAATGAGCCTATCTCAGAATTAAAGGAATGGTGCACCCAAGCCAATCCATTTTCCACTGTACATCAAGAAAAGGGATCTTACTATCCTAGACAGGAGCTAGAGCAGTGTTACAGGAAGCACTGATTTTAAGGTTTCATTTGAATCAACAAGAGCTAAGTCACTTTCCTAGTGGATGGCACTAGCAGACTGACAGTGCTTTTATTTTGACTAAGCCCGTTACAGAGAGGACTCACCAGTCTGAGGCAACTGTGCTACAACAGTGAAAAGCACATTTTGCTAAAGGAACTGCAACAGGAAAACAGAAAATTCTTTGTACTTTAATATACCAAGTGTCACTTAAGAAGTGGGATAAAAAAAACCCACAATTAAAAAAATCCATAAACTTGCCTCCAGGAGATTTATAGCCTGTCCCATAAAGTGAACAGTCAAATTTGTCATGACTGATCGTGGTAGAAAAGATGTAGGAGAAAAGACCACTGATGCTTCCATATTTGCACCTGCACCAGCTGCAATGAAAAATAGATGTCTGTCAGCTGGAGATCAGCTCTCATATTCTTTGCAAAATTCATAATTCTTTGGAAAACTATTACTCCACTCACTAAGAAGATGGTGAATGAAACATTGTCAATAGGTGAAACTATTTAACTTCTCAATACAGCAAACACATTACTGTAAGTAACTTCCATTTACTGGAATTCCATATTTACTGGACATTACTGGGTATTATCTCACTAGAATCAAAAGGAAAGCATTTATAATATGCAAGATACATGAATGCACTGGCGGAAGTGGACAGAAAATCAAAATGTAACTCTGAAAAACATCACTTAGAATTTTCACTGAAAACAAATGAACAAATAGTAAAACAGGAAAGAACTAGTTTGACTCTTTTCTTATACCAAGGACAGCACATGAATCAGGAGAAGAAAAAACATCCCAGTCCCCTGTTGCTGCAAAGGAAGTTAACTAAGGAAGGAATTAAAAGATGATGTTCACAAAAATAATCTTAAATGTTCATTGGTTCTTAGTCTCCTCTCTCACAAGAGGCAAAGGTGCATGGTATCTGGTTTGCTGGAAATACATTTTATATGCTCCAATTAAGAATCAAAGTAGAATCAATCTTACATTTGCATATTTGGATAGTATTAAATAATAAAAATCAAAGTTCTCTGGAGAAATATATAAAGGGTCAAAAAAGCCATGTAGGATGTTAATAAGCCATATGCTACAAAGTATTACGTTCTAAAACTCCACATACCTGAGTGAAATGTGACATCAGAGTATGAGGAATATTTCCATGTCTCCCAGTCAAAATCTTTGCTAAGAATTTCATCAGGAATAGAATCTCGAAGGTGCTCCTTCAACGGATCATCCGTCTCCAGGAGCTGAGAGAGATGACTCCAAACAAAGGAGCCCACTAAAATTCAACAAAGAAAAGCATGTGGAAATCAGAAAAAAATTACAAGAGTGTTAAACAGATACAGGAAATATTTTTATTTTTTATACCACTATTAATTCTAAGCCATTCCCCTGACCACAACAGAATCCATTCATTTTCAGCATGATTAAAATCAGTCTGATGCACCTACTGCAACATCACTTTAAATAAAACAAAAAGGCACATACAATTAAACAACTGTGTTTCAGAACTAGCATTCCTACATGACACTGTGGAGTTGCAATTTGGCCATGTATGTGCTGTGTAGTAGGGGGCAAATATTTTCCATATGTTCTGGAGTCTGGTTCCTAAATAGAGGCTTTTTTGTCTCCTGAAGATAAAAAAATATTAGGCTCCAGTGCTAGTTCAATGCACAGACACTGAATACTGATGCAACTGCTTTTTTCACAACACAACTTTTTTTTCAAATTTTGTTTTCTGAATGTAGAACTAAAAACTAACATGTGCCCTATGCCTTCAAATGCGCTTGTTATTCCTAAGTTTATTATATAAATTATTTAGCTGTCACATCAACAAAAGACAAAGGAAAGAAATTAAGATTCTTCATGAGTACTGCATTAAATTGTTTGAAACACACAAATTTTGGATGGACTTGTAGAGCTCCTTCATGAATCAGACAAATTAAAGTTTCTGCATGGAGTCACCAGAAGCAGCCACTGAGGGTACACCTTAACAGGATTTTGGAGGTGGATGCAATTTCTCTCTGTCTGAACTCTGATCAGAGAGGAATGAGTGCCCTCCAAACCACAAGCCACATCAGCAGGTGAGCACAATGCTGAGCCTGAACTCACAATCACTGCAGGATACACTGGTCCGGACATAACATCCTGGGAAAATGGAACCAGCTCCAAGGCAGGGCTGGCCAGGATCCAGACACAGTGCAGACAGAGCCTGCTTTCATCTGCCTGCAAACAGTCTTACAGATACCCTTCTCATGTTTGCTTCTTCTTGACAGATGTAAATGCAAGGGATTAGTCCAGAGGTATCCTTCACTGAACCTGGTGAAACCATTTTAGAATACTGCAACTTTTTTTTCTGCCATTTGCTTCTTTCTCAGCTTAACAAAATGCAATTTTCTGTCATCCATTTGTATTTGTAATGCAGTGAGTATCAAAGCTCTTCCATACAGCTTTCTCAGGAGCCTGCAGTGAATGAAATGCTGCCAGTAGAAGGAACTAATTCTATGAAAAGTCAATCCTTACTGACTATTGCTAAACTAACAGTATCACAATTGCAATATAAAATGTCACAATCATACAAACAATCACTTAGAAACAATCTACAAAGCATTGAGATTAAATAAACATTTACATGGATTAGTACCATTACACCTGCAAAGTAAATGTCACATTGAAGAATTGAATTAGGGACATGTAAGACTTCAGAAGATGCTTGGCTGACCTTGGCTGGATGTTTCTTTCAGCAAAGTGTTTTGTACTTGTTTAAATAACTCTTCCTGCGGACATTTCATTACTATATAATAAGCAGCAATTCTTATTTCCACATCTTCACTGGTTGCTTGATAAAACTGAAGTAATATAGCATTCTAAGAAAAAGACAAAAAAATAAAGAAAATTACTATTCACTTCCCTGGAACACCCCATGTGCACTTTCAGGTCCTGTGGGTTTTTTGTTCTCAAGGAGCTATTGCTATATTTGTAGATATTGCCTTATACCTGACAAAGACATTTTGTGTAATATGGATACAAGTGTATGTACATATTGTCTATACTACCTTATCCACAAATTTCCTGAACAAACTGTCACTATGACCTTGAATCCTATACAGACAAAACTATACAGGACTCTACAACACAGAGCCTCCCTTGCCAGCACAACTGTTAAGGCGCTGTCACCACAGGGGAGACCTGTCTGTTGTATCTCTCATGTGCCACCACCAATACACAAATGATGGCCATGGTTTTGTTCACAGGCTGTTAAGATCATTACTTTTGGTCTCAATCAAAGAGCAGGCCAGCAACAAGTTTATTCTGTTCAATATTTCCCCAGTATCAACCAAGACAATTTCTTTGTGAACTGCCAGGAATTAAGAAATAACATTTTTATTAGCATTCAACAGCCCCAGTCCATCCAGTTCAGCAGTTCATTTGTGAGACAACAATGGGATATATGACAATATACAGACTTGATACTTTGAACATGTCTAACGAGCAACACCAAGTTTCACAACTGCAGAACAAGTGAATCACACCAATCCATGATAAATTAAATTTTAAAAAGACATAGAAAGGTGCAAGACCATGTGGAGCTTTTTGTTTTTATGGACCAGGACTGTCAGCTTTGCCCAGGCCAGTGCACCGGGCTTTGCCACTCTTCTAAGTATCAAGGTATTAGAGATAAACAGGTTTTGAACTTTCTTTTATTAAGAAACAAAATGTATTCTTAACAAAATGTTCTAACTATGGCAGTGTATTGCAAATCACTACAAGCTTCTTACATGATTATTCTTACTTTATGTTTCAGAGAATGAAACAGTGAAACAGACTATGGGAAAAATCAAGTCCTGTGGGTTCTCAGCCATAGTGCCCACAGACATAAGGCATCCAACCAAAGTGCCTAATCAAGAAGTCCCAAACACTGCCTCAGTCACTGGATGTGTTACCTCAACTGCAGTGAAGCTCATTACAGGTTTGCTCATCTGGGTGGTTCTACCTTCTCCTCCAACAGCAGAGGGGCTCTACTGCAACATGTCTACACTTGTTCCCTATCTGTTTGCATGTTTCTGTAACTATTCCAACAAGTCCCAAATCTGTGGCAGTGCCAGGAAGCCATCAGTCACCTGTGGCAGTGAATCACTCACCCTGACAGGGCAGGGAATGCGCCGGAAGGCCTGGACAGCAGCAAGGCGGATTTCCATGGGATGGGTCTTCAGGGCAGCACAGGATCTCAGAGCAGGAGTCAGCGAAGCTGCTGCCAGTCCTGCATTTCCAATGGCTTTCAACACCAGCTGCATCTGTAAATGCAAAGCTAGGTAGAACAGAAAGCTCTCCAAGTGCTGGCAGCTGTACATTGCATTTCACGGCACTAACATTTTCTGTGCAAAACTCTTTAAAATGATGACTGGTGACTGGGGAGTTTACTGCAGCCCCTATTGTACTACCTATACCCTGGCTTTACTGGGAGGACAAGACACACATGGACTATGGTTCTATTCTAATGCCACTGGCACTTGTAAGTAGAACCTGCCTTAAACCTGGGGGAATACAAAAACATTCTTAAAAGCTTGCATTGTAACAGAAAAGTAAAAGTCACAAATTTTATGTGGTCGGAAAGTTTTTCAAATACTTTGATATTTTGTCCCTTTTGATCACAAATATTTTGACATTTTAATGATTCAACATAGAGTTCTGGACACAATAACTTAATTAAAATAATAATTTGTCAACAGATAGGTGTTTTTCCCACTGCTCAGTGGTATGAAGTTTGCTTCATCAGGAAACCCAAGGCTTTTCCTTATTTCCACACACAAGGACACCCATACTGATAGGTTCTACTTGTCAGATTACAAAATTTTATCAGCTCATTCTAGCAAGGAATATTCATCTACTAAGCTTGTATTCATGGCTGTCTGGAAATGCAATTAATACCATTTTCATCTAACAAGTTCTCAGATCACTAAGGGAACAGAAAAGTAAAGCACTGTATCATGTGCCTCTGTATAACCAATACCTTGCTGACATGTTCTGAATCTTGCACAGTACAGTTTCCTCCCAAAAATTTCCCAAGAATCCTCATCACACTCTGCACAGCAGGTACAATATCACAGGAGCTGTGAGCTGAACAAAACCTATGTACAAGAGCTGTTACTCCCAAGAAGCAGCTCTGGCTTGCTCTAGGTGACTTCAGCAAAGGCTGTAAACAACCACAGAAAGAATGAGGTGTTTCAGTAAAGTCATGAGAATGACTACACTAACATACCACATACAGTAACATACCATTATAAATGTATCAAAATATTTACATACTAAAATACAATCTCAGCAGAATGACCTGGACAGAGATTTGTATAAATCTGAAAAGACTATTACTGTAAAACAAAATTGATGAGCCACCTAGATTCATTACAAATTAAAAAAGAAAAAATAACATCCACTCACAGCAAGAGATTCAATCATGCCCGAGGTGGGATTAGGAATGAATGTAAATGACCAAAAGAAATATTCTACTTTGTCTTCCTCAACTTCTCCAGAAGCTATGAGGTCTTTCATTAGGACAACACATGCTTCTGTCGCACAAGATGGGAGAGCATCTATTAATGGTTGCCTGTAACACAAGAAAAAAGTACAGGAAATCTAAAATTACCAAAGTACACAAGAATCACATAACAAGTACATTAAGACTCAGCTTCTTTCAAAGTAAATAAAAGTCCAGTGGCTTAGCAAATGCCAGATTCTGCATGTTGATGTTTCAGTCAGGATGTGATGGAAGTGCACTGGTGTTTCAAGAACATTTACCAGATTTTCAAGAAAATATTCAGTTGCTTTCTCTGAGAATTAAGCCACATCACATCCCAGCTTTGACTTCTAAAGACTGAGGTACCTTAAAGCATTGATTTTTTCTTAAGGTGTCTTTTTCCTTTCATGTCACCTATAACACCAGTAAAAAATTAAAATATTAAAACTGAATTGACTAGCTTTTACTTCCTGTGATTTTTAGACCTTATCTAAGGGGAAAGCCCACACCAGCATGACAGACAATACACATTTCAACTCTTAAGAGTCCCTCTGTAAATATCCTGCCTCCTATACTGATGGAAGGACACTTCTGCATTAACTAGAAAGCAGTTAAAGTAGATGGGGTAAAAGCATCAGAGAGCAGTCTGCATGGGATTTTTTTTTCACTCCTAAATTTAATAACCATGTCTTGAGTAAAATTAGTCTAAAGGTAATATAAAAAAGGCAGAATAGTTTAATTACTGTCTAATAATGAAAAATATTAGCATGACTATTTATCAAAAGATGAGAATAAACTCAAAATTTGCCCCTTTTGCATCAAATAAAGGTATTTTTACAAACATAAACCCTTAATTTCAAACAGACTGATGACATTTTGTACAGAAACCAAGTAGAAGAATTGTTTCATTATTTTCAATTTTGTGAGGGGAAAAAAATCACTGATTTTGATAATACTGGATTAGTACTTCTTATAGACTCAAACCATTGGATCAGAACTGTTCCTGACTGCAGAGGAGTAGGGCCTTGACCTTTAAAGCCACAGTTCTACAACTGGTATAAACCATCCTGGGATCCAGCTGATACTGAAAGATGCAGCTCCACCACATCCATACTCCCAGACTAACATCTGTCTCCTCTGCCCCACAACTACTAAGGGCATTGAAAGTACAGATCCAGATAAGCTTTTTCACAACAAATGGCAACAAAAGCTTGAAACCAGCAGAACTGATTTCCATCCAAGCCATGACTCAGATTTCCCATTCACTTTGCTTTGGAAACAGGAAGTCTGGATGTGGGAATATCGTGTCTATTTTGTACATAACATTCATTCAGTGAGGAGAGAGTATCATCCCATTACAGAAACAAGATCTGCAATACAAATTATTCCTTTTAAATGCTCCAAATTTAACTCCAACATTTGGGCACAGATTTAAAACTTTTAAATATTCACAAAACATTTCTTTCCTTTGTATTTTTGAATGCAATTACTAAAGGAGACTTACCAGTTGTCTCTGCACTTAAATGATGATCTTTGCCATAGTGCTCTTAAGGCCTCAAGAGAAAGATGTCGAAGCTCAAATACGAGAGTCATGAAAAGGTCTGCAGCCTGAAAGTGCACAAGCACAACTGTAATATTCCTGCTGTGCAGAAACCAGCTTCAGAGAACAGAGAGATTATGCTGGCATTGCCACTGATTTACAAAGCAACCTAAGAGTGAACCTTCCTTTCTTCCCTGTGTCCTTATATTCCTTCCTCATTTGTTTTCCTCTCCAGACTGCAAACATACAGAGAAAGGCTTTTGCTTTGGATGTCAGTCAGTCCCTCAGACAGCAGCTCTCAGCGACCACCATGCACACCACTGGCATACAAATGAATAATAAACCAAAATGCAACAGTGGGGTTACAATCCAGAAGAGAAAGTTATAACCTTCTCTGAATTTGTATAGCAAGATCCTGATTTATGACCAGAACTTCTGACAAAGCTTTGACATAAATGAAACAATGGTCAAGCTAACTGCATATTAATCTTAGGTTTATGTGAAAGATCATTTAACTGAGGTTTGGGCAACACTTAGAAGTTTCACTTGAGAACCCTTGGGCTGTGAGAAAATTATTTTCTGGGGAAAAGCCCAGGCAGAACTGCCCTTACCTCTGCAGGCAGCACAGGACTAGCTGGAAACAGAGGCAGAAGAGCTGTTCTCTCTCACTAAGAAGAATTGTTACATCAATCAGCAGCTATTTTACCTGGTATTTTAAAGGCTAAATAGCACATGGATGTACTCCCCTGAGACCTGATCCAAAGTTCAAGAAAGAAGATAGGTCTCATTACTTGAAAAAATTAGCAGAATGTTCAATACAGTATCTTGTATGTTTATGTTAACTGAACTTCATAATATGTAATATTATAAATATAATATGTACATTTTAAACATGGTCCATGTCAGATTCACTTCAATGTTTTATTCATCTCAGATGTGAAAGGCTTAGACATAGGACTAAATTTCTGGTTCCAAAGAAAACATTTTTCTTCATGTAAAAATCATTCAAGGTCTAATTCCACTAAGTCACATTTCCAAAAGTTTGGGGACAGACCTACTTTGACTTCCTGACCTTCCTTCCAGGAGCTACTCCCAAAAACAACGAAAACATGGAATAACCCAGTGCCAGCACTAGATTTTAAGACTGCCAAGCCAATTTCAGTAACAAGAAGTTGTATTTCAGTAAGAAGTCTGAGTAATTTCTTACTGTTTTGTTTGATAGGCTGAGGGAGTAAGTCGGCAGATCCAATATAGATACAGTTCATGGTTTTATTCTTTCGGGATTTATATTCTTCTTAGAAATAATATATAATTTAATCAAATTAAAATTTGTTTTCGTATGTGAAGCCCCACCTATGTATTAATTCTGTTAACATTTATAATTCCATACCTAAAATTCTGATAGATACATGCATTCCCTTCTATTCTATTCCATCCCATCCCATCATTATAACTAAGGTCTATTTTAAAAAGAAATTACAAGCCTGGACACTATGGAGCTAGTGAAAAAGATTACATTTTATAATAAAATGTCTATAAAATATTCAGAGAACTGTGTTTTATATAACTTTTTAAAAGCATTTCTAAAGCATGGGACTTATGTGCATTTTTCCACAGGCAAATCCACTGGGGTCTGAGGACCCTCACAGATCTCGTCACAAAGAGCTGTGTGTGAAGCTGCTGCTGAGCCCAGATGGCCCATCAGCTGGAGCTGCAGCACAGGTCAAGATAAAACTGCCAGACTGAGGGACTTTCAGCTGATACAGTTTTAGACTGTAAACTGACTTCATTCTGCTTCACACCTGCTGACTAGAAAAGCTCTCATCTAATAACTCCAAGCAAAATTTTGCAGAGAAGCAGCCATTTTTCTTTCTAATAATAAAGCTTTAGAATGAACCGTCTGACCAGGTGGGCTGTTTTCATTTTTTAAGGCTGGCTGCACTGAAATTGAACTGTCATTGAAAATTCCTCTATTTGTAGTATCATAATAACAAACTATGTTTAAATCTGACTCCCATTCCCACCTCTGAAAGAAACATAAGAAAGACTGGTTTTCATTCCACATAGAAGCTTGCTTTTCCTTCTACCTGTAGATCTGCCATATTAAAAAAAAAAAACCTAGGTAAAAGCAAGCAATTACAATGCCTTATGAGGGAAAAAAAAACAAAAACAAACCAAAACCAACCAATGAAACATCATGCCCTGAAAGTAAACTTTTTTGGGTCAGACTGGGGTCCAGGAGCAAGGAAAAGCAAATCTGACATACTCTTGCCCACCTTTCCCAGTGCATCCACAGCCACATTCACCAGAGCTACTGACCAAGCACCAAAACCCAGGCAGTCACTGGAAACGCAGCCTCAGCAGATGTGGTGTGACAGGCTTCTCTCCAGCCTCTCTCCGGGTCCCTTCTCCCCACCTCTTTTTCCATTCTTTGTCAGAAGGCAGCTTGTTCACTTAATGGTCCATTAGCTAATCTACATCCACATTGAAATTCAATCTTGTCTCATAATAGCATTAAAAAATTAGACAACAACTTCGCTTCCTTGGAAATGACACCATCTCCACCTCCATTTTCTCATCCCTATACTGTTTTCCCCAGAGTTGGAGACTTTCCCTTCCATTTATTCTTGGTTTTGTGTCCTGAAAGAAATGCATAATCTCACCTCATTCAGAGTCAAACAATAAAGGGACAAACAAGCTCTACATGCTTAACAGTGCAGCTGTCTCCCAAGCAACGCTGGGGGCATTCCCATAACTTCTTTCTTGGCCCAAAGGATATTTTATTGATTGAAATGAAGGATGATAAAGATTCTCTTTGAAATGTCTTGTCACACAAAAAGAACACCCTGAAACAGTGAAAATGGTTGACAACCAATCAAATCCTGTGCTGGGACGGGCACATGATGAATAATTTACCTCTCTTCTAGGCAGTGGCACACAGACAGTAGCCACTTGTGCTAATCTTAGTGATTTAAAAAACAAATTTCCCACACATGAAGTCAGTAGGCCCCTGGAGGCAGAAGTGACATCCCACTGTTACTGGGAAAAACCATTTACCATTCTTTCAAAGACACTGAATTAAGAGTGTTCCACAGAAGGTAGGATTTAGAGAAAGAAATTACTGCAGCAGATCTGAGAAACTTTCTCCAACATTTTCCAGGCAGTATGTGACCCTCTAGTCTGTGCTTAAATGCCATTTCCTGCTGCTGTAACACTGACAACCATATGGAATTAAGCATTATCCTTCTCCAAGAGGCTGCTTTTATTCTTTATTAGCACCAACCATTATTATATGGCTCTCTTAGCCCTCCATAGCCCCAGTCTCCATAACATGTAGCTAAAAGAGATGGTAGACCTGCTTTTAACTCAGAGATAGAAGTCTATCCCAGATTTTGCAATACCTACAAAGGCCATCTGCTGCTTCCTCCTCAGCCCCATGCCCAGGCTTTTGTCAGGCTGTGGTACCAGGTCAGACTATGATCACCTTTCAACAGGTTAGGAGTTAAGTCTGGGGCTGGAATTTATCACAGCTGACTAAAGGTGCTTCAGCAGCTGTGACTTATCCTGCTCCACCCTGTGCCTTCTCCTGAAGTCTCACACACAAAACATGAACACCTACCTGTACTCATGAATCATACGTGATACTAAGAGAAAGGTGAACACACCCAAGATACCACTGCAGAGCTGCAATCCAGCACTGCACTTTCCTCCAGTCCCCATAAAGCCTCTCCTCCATTCCCCGGTATCTGTGTCCAGCCCAGGGGAAATACAGGCAGAGCTTCTGTCCTTTGACATGGGACTTCATCTAAACAAAGGAAGGCGAGTGCCCTCCATGCTGGCTCTGAAGCTTTCTGTTAACATCACTTGTACCTATGTGCATTTACAGGAGAGGTGTTAGTCCCTCTGTACAGGAAATAACCTTGCTCCAAAGTGCGAACCATCTAATGAGAAAAGAACCTCAGAGGACAGAGAATATATCAGGAATGAGATGACTAAACTCATCAGTGGCAAATTCATGGAGGAACCAATGCCCTGTTTAGACCATTAGACCATACCTGTTTTCTAGTAATATCCTGACCAAAAATTACTTAAAGAGTGTTTTCTTCTGTTTTCACATTTACATTTTTTTTCCTTGCTTTTCTCTGTAGGAACTTCACTACTAGCAAGAACCACTCTATTTGAAGGATAATGGGATATGAAGTGTGCTCTATTTGCCCTTGGTTGAGCTCAGGTGAAGAGTGATTAAGCACCACCATCTGTTGATCCTTCTGTATTGTACATAACAGGTGCTCTTTATAACCTAGCAGGCATTCTTGATAACCTCTGAATTTCAGAGATAAGGATCTTCATTTCAAACACAGTGACAATTAAAGACTGATTCCGTTTCTGCTAGTATCAACAAAAAATACAAGACCCGAGAGAGCTAAGGAGACAGGCAGACCCTCATCTAGAATGATGGTAATCATAAAAAATATTTAAGTCACTTCCTGTTCCACATGACCAGAAGATTCCACCTTATCTGAGAAGCATTCATCACTGAAAATGGTCTAGGGGACAGAGATTCCCTCTGGACCCAAGCCAGCATCCCCAGAAAACATGATGATTGATAGCAGTTCATCAGAAGCACAAGGAACCTACCAGCCAAGACCCAGAGGCAAGGGCTTCATGTGCAAACTGTTTTGAGGGGATGAGGCAATATAAGGGCCACAGAACTCCAATAAACAGCACCAGGGGTAGTACTACACACAAAAGCTGTAAAAGATGTGTTTTACAATACTAAGTATCAAAACTGCTAGTGACAACCCAAACCAGATACTTCTTATGCTTTCGTTTTTTCACAGAAAAACAAAAATTTGGGACATTTTCTTTCCCATTAATTTAGAACATAGTTCAGAATTGCTTTTGCCCAATATATGTTTTAACTCCTCAGTGTAATTTACTGTTTATATAAGAAAATGACATTTCCAAGCATTTTCTCTTTCTCTAAATCCATATTTTAAAATGTCCAAAGCAATGGAAGACTTCAGTATTTCAAAATTGCGGCACTCCTGGTCACCTCTTATCTGTGTAGGAGAATTCTCAGCCCACAAAGAGCCTCCCAAGGAAGCAGAGTCTGTGTGTACAGCTTACCTGGTAACTTGCACTGTGTGCTAAGCAAAGCTTCCACACCAGTTCAGTCACTTCTGCCCCAGTGACCTCCCTCTTAGTTACCTCCCTTTCATAGAGAATGCTGGTCACATACAGATCCTCAGAGTACCCTGGAAAAGGAACATAAAGGAAAAATCACATCTCTGGTGATTGCTGGCAATTTACTATGATTAACCTATATGCAAGGGGAAAGTTTCTCTCTGAGCCTCTATTTCTCCCTGTAAGAGTCTCCCTAGGTTCAGTACAGCCAAGGGATGAATACAAATGCCTGCAGTCAGTTTGAATTTAAGAACACAACAGAATAAAGACAAGTGTGACCCAAAAGAAAGAGTCAGAGAAACAAGAAAAAGATACACACGAAAAAAGCCCTATTTTCCATCCATACATCTCTTAGTATGGCCCTGCTACTTTACATTCACCACTTTTTCCAATATCGTCTAATCACTAGTCCCACACTTTAACCACCAAAAAAACCAGCAGGAGATCTAGGTGCCAAGAAAAAGAAATGGCTTGGCTCTGAACCTCTTCCTGAGGAAGAATCCTATCTTCTTACGTTGGTATAATTATAGACAAAATGTCCTGGAAATCTGGAGGTTCCTTGAAAAAAAGAACCAAACAACTATTTAGAAACAGACAAATAACATGTTCCTCAACATTTAGAGTTCAACTTTGAAATAATTCCTCAGGCAACTACCTATTGACTTCGGTAAAATCATTTTCCTAAGGAGAAACACAAAGGAGAAAAGAAGAGCTAAAATTAAAACAGTTCTCAGACATGGCATGTCCTTAATTGCAAGCCCTAATGGAACTATTTAGGTTCCATTTTGATAAAAACTAGGAGTTGTCCACAGACCAGGGAATGCTGATGCTCTGCATACAAGAGCACTAGGTATGTAAAATAGATAAAGAGGAGCTGGCCATTACAGACCGTCACTTTTGGAAACCTATCCAGTTTTGGAGATCCACAGAGTTTTGTTATGGCAGGCACAAGCCCTCAAAGACGGGACAGCCCAGCCTGTAAAAGCATCCACTTTAAAAGTGAAAATCATGGGTGCAAAGAGTTCTCACAGGCAAGACAAAGTCACAATATTTTCCTAGGAAATACTCGACTTTAGCAGAAACATAGTTACCTTTATGGTAGAGTGTCTCTGTTTCCACTTGCAAGAGTTTCAGTGCAGACTGTGTCTGTGTCTCTGCCCCACTGCCCTGCTGAGGGAACAGCGTCACACGGTCGGACTCGGTGCATTTGGCCTCCTCCAGGACCCCATCCTTAATGCTCTGGGCACATTCCAGCTGGGAGGACAGGATCTGCTGTTCAGACTGAGAAGAACAGATACTTCAGGAAGATCCTTGATGATCTGTGTCAGCCTACCCAATCCTTCCTCTCACAACTTCACAGAGGATTCCAGTTCTGGGATAGTGGGAAGTCTCTTGTCTACACCTCTGATAGTGCCCAGCCTGTGGAGATTAATGCACTCCTTATTTTAGCCTAGTTTTTTATCACTGAAAAACAGCTGCTATTAACTATCAGCATCAAATTCATTTCTGTTCACAAAGCCTCAAAGTTAATCAGATATTTTTGGTCAGAAAAGTAGAAAAAAGCAAAAGGCTGGTAAATTTTGAATAGCTACTACAAGAAAAGGTAATATTCACGTAATAAAAATAGCACAAGATACAAGAATTGACTGTATTTTCTGTCAACAGTGGAAACCTGCAAGTCTGGCATTTACAAAATTTAGAAAACTTCTATCTTTCCAAGTTTTCTACAAAGAATAACTTCATTTTTCTAATGTATTTTTTTCTTACTCACATCTCTCTATTCCTCCCTTCAACAGTATATTTTCAGTTTACCTCTATAACATATTTTAATGAGAGTTTAATCCAGGTGCCTAACAACCTCTTGCATTTATACTATAATATTCATCAATTACAATGCAAACTTGCATTAAAACAAATTCTGTGAGTAACAGACATTACAGGGAGAATAATATGCACCATTTCTTTGCTAAGAACTCAAGTTTGGGCAGACACTCTCTTCAAATAAGTTAAAAGCAAGAGCCAGTGTCATTCCCCATAACTTACCGATGCATGAGGAAGAACAACAGACTGCACAGAAGTCAAACCAGAAGAGCGATGGGAGCAGAGGTTTAAGTCCTTTGTCTTTACAAGAATGGGACCCTTTTGTTGATACCTGGTTGGGCATATTCCCAGGACATCCACCTAGTAACAAACATACAAGATTGAATCACACATGCACACATAAAATACAAGGAGATAGCGTAGGTTATTGCAATTAGTTTTAATAATTACTTTTTTTGTAATAACAACAGAGATCTAAATTCTCCCTAGTAGAACACTGGCTTTGCCACAAAAGCTATGAAAAGGCAAATAATTTTAAAGATGTTGGTCAAGTTTATAGTAGCCAGGCTCTGTTGCTTTGTTTAATTTCACTGTGTTATTCTGAATCAGATAATTTACAGACATGTGCTTTTTCATTTCAGATTTTGTGGGCATGCAGGGAAGCATTAATTTAGAAGAGCATTACTAGACAGAGTAACTTCAGTTATATATGTGTGTGCCAAGCCCTACTGCAGAACATCTCTTTAAACACTGACACACTGCAGTAGCCTGAGAATAAGGCAGTGTTCATCATGCTGAAGGTCAGTCTAGAGACAGCTCTTCGTAAGAGAACTGCAGCCCCTGAGGTGTGTCAGCTGCCCCCATGCACACACTCAGGTGACAGCAGGGAGTGCTGGACTATTGTTTCAGTGTTACACAGCAAAAATTGAGCTTAAGCATTGAAATAATTTCAAAGAGCTCTGAGAACACTGATCTCCCGAAATTATTGAAAAAAAGTAAAAAAAAAGTCATGAATTATGTGTACTGTGTTTTCTCCATAGAACAGGTAAAGCCCTGGCACTAGAACTCAGGTAACCAAGTAGTGGATTCCAAGCCTCAACAAGAATGTGAATTATAGGTAATTTTAGAACATTCACTACAAGAAGCAATCTGATGACTGCCACTGTCTGCTGAACCAAGTGGCAAAACCCTTTATTTATTTAGAAGTGGAGTAGAATTAAAACGTACAAGAGCTAAGGGTCACCTCAGAGCATGACTGACAGACTCACCTCCTCAACAATGGCACCAACAGGGAATTCTTGAGCTGTCTGCAGGACACTGAGAATGCCTCGCTTGATGTTCAGTGCCCAGGTCTGCTCACTCCTCACAGGACAGAGCTTCAGAACTTTCCCATCATGGAAAGAAAAATGAAGAGGATGCTGTTCTAGTATTTCCCTGTGATAAAAGAGTTTATAATTTCTTGCTTCAAAGAGTGCAAGTCAATTTATGACATTAAATTCAGATTTTCCTCAACAGAGCTGTTGTTCCACAATGGATCTCTCTTGTTCTGTATCTCCATTCTTTACAGCAAGCCTCTATTCTTCATAAATTCAGCCTAACCCAAGGAGGCCTTAAAAAAATCCTTAAAAACAAATCTTCTCAAGATAATCACAGCATCCTCAACATAACTGTAACAATAAAAGCAGTCCAGGCAAATTATTTACAAGTAAATGTACTTATGGCAATGATTCTTGTTTAATTAAGAGAGAAGTTCCATTTTATGATTCAGGGTGTCTTTAGCTTCAGTAGGCATGTCTGAATTACAAAGAAACTGCACCATGCCTCCTCAGCTGTGATGCACACAAGAACAATTGTTTCCCAATTGACCCATATCTTCCTGCTCTGCTAGGTGAGCATACTTGGGCTCTATCCCAAACTTATTCCCCAATCTCTGCCATTAGTACACTTCCTAACGGCTTTTGCTATCCCAGATTGAGAGTACAGTGTTTTCTACCTTTCCAAGGAATCACTTTTTAACATTGATTTTCACTCCTAATATAACCTACTTTAATCATATATTTTCCCTCTAAATGGGGAAAAACAAACTATCCAAAGGAAGAATTCCATAGTAGCCCAGTGACCAGCTCCCATACAGGAAGCTAGACAGCTCATCTGCACATTAGATGGGGTGCTAACTATTCATCTAATCAATCAGGTCACAAAGTAAGAGATAAAACTTTAATACACCAAGATCTGGATAAAGCCCTTCCAGAAGACACTGGGCATATAGGATAAGGGTTTCAGTTTCTGAACTCCTAGGCAACTGAGCCTGTTTTTGCTACTATCTGTAGAAATTACATGCATGTTCAGAGGACAAGCTAGACTACTGTATATTCACAATAGGCCGAGGCAAATGCTAATAAGGCTCACTTGTCTGAATAATTATTTTGAATAGCCAAGCTTCACTGAATGCTTTCTTTGCTACCTCTCTTTTTTGGCTTCTCAGCAAAGAACAATACACAACTGCTCTTACTGCTATGAACATCTTGCAAATAACTTCACAGAAGATGTGCCTGTACACTCATTTGAACTCTGATACCGCTGCCCATAGAGAGAACACAAAGTTCTTCCTGATGAATATAAAAAGCAATGCTTTTACTCCAAGCTTGCTCTTTTTGACCCTTTGAATTGAATCAATTACCTCAGCTCTCAGTGTTGTTTAAAGGCTGAGAATTCAAGTGTCAGGACAAAGAAGAAGATTACAAGGCTGAGCTTAATCAGACAACAGAACTGCTTTTTTTTTTGATGACAGAAGAAGCATCAGCTCTCTGGGAAAATGTCAGACTTCCACAGTTTGAGGAGATCTTTTTGTATAGCCATCTATACTGGAGACTATACCTCGGCTTGTCAGTGAGAAACACTGGCATATGTTATGAATGAGCTACTAAACCCGAAAAACAGAGAAGGAAGAAAAGCTCATTGGACAAATAAAGGAAATATAAGTATCCTGGAAGAAAAAAAAACACAACATTTTGCCTTATGAGAATCCTCTAGACCAAGAACCTCTGAAATCTACTGCAAAACTCAAGAGTCCATAGAAGTAACATCTGCAGCCCTGAGAGCTGTGATCTACACATGCTGCTATAGGCCTGGTGATTTGAACTCAGAATAATTTGAACTGTCTATTGTCCAAATGGTTTTACATACAAAGGGAGGAAAGTTACATCGAAGGAAAACTTGTTTCGACCAAATGGCTCTCATTCTCTCATTTTTGCTTATTGTGCTTGTATCTGGATCATCATTTAAAACACAAAAATAAAAAGAACCCCTAAAACTAAACAGAGTATGAAGCAGAGTGAACAATGTCCAGCCAAGCTGCTGCTAAGCCATGTAGTTTCAAAAAACCCCAAAAGATAGACCAGATTAGAAGGTTTTCTACCTTAGACTGCCCATTTCTTTCAGAGATTCCTCTCTGGATGCAAAACTTTTCTTAATCTGTACATCTTGAACCTAGAAGCAAAGATTATAGGCAATAACTTTCATTGTCAAGAGGAACTTGTGGATTTATCACATCAGTTTATCCATACAGAACATTCACATGAACAAAGGCTCAGTGTGGCAACAGAACTGTATTAGCCCCATCTTCAGGTGGCATATCTGAGGCAGTTTCCAGAAAGTTCTTCTATGAAGAAGTTTCACTCACTATTAAACACACTTTATTCAGCACTATTATATCCCTTTCACTGTCAAGCCACTAACCAGTTAATTTTTATCCATGTGCTAGGACAGGGATAACTATGCTCTTTGTTGACCTCATGTATCTGTGTATTTAGTACACATGTGTCAACCCCCCAGCAAAACCGATGAATTATCCCCTCTGTTAACCTGAAGGAAAACCCAGGCAGCTGAAGCTGATTTTTCCTGCTGCCCCTGTAGTCCTAAAGCACTATAGTTCTCCACCTGGCCTACCACAGGGCTCACCCCAGGAGGAGCTCTGCAATTTGAAACTGCTCTGTTGCTCTTGTCACTGAGACAGATCTCCTGTTGTGATGAATGAAGTGTTACAAGATTGAATTTTACACTGGGCTAGGAATGGCACCAATCCAGCACATCATACAAGGTTCTCAAGTTCTCTTAAAAATGAGCTATTTTAAAATTACTGCTAGAGATATGGAAGTGCTTTAAAGCAAACCAAGTTCCTTTCTCCAGTCCTGCACTTCATGTAACAAAAAAGTAAAACTGTTGTGCCACTTAGAAAAGCAAACAATTATTTTCCTAATCTTCCTTTTAAAACTGGCAAATACCTAATTTCACGTTGTGGTGCATCAAAGCAATACTGAAACTCTAATTATGAGATCCAGAATTGAACTGGCTTTTAATTACAAGAAAAACAAATGTTTGAAACATAACAATAATCCCAAAGAAAAATAAGATTCCAGATCAGCTCATCCCAATCACTCAAACTATTATGACAATACTTACTTTCAAAACCATGTGGCAATTCCCCAATACTTCAATGATCACTGTGCTCTCCAGAGAGATGCCACTGCCTTTGTAAATATTTCCCTGCAGGAATGTGTTGGTGACTACTGAATACCTGTAGCTGTATCTAGCTCTTTTGGGGAAGTATGATGCACTGTGTCCTAGGAAATTAAAAAAAAAAATTAAAAAAAAAAAAGGGGGAGTGGTGTTTTAACCTATTAATCTTCCCCCTCTATTTTTTTGTTCTTTTAATCTTTCAGCCACTGAAATCAGCAAAGCAAAGATATTCAGATTGTTCCCTTCCCACTTGGACTTTCAATTGAAAGAACTGGGTTTCTGAAAGCACCCTGTGTGCTGGCTGTAGCTCCTGTAGGGAGGGGGAAAAGACTTCCCCTCTCCCAGGCACATAATCTCACAATTTTCTTCAAGGCAAGAAGTTAATTTCCAAGGGCAGAAAAGGAATGTAATGCATTTACAGCACAATGCTCTTTCAACACCTTTCAGAGAGCAGCGAAGTAGGACCTTCACGACAGCAAGATGAAATAGATCTGTTCTTCATGCCTATGGCTGGGCTTAGTCCCATGCTGGTTTAGTCCTTTGCTCAGCTCTAATGCTTAGGAGTTTTTCAGAGTTCACAGAATGCAAACTTCAGGCATGTGTGGGCCTGGTAAACCATAGTGGAACTTCTCTGCTATTTCCCTGAATGCTGATCACTCAGGCAGAACTATCATCCTGCTCAGAACACAATATCCCTGCGCAAGTTTTCAAATTCCTCTTTCCTTATTATACAAAAAGCCTGAATAAAATCTTGTTTTACTCACCTGCACATTCTGCAAAACAGGAAGCTCCATAACTTAACCTCTCTGAGGATCCTGCAATGACAGGTAACAGAACAGAAAAGCACTGCAAATTTGTGTGCAGCTCAGCACGGACCTGCTGCTTCTGAATTTCAGCGAAATTGCTGAAATCCAAGCATGGTCCTCAAAACAATAACTAAATCCATGACAGTTTTTCTATAAAGTATACAGGCTGACACAATCTCACTATTTCTGTTGCTTTCTCCAGAATGCTGAAGGAAGATGCACTATTTAACGCATCCTCTCCAGGGAGGGTGCTTTCTCACCTGCTCAGTACCACTCAAAGAGCTCAGCAAAGCAAAGTGCTACACTACAGTAAAAATCCAGACAAAGTGCTACAAGAGCTACTACAAACCTACAAGCTGTGACATAATGCTCTGTTTTGCCAGTGAGAACATTTCTTAGCAGAAAAATTTCTTCTACTTACTCCCTGAAGCTCCAGCCACAACAGCACAGAGTAAAATGATGGTGAGCAACCCTGTGGCCATCAAAATCACCTCCTCAGACCTGAAGTTAACAAAAACACATCAGTTCTGCTCTCAAAGGCACCTCTGAGCAAGGCACTGAAAGAAAATTTCCTTCACAAAGCAGGAGCTCACTATTTCAACTCCCCTCTTCCAGCCAGAGGAGGGGCTCTGGCAGGGCAGCCTGCAGAGGGGAGGGGAGGTTGTAGTAGGGGGAGAGACAGACACACACATAACCACTGATCCCATCCCCAACAGCATTTCAGCCTTTTTGCATAAGAAGAGGAAGAGAAGTTAATCTATTAGAAATCCCACAAAATTGGAAGGAAAAGAAATTAGGTATATGGCATCATAACAAAGCAAATGCTCAGAACGATCCCATGCAGTGAATATAAGCTAAATAAACAAAAGTAAAAGTCCTCCTAGCAATCCCTCCGTGATGATTAATCAACCAAAAAGTACATAGGATGAAAGCCAAAGCTTTGGGACTAAAGGGAAGGTGTTTCCATCAGGAGCAAGCAAGTTCATGAGAGGCACTCATCCCACTAAACAAAGTTCCAAACCTCAAATGGGTAAAACTGTGTGTGAATAGCACACAAAACCACTGAACCACCGTGCTGCTGGTACCAATCAGGTTTGTACAACACATCAGACACAGACTTTCTAGGCACCCTCTTCCAGGCCTGGAGCTCTTCCCTCACTTCCCATGTACTCTGAGCCCATGCTCAGTCTCCACAAGTAACAGAACTGATTGCCACAGCTCAGCTGCACCTTGTGTGCCAACACCTCCCAGGGAAGCTGTGTGGGCAGGTAAACATTTGTTTCCTCCTGCTGCAAGCCCTCTGGTCTAGACTGAGCTGCTGTTTGCTTCAAACAAGAGTCACAAATAGAAATTTAGATAACAATCCCTGGTTATCTAGTGAGTAGCAGCGACCAAGTCACTGGTACTACTCTCCCCCGCTAGGTTTGTGCTGCTATGGCCTCTTTCCTGCACTTACTTCCTCCATCACACAACATTTGCTCATGAAATGCTTACAAATGTCAGCTTCTTGAGTGTGCTTTGCAAACATCAACGACTAAAGAAGGTGAGAGAGCAATTCCAGTCTAAAGAGTTAATAAAATACTCCATGATCTAATCTGGGCCCCTCTATCAAAATCCCTGACTAACCAAATGGCAAACTCAGAGTCAGTCTAGGTTTGAAACTGAATTAAAAAAACTCCAAATATTTCATGCAGCAGCTCAAATTTCTTAGAACCAACCCAAAGCAGTAACTAAGAAAGCCTTCTTCTGCCTTCACAGTGATTTTTCAGAATATTTTAACTTTGAAACTGCTTCAGAGATTTCATTGTGGAAAACTACTTGCAGAGTTTGCCACTTTAACTCTGCTAAGCTACTCAGTCTGGTACTCGTTCTAATTTTAAGTTCTAATTTCATCTGGGCATAGTGTGTACTCCTAGTAAGCAGACATTTAGCTCTTGGTCTACTATCAGCAATATGGATAGAGGCAGGAAAGTTAATAACTGGGCAGGAGCATAAAAACATGATGGATTTACCAGAAAATTTCTATATTGTGACAATTTTCTTCTTGAATCACTACTACTGCCCAGTTTCCACACCAATATGACTTTAAACTGTTTATATAATAAGATTTTTCAACGTATTTCACATGGCTATTGAAAAAAAACATCTTTAAAGCAAAAAATTTGCATTAAAGTCAGTAGGAACAACAACACTGAAACTAAAGAGAATTTCTGCTTTATCATGACACTAGTGATAGTTCAAGTGCAGAGTGTAACTTAGGCTTTCTAAAAGCTTTGTAGCTTCCCATTTCTTAGGGAAGAAACTATACTAATAGAAAAAGGAAAAATATCTTATGGTTGGGCTATGAACATGCTCAAGAATTTGTAAATCTGAGCTTGCTTGAATCTTGACAATTTCATAGGCCCAAGAACAAAGAAATTCACAAACAAAACTCTAGAGCTTTTTTTGATAAAAACATTTCAAACTGCTGTTTTCAGCAGAGCACAGATTTGGGGCAGTTTTTATGGAAATATCTAAATATGGAATTAAATGCCTGAATAGCAGCTAGGTCTTAAATGCACACTGAAGTCAAACCTTTAAGATAAAATACCACATAAGTGTCCTGTGCACTTAACTCATGTGACTTCCCTCATGTAGTTGTTGGCAAGTGCAGGATGGAGCCCGAGACCCAACATCTTGTAAGCATTTTTTCCTACCTCACACTAGGTGAGGTTTTTCTAAAAGTTCAAACCACCATCCCCAAAACAGGCAGAAAAAGAACCTCCTGAAGAGAAATTTCCAGCATGTTGCTGTCCTAGATGGTCTTAAAAGATGGAAAAAAAATCTGGCACACATGCTGCAAACACACTGGTTTAATGACAAGAGACCCATGCTGTCTATAAGTCTCAGAAAAGTATTAATCCATTTTAATGGATACTGAACTCAAGTTTGGAAAATTAATTTAATAAAAAGTACCATCTGTCACACAACAGGGTAAGCCTATCTGTGGACACCTGTTCATTATTATTGCCAAGAAAACCTGAGCTTTTACAAACTGGCAAAGTCTGCTCTGTATAGGCCCCACAAATAATATTAAATTAATATTATTGTAACACTGGCGTTTAGCCCTAAGAGCCTAAGGCAGGAGGGAAGTGTCTTTGGCCAGGGTCCCACACCCACCTGTGTGCTCGCAGTCCTCTCGTGTCCGGGAGCTCCGCCTGGTTATGGACCCGAATCGAGCCTGCGGAGCCCTCACAGGGCCGGGCGGGTCCCGGAGCCCCCCCTCACAGGGCCGGGCGGGTCCCGGAGCCCCCCCCTCACAGCGCCGGGCACCGTCCGGGGCAGCGCTCCGGGGACATCAGCCCGAACGCCCCCCACCTCTGGGGAAAACGCCGCGAAAGCGCTGCGAGGCACCAACGCTTTCTAGGGCGTTTTCCCAGCCGAAATTAAGCGGAGGGGCCACCTGTCCGCCCCAGGGCTGTGGCAGCGGCCGCTCCCCGGCGGACAGTCCCCAAACTCGGCCTCCGAGCGCCAAGGATCAGCCGAGGAAACCGCGGCACAGCCGGTGCGAGGGCGGGCAGAGCTAAAGGGTCAGCGATGACTGCGGAGAAACGGGGTGATGGGGCCGCACCTCCAGCCCGGTGTCCATTTCGAGACGTGCAGAGGAGCTCCTCATTAGACTGATGAACAACAGCTGAGGGAGCTGGGGGGCCTCAGCCTGGAGAAAATAAGTCCCAGGAGGGACCTTCCCTCTTAGCTGCCTGAAAGAGTGGTCTGGCATTGGGAAGCAATTTCAGGGAAGTGCTGCAATCACCATCCCTGAAAGCATTCAGAAAAAACGTCCGTGTGGTGCTTAGGGACATGGCTGAAAGGTGGAGCTGGAGGTTAATGGCTGGATTCAGTGATCTCAGAGGTCTTTTCCAGCCTTAGCGATTCTATTATTCTGTTATCCTAGAGTAAAAATAAAAATCTTAAGCGCTACTTCGTGAACAATAAGAGTATTTTAAGAGGCATGTGCCTGAGTACTACTAGTTTTGTGTTAGTTACAAAGACACAGAGCACTCAGAGTAGCACCAGGAGATGGTACTTCAGAGGCTGTGGGGAGCAAGAGATGGTAATTGCTTTGGGTTTGTTTTTTTTTCCCCCTAATGCTTTTTTTAACCCCTTGCTTCATTCAGATACACTGTGACTTTAAGTCCTAGAGCAGTGTCTGTCATAACCCTGTTAATGTAATGGTCCTCTGGAGCTCACTGAAGCTGCTTTTTGGGGATAATTTTTTGTTACAAAGACAAAGCTACAGTGTGAAGCAAAAAGGCCAACCACAAAAGGACTTTCAAAAGGCCGCCTACTGACTCTTGGTTTACTCTCAGCTTGGGCACAGCTATTTTCAGCACCTCCAGACCACACAACTAGCTGGTCAGACATCAAATTTTCAATTTCTTTAAAAAATAAATTAAAAAACAACAAAAAATGTTAATGGTTATAAGAAGCACTTCCTTTGAAATCAATAGGTTTCACATGCACCTTTTAGTGTCCTGGTTTGAAAAAGTCCTAAGATGCTCATTGGCAAATTTATTTTTATACTGGATTCACACCCAGCATATCATACATGAGAGTATTCATCTCACACAAAACACATTAAAAGTCATCCTAAAGAAAATAAATTGTAATAAATAATTTTAATAAATCATATTGCTGGATCTTATGAAGGAAATAGGAACACAAAAGTTAATTTGCCACAAAATGCATTCACCTGAACTACAAAAACTTTACACCTTTGTCACAGGACTTGCACTTCTTAGTTTTTATGCCAAGGATGACATTGTGTACTCCATTACTGGCCTCCTGCTGCTCAGTTATGAATTATATTATAGCTGTATTATTAACTAGGTTTGAGTAGACCAATCATTTCTTAAAAAAATCCTCCTGGTTAGACTGCCGGAAGTGCTTTCACAAACACTGCAATAAATAGCAGCTTCTTTAAACCACTGAAGTTGCTTAACAACTCCCTCTTGCAGGGGTATCAGCTGCCTTTTACTTGTTTTAACAACTTTTATTTTGGATCCTCTTTGCATGACAAAACAAGTTTTATTTCCTTCTGGCTCAAGCCTCATCAGAATTTGAACATTGTGCAAGTTCTGTCTATTAAAATTAGAAGCCTAATGAAAATAACACCATCAAAGTGTAACAGAAAGCAAAGTCATCCTGGAAAGCTCATGAAAGTGGGTGTAGGGAAGGTTTTACCTGAATCTGTAATGTAAGGCTAGAGGATTTCAGATGGCCTGTGCTGCTTCTTTATGTGAAAACGGCTTGAGTCCATAAAGTCTGCACTGCTCCTTCTGTAGTTTACCTTACCAAGGAAAAACTCTTCATACAACACTCACTACCAAAATAACCCTGAAGTTGCTTAATAAAAATAATAAATATCAATGCATTGAAACAAACTTGTTTCAGTATTAACCTTGCCTTCCTGTACTTTTTGCACCTCACAAAAAATACAACCAAACAAAAATTTAGACATTGAAAGAAAGTAGTGTATTCTCACATGATCAGCAGTGATTCTTTCCTATTGAGTACAATGATATTTGATATATTTTCCTGGTATGTGAACATGGAGCCATATATCTCTATGTTTAGTTGCATTGCAAGTGAAAGTTTTACCCAACAGTTTGAATTGAAAAAATATTTCTAGTACCCGAGTTGCAGGAAAACAACACATTTTCAGTGTGGCTCTCTGTGGGACAGTTGGTCTGCAAGGCAGACAATGCCATTTATCAGAGACTTGGCCCAGCTCTGAAAAATTTCTCCCTGTAACTACTTTTCTTCATTTAACATTTTAGCCATCCGTGTGTTTGGAAACATTCCAAATATTATCATTTTCCAATTACAAGCATTAGATAGGAAAGACACAGATTTTATTTTAAATAGAGTCAGTTTTAAAAACAAACAGTAATTTCAACATAATCAAACACAAAGTGCTTTCACACAAAGCAAGTTATATCCTGCATTTGTTTGTCCAAGGTAGGTTTAACAAAGCAGGTTACTTTGGCACAGTCTGTAGATCATTCCATACACAAGAGAACAAACACAGGCTTTGCATTTAAGGAAACAGCTATAGAAGGGGCAGCAGAAAACTTTGCAGAATGCTGAATTAGAAGGAAGAGCTGCCAACACTGTGTGTCCTATTCTCAATCCATACAAGGAACTTAAAGAGAATCAATGGACTGTGCACATAAATCAAAACATTTCTTTTGGTGTTTTGCATTCTGGTGCCACCACCTCAGATTTTCCAGCCATCACTTTGGAGAGAAAAGGGGAACTAAGGGAATAACAATTGGAAGACTTACCAAATGAATATATGGCAGGATTATCCCGACCAGACTGACAGGGTACTAAAATAATTAAAAATCCTCCCCACCATGCAACCAAATCCCAAGTTTGGAAACACTGCAAGCTTCATTGCTTCTTTCTGTCTTGCTCTAACAATAAACTGGCAAGAATCACATTTTCTGTGACACCCAGTGGGGAATTCTGCTTCCCAGTAAGACACAGGACTTGTTCATGTCACCAAAACAGAAAATTCAATGCAGCATCACCCAAGCCCTTCAAGAACATCGAGAGCACTATGGTGGTGCACCAGCAGACAAAAGCACTTGTTGGTACCACATCATCAAGATGGAAAACTACAAAACTACCAGCTTTTTATCTCCATCATTCTCTTGCCAGTTAGTAGCTGCTGATGTACATTCTTGTTGCACTGTATTAGGAACAGTGAAAGTATGACACAGACTCTCTGGCTTGGTTGCAGAAGAGAGCAAGTTTTATTCTTCCCTATCTTCTTTTATAGACAGGTCCAAGAAGGTCCAAAAAGGTAAAACTCTCATTGGTCATTAAACCAACACATCACCATCACTGGACAGTTAGAAAAAACACCCCTTGACCATTTCTTACAAGTAAACAAGGCGAAAAACAACACCTGCAAAGATTGTCTTCCTTCTCTAAGGACTGTTTGGATTCCTCCTTATATTTCTCAGGCCACACTTTATCAGGCCAGTCTGAGAAAGTTACATGTTGATTCCACACAGACACTGTGCTGCTTTCTCGCATTCAGCATCCATACATTCTTACGGCACGAATAGACCAGAAACCTTTTCCAAATACACAAGGAAACTCTTAAATCACTTGCAGACTGACCCAAAAGCAGCAGCAGTTTAGAAAACATAGTTAAGACAAGGCCTAGAGATTGTACATGATCTACAGAATTACTGGATTTCAAACATAAAGTGTTGGAAGATTCCTGAAAAACTAACTTATACTGAATATTTACAGAAGGCACATTTGGCAAGAACACTAAATGGAGTATTTTTTTTTTTTTTTATTTTAGCTTTTTACATTTACAGATACTAATACAGTGTTACCAACACAGCCTTGTTTAAACACCTGTCTGCCTTTTCTGGACAGGTATCATTTAGGCTGGACATTAGGAAGAAGATTTTTACAGAAAGGGTGATCAGACATTGGAAAAGACTGCCTAGGGAGATGGTGAGGTCACTGGCCTTGGAAGTATTAAGAAAACATTGGGTGTGGTATTCAGCACCACAGTCTGGTTGATAAGGTGGCATTAGGACACAGACTGGACATAAGGATCTCAAAGGCTTTTTTCCAACCCAGCTGATTTTGTGATTTGGATTCTGTGATATGCATCAAAATGTTGTTTGATCAAGTTGCTTATGACACAGAAATCACCTTAACCTTCAGAGCCTCATTCCCTAATTTTTTGTGATTATCATCTTAAATTAGCATATCCAGCTTAAGCTTCTAAAAGCAGAACTTATCTGTCATTTAGTTTAGAAAAATCAGAGAAACTCCTTGACAAACGTTTTACCTTCTTAATGAAGAAACAATAATTAACATGCAGACCAACAACTAAAAGCCCAGGTGATTTATTTATGTGTTTCAGGTGGAATTCAAGCCTTAAGATAAGGCTGAGGTTTGTTTATGATTGATCACCTGATTTACATAAAGGAAGTTTTCCAATGTTCCAACCACAGCCCTCTGGACATTTCCACTGGGGTGAAGAAAACACTACACAGACTTTCAACCACCAGCAGGAAAGCCTCCAGCCTAACAAAAGCCACTGAACAAATATCTCCTATATGAACATCTTTACTTCAGATTAGAGACATGACTAGACTTGAAACTGGCAAGAAAATTCAGATACTAGATTCAATCACTATTTTTGCACAACCTGAGTGGTCCATTTGGAAAAGCAACCTCCAAGAAGTAAAAAGCCTCTAGGTTTGGTTCTCTTCCAACTATAAAAGTTTTAAAATGAATTCTAGTGCTCATGAAAAGATGACAACAAACAATTTCTTTTTTCAAAGAGGGGCACCTGTCTCTGAGGCAGCTCCCTGCAAGTTTGTAAAGAGCGCTGCTGCCGAAGCACAAGCTTAAATAGTCCTCCATACACGTCCTCCTCTTGTTCTGTGCTGAGACTTTATGCAAGTACAATGTGCAACATGTCTGAGACAAGATTAACTGAAGAACATCACCAACCTGTTCTGTATAAAGCAAAAAGAGAAACACTCCATTGCTCTCCACTGGTGCTGGACTGAATGATCCATACAGATTAGGTATGCTTTTTACAGACCTAAGTGAGATTCCTCTCAAGCAAATGCGTATTCAAACCATCTAGCAATAAACATTACTTTTTATTGGTTTCCAGTGACAGGATTCACAGAAAAAACAGGAAGTCTCCATGAAGCTTCAGAGAGGGCTTGTAGAGGTGCGAAACAACTTCATCAATCAATGTTTAATCACTGCCTATAAACGTTTGTAAGAACCGACAAGAGCGCTGCATTTTGGACAGGTGTGATCCACATCCTTTAGGGCATCAATGCAGAAGGGAATTAAGCAGCAGCCTAATACACACCTGCAAAGGCAAAAAAAGAGAAAAACACTGCTTTACCACTTTTTATACATGCAAGAAGGTAAAACGTATTTTGTCCAAAAGCCATGAGTAAAACTGGTGCCATAAGCTTTAGGAAGAACACACATGGCTATGGAGTCCATTACTGTAATGTTCCAGAACTGCTTTAAGGTCCTGTAGGACACAGGTGCAGGCTAATTGGACCATGAAGGCTTAGAAGCAAAGTTACACATTAGAGCTAACAAAAGTCAAGGTAAAAGTTCAAATGGGAGCTGACCTACCCCAGCAGGCAGAGACCACCACATGACAGCCAGGTCAACGCTCCTGAGTCATACGAGAGACGTGTCACTATCACCTGGTTACAGGAAGGGCAGCACATCTGAACCGGGCGGTCATAAAACAGTACTGGCTGCTGCACATACACCGTCTGAACAGTAACTGAGCAGAGAAATGGCTGTTTACTCCATGAGGAACAGGAAAAAAAGAGTAGCAATCAACTTCTCTAAACCAGGTACAACTGAAATATTCAGGGTTCAAAGCAATGAAATACAAAACAGAGAAATCACCATGGCATTTCCTAATGCAGAAATACACTGCCTTAAAAATAAAGCTGCACTAAAAACTGCAGAAAGCCAAATGATGTTATTGATATCAGTGCACACTGAGGGATTCACAAAAATTGATTCACCTTATTCTCTTCAATAGTATTTTTTGGTAGGTGGTGAACACCTGTGAACCAGGATTTTTACCTTCTGACAGCACCTATTATACAGCCACTTGACACCACCTTAACATGAGGTACAGAAGAGTTTTGGAGGCTTACTGGGGTTATTTGCTGGTGGAGGCTGTCCCATGTGTGGGGGAGGGTTCATTCCCTTCCCATCTGGCTTCTGTCCAGGGCCAGGGATGGGAGAGGGGTGAGGATAGTTCATATTGATTGCTACAGCTTCCTCATAAGAAGGTGGTGCTGATGGGACAGGGTTGCCACTTGGTGTAGCCATTATATCTAAAACATAAAAGACAGAAAATCATAACAAAAGGCATTATTTATTATGGGCAATTGACAAATAATTACACTCAACTCAACAGCAAGAAGATAACTAGATTAAAAGGGACTTTTACCACCATAATTTTTTTTTTTTTACACTTTGTCCCAGCACTAATTCTTCCTTTATAAATTAAAAATACCAAAGCAGGGAGGTAGGGCATCTTTATTGGTATACTAAACTATCTGGTAGTCTCTAATTCTTTAAGAACATTATTTCTAATCCCTCTTGTTCACCTGAAAAACTGAACAGTATGATAGACCACATGGTTGTTGCTAACCAACATGAGCCTGGTTTGTGGTGAAGTTTAAATATTTAAAAAATACTATTTACCTCTGCTGTAATTTGAAAGAAGTATTTGTATTGAAGGAAAAAGAAACCCCAACAAGCATGTCCAACTGAACTCAAAGCTTTTACAACTATCAAATATGTCTAAGGTTGCCATTTTTGCTTCTTAGCTACATTTTAATGAATTTGTAGTACAACTTTTCCTCCACCAGTTGTTATTTTGGTGAAGAGGATAGGAATGCGGACCACTGCCAACAAAGGACTGTGGTTTCCATGCAGACTTCCTCTCCTCCTCCCCACCTACTCACTTCCCATAGTCTGCCCACCATTTTCTTCATGGAACAAGGTCTCATGGCACCAGTGCTGACCTAGCATCTCCTTTTTCCCCCTCCTCCTAAGGACCATCAGACAGCTCTCCTAGAGCCACACTCCATTCTGTTGTCATACATATGATCCCTCTGTACACATGCAAGTCTTTTCACTCAGTACTATCTGGGAAAGGCAGCCTGTATTTGGAATATTAATTCTATGGTGCTATGAAAATTACATAGGAGCTCCAATTACCCATAGCACTACTATGAATAAAAGAAGGGAAAGTGTACTGATGCAATTTGCAGATACAAAGGACAACATGCAAAGAGAAAGAATTTCAGGTGTAAGTATCTGTTTAGGGCTGGTGTCACTCCATCCACACAAAGCCTGGGTGAGACCAGCACACAAGTTTCCAACAATGACAGAAGCCTTTCCACTCTCCCAGAGCCATGGAAAAGTCCCTGGAATACTGCTGATTATCTTCCTCACACAACACAGCTTTCATCAGGATTTCAGTGAGGTCTATAAACACTTCTATAAAGAACTTGTCACAACTTTGTTCACTCTTCCAGGTTACACAGGACTAATTGGCAGCACTGGAGGCATGGGGATACACTAGCAAACAACAACATTTATATATTTCAGGAGTCCCACAGTCTTCCCAGCAGATTTAGCAGAAATGTGGAAAGGTGTATTACAAAGGGAATTGTGTAGTCAGTCAAGTGTGGGTTTTATGGCAGCCCCGTGGCCAGGACAAACACAGGAGCTGGTGCAGAACACATGTAGCTGCAGGTGCTGGAGCAGTAATTGTGGTAAGCCTGGGACAAACATTGCTCCTTCCCATCTTTCTCATACTCACACTGCAGTTTTGGCAGAATGAAGAGGGAACAAGACAGCAGTCAAAGATGTTGAAACTCAGTAAGTTTTTATAGCAACAAGTATTTCACAGTTATACTTTTAATAAACACTGATCTGTTTTCTTTAGAAGAGAAAAGTTTTCTCCTTGTGACTAAACAACAGAGCTGAGTCACGATACTGACCCCACTCGGTGCGCTGGTTTTGGCTGGGGGTGCAAAGAAGCCAGGAGGGGACACTGCCAGAACAGCTGACCCCAGCTGACCAAAGGGATATTCCAGACCATAAAAGCATCATGCTCAGCAATAAAACCAGGAAGAAGGTTGTTGGAAGAGAAATACTGCTCAGGGACTGGCTGGGCAACCAGAAGGTTGGTTGGTGGTGAGCAATTGTTCCCATTTGCTTCACTTCCTGGATTGTATTTCCCTCTGTTACTTTCCTTTTCATTACACCTATTAAATTATTACTATTTTGTTATTTTATTTCAATTATGAAACAGTTCATGTCTCAACCCATGAGTTTTCTCACACCCTTCCAGCTTCTTCAGGGGTGCAGTAAGTGAGCAGCTGTGTGGTGCTCATTTGCCAGGTAGGGTTAAACACACAGCTACTTCTGCTGCTCAGCTCTGCTTCACTGACAAGATGAACACCCTTCATAGATTTCAAAATTATCATAACTTCCAGCATGAACACTTCTAGTCTTGATATTTACTTATTTTTAAATTATGCTGCATGTTCATTTCTTACCACCAAGTGGTTTTGAACAACCATTTCAATTTAAACATGATCACTTGTGCTTTTTCTGCACTTTCACTTTTTTTTTTCTTTTCCTGTTGAAAAATTTGAACAGGTCTCAGGTCCTCATAGCACTTTGTGGAATCCCTTTCCTTTTTTTAAAGTTTCAAATCTGTAGCACAAATAACATGTACAAAGTACTACAGTGAATGGTAAAAAACTAAAAACCATGTATAAATTCCTTCAAGTTATCTATCAAAACAAAATTTCCTAATAAACATCAAGATGACATTTGGACTACAAAAAAGCCTCTTCAAAATACTAAGTACTGTAGATGTAACCACAACTTCAGCTTTTCAATTTCATTTCTCTCATGTCCCTTCTGCTTTATATGTCAATTTTGAAGAGGTATTTGAACCATCACTTCATAAAGCCAGTGCAAATGTGCAAGTGTGTTTCACACTCCAAATCTTCAAGATTAGGCTGGGGACAAGAGAAAAAGAAGGTAATAACCCACCTCTCTGCTTGGTATATAAAAAATCAACCAACCAAAAACCTTTTGGTAATTTGTAAGCAGTAAAAACTGCTTACAAATTGCAAACAAATCTGTTGTTGCCCTTCCCTTAGTCTCTTGATGAAATCTGACAAAACTTAATCCTTAAATTAAACAATTCCCACGCAGTCCTCTTCACTAGAAATCCCAAATTGCCCTCCAACACCACGGGTGGTTTAGAGGGCTCCCTGCACATCAGAGTCTAAGACAGCTACCGGTCAGCAACACCGAGAATGAAATACAGGTTGAAGGCTTATTTCTTTTAACAACCCAGCGGGATATACAGGTTTATCAGAGTACTCGGATTTTTGCAGTGCAAAGCACTAACACAACACCTTCTTGGACCATCAACTTCGTCTACATAACAACTTCCTCGGTTACCAACCTGCTGAGAAGTATTATCTCAAAGTTGTTCAAATTTCTCAGGCATTTGTGAGAGAGTAAAATCCAGTAATCACAACAAAAAAGACCGACAAACTATTATTTCAGGAGGAACCAATGGCATTGAGATCACACTGAATTCTATACTGGCAAAGTAGAAATAGTACCGCACCGTGTGTTCTGCTGGCAGGAGAGATTTCAGAGGTTAGTGTCTTACTTTTACCAAGTAATCAATGGTTTCAGAATAATCCTGTGATTATGCCTATGGTGGCTTCCTGTGAGTAACCCCCTCCTCGGGGCAGGGCAGGGCCGGTCCGAGAGGAGCTGCTGCCGCGCGGCTCCTGAGAGCATTCCCTAAGGAACGGGCCACCTTCCGCCTGCCACACTCGGGGAAGCGAAACTCCGGCCTCGCTCGGCCCGCGCCCGCATCACTGAGGGCAGGAACCGTCGGCCACGGCCTCCTGCGGACCGTCCCGGGACCGGGACCGCGCCGCTCGGGACACCGCTGGCCCACAACGCCCCAACCTGCTCCCGGTGTTCATGGGGCTCCTGCGGGGCAGAACCGGCCCCCGAGCCGCGGCCGGGCCGGAGCATTGGAGCACTGGGAGCGGCCCGGGGAGGGCAGCGCTCGGGCCCGGCAGCAAAGCCCCCCCCGCCGCCCCGCTCTACCCTGCCCGCTGCCCCGCCAGGCTCCGGGCTGAGCGGCACAGCCCTTACCGTGCCGAGCCGTGCCCACCAGCCCTCTTCTCCGCTTCTCTCCGCTCGCCCGGGTGCAGCCACCGTCAGCAGGGTTTGTCCCGTCCCGTCCCCACCCGCGTTTCCTCCTCCCCTTCCCCCTAGAGCCGCGAGCAGGCGCCGCGGGGGTTGCTCGGGAGGGCGCTAAGCTGGCCCCGTCCAGGCCCTGCTCCGGGAGCAGCCTCGGCCGCTCCCCCAGACCCACCGGCTCCCGGCAGCGGCGCGGCTGGGCCGGACGGGACGGGAAGTGGGGTAAGCCTGTGGCAGTACAGGCACTCCTGACGCATTTCGCAGTCACGGCGATCGGGAACTCTGCGGCTTTCGCCAAGAGCTCGCTCAGATTAAACTAGTAATCTTCAACTTTCCCGTCAGCTTCGCTGCCAAGCATCATGTTCTGTAACACTGCAGGGAAATCACTTCTCTAATTCTACAATACCCTTTATATTTCCAGATCGGGTATTTCAGACAAAATACAAGAACACATAAAATGATCAACAAAACTTTCAAGTACAAGATTCGGTGAGTTTAGGTAGGTGCCTTTACAAGCAATTGAATTGGATTCACTCTTTGGAAAGCACAAGTGTATGTCACTCTCTGTCCAGCTCTGACATAACACAAAAGTGAATCATGGACAGATCTCTAAACGGACTTCAAAAGGGACTGCTTCACACACTGGTTTGTGTGAATCTACCTTAGACTGAAGGGACTTGATAGCCCTTGTGGGTTATCATCAGGGACATTCATAAAGCCTTTTGGCTGAAAGCATCCATTAAATCCATTAAAGTCCTGTTTTTGTATTTAAATATTTTCTTGAACCTTGCCCTAAAGAACACACATAAAGCTTCAATTCAAACCCGTCCTGGAGCAAGGAGTCAGGTTTTACAGGATGAAAGGAGCTCTTACCCAAAGTGATGATAAACCCAACATGAAGCTCTGCAATCTCAGTAATCTACTGAATCACCTGCAAGTATGGGTGCTTGGGGATATCATCAGATGTTGAGAGTACTGAGGACATGAATACTCCAGACCCCCGATTTGGGGGTAACAGGGAGAGGAGTGTGGAGTGTGATTCATTAGCACTGAGATTAGAACTAGACTTAGAGGTGAATCAATTTATACCATTATTAAGAAATCACATTATGCATTGTTCTTCTCAGAAGCAGAACATGAGTAATTTGGGCTTTGGTGCCCTGGATTAACTAAAATTGGAATAATTGTTCTCTTACTGAATCCCCTTCCCTAGGTGGCCATGAGCAGCTTAGGAGCCACAGAAGAGAGAAGCCATGACTGAACACATCTCCCAGGGTAAAATCAGGCATGACCTTCAACTGAAAGACTTCTTACTCCAGCTGCCATGCTCTCTCATGTGTTGTGTTTTGCATCACATGAGATGTGATGCTGGCTTCTGTTCCTCCTTGGGGACCCCAATAACATTTCTCCTTTTTGCCTGACTACTGTTTCCACCAAATGTCCAAGTAGGTTAGATATTGGCATGGATACTGGTATGTGACTATTTCATCTCACTGTTCATCTTCCTTCTAACCCTGCTCACCATTTGCTAATTCTGCCTTTCCAGTCCTTTAGCTGGATGTGTGAAAGAAGCATCAGCTTTAGCCAGTCTGTGACTGACCAGGTGACCACAGCACCTGTGAGCATGTGGAAAATTACACAGAAGTCACAATTAATGGAACGTTGTATAGTGGCCAGTGGAACAAATTGGCCCAATCCAGGCAATGAGCCCTGTGGCCACAGAAAGTATCAAACTGTAACACTTTTCTCAGGAATATGTATATCCTTGCTAATAAATACTTGTCCCACCTTGAGCCAAGCATTCACCTTAGGCAGAATTATCCTGTCCATCAGGTACCATAAAAAGTAATGCCTACTTCTCATTGGTGTTAAGGAGTTTTATTCCTGATTCTCAGTGACAAGCTTGTGGAAAATTGCCAGCTTTGCTACAGAGAATTGATGAGTCTGGTTGAGCAAGGACATGAGTTGAGGCACTTGCTTATATTACACCTGACTTGAGTGAGGCTTAAGCATGGTGTCTGGGATGCAGTGTAGGCTCCCAGCCCAGTGTCTCAGTGAAGTAGAGAGTGTGCTCACACATCCGTATGGAGACAGGGCCTCAGCCCCCTTATCCACATACACTAACTATTAGAAGTAGAAATCTGGTCCTGTGAGATGTGTGGCCAGCAGACCAAGGAAGGGGATTCTGTCTGCTCCACTCTCATGAAACTCCACCTGCAGGGCTGCATCCATGGCCCTCAATGTAACAAGGGCATGGAGCTGCTGAAGCAAATCCAGAGATGGCCATGAAGATGTGCCAAGGGCTGCAGCACCTCTGCTATGGAGACAGGCTGGGAGAGCTGGAGTTGTTCAGCCTGGAGAAAAGAAGGCTCCAGAGTGACCTTACTGCTCCTTTCAGTACTTGAAGGGGGCCTGTAAGAAAATTTGAGACAAACTTTAACAGGGCCTGTTGCAAAAGGAAAAGATATGATGGTTTTAAACTGAAGGAGGGGTCGATTTAGATTAGATTAGATGTAAAAAAGGAGGCTTTTACAATATGGGTGATAAACCATTGTCACAGTTTTCCCAGAAAGGTGGTGGATGTCCCGGAAAACATTCAAGACCAGGTTGGACAGGGCTCTGAGCAACCTGGTCTACTGAAAGGTGTCTCTGCTCATTGCAGAGATTATAAATAAATGATATTTAAATTATATTTAAAGGTCCCTTCCAACCCAGACTGTTCTATGTTTCTGTGATGAAGATGTGCAGTTGTAAAATGTTGATGGGAGTAAAGATGATCAAGCAAAGGTCAGATCGCCTTTACTGCTGCCTCTGCCGAGTGGAGGAGGAAGCAATACTGAAGAATCATGGTTCTGTTCTGCCTTTGATTCAACCATTAATCCTAACTCAGCCTGACCAAAGGTAACTGAAATCCTCATTATCCCTCATTTACATGTACATTTACATATGAAACATACACCAACATGCAACTGAGAAAGTGCCTTCTTCCCCACTGTCTAAGATGGAAGTAACAAGTAACCAATTATATTTGACTACAGTCTCACCTCCATTTATCTGAAAATATAAAACTGATGTTTGGAATCCTCCATGTAGAGGATGAGAATATTACCCCATTTCATACATGGGTTTGCTCCTCTCTCCTCCCCAAAGGAGAGATGCCTCTTTAGTAAGTTTGGTGTCTCTGTGTCAGACCATACCTGGGTCAAACCAAGCTTAATTAACTGTGAAGCGTAACAAAAACCAGATTTTTTAATTTAGCTTGAAGCTAACTTAGCTTAATTAACCATTGGCTGGTGCTAATGCAGTAACAGTATTTATCAACAGCAATTCCAAATCTGTATTCCTGTTGCTTCAATAAGTAGCACTATTTGTCAGTCTTTGATTGTGGATGTTCTTATTAAACACAACCAGACTACAGTGCCAAATTGATAATAACCAGAGATTAAGGCCAGCTGCATTCAGTCCCTCAGATTTCCAACCCAAGTGGGGTTATTTTGTGCCAGATTTCATACTCCAATGGAAGAGAGCTGCAGCCCAACAACCTTCCTGGGTTAGGCCCCAGGAAACCCACACAGTTTCTGCGGAGCTGCCGCCTGTGTGTTGGCACCCACAGAAGTTCTGTTCCTGTAGCAGACCAGGTGACTGGGTGAGGACACAGCCAGCGCCAGCTCAAGGCATGCACGAGGAAACACGGCTAGAAACTGATAGAGCGTTTTATCTCCCCGCCCTTCCCCATGAGCTGTGTACCTGAAGATTATAAACATAACTAGTTTTTTAAAAACCATAAGAAAAAAGCCGGACACACAAATACAGCAGGATGTAACCACAAGAGCCCTGCTCTGTCCCCAGTCCCGTGGTATGGTGTGATCAGCAGCCCCACCTGCTCTATTCACTGTTCAGCTTCTCTCTGCTTTACTGAGTCACCACCAGGGCTGCTAACAGCACCGTGGAAATGTACACAGAATACAGTGGATACTTTGTCATCACACTGATTGCACACACGCTATTGCAGAACACCAGCAGATGTCAGTTTAGCCCCAAAAATAATTGCATGCTGGATTTACTAGCCTTTCTTCTTACAGCAGTAAGTTGATATACGTTTAAAAGCCTGTTAGCCATATTTTACATATTGTAATATGTTCTCAATAATGTGTAAAATAAGTAAACCTTAATCTCACCATTGATTTCTTCTGCCCGGAAATCACAGGACTTGCACACATACAAAATAAATATTTTTTAATGTGTGTATGTAATTTTGCGTATACTGATTTGTTGAAGCTAGATAAGAATTTCTATGGCTTTTAATCATTTCAGCAATACTAGATACTTAAGGAGTTGTACCAGAATGCAGTTTCAGGCCAATAGTCAATGTACAAAGACAGATTTAAAGAGAAGGAAGGTTGATTCATTAAGCCAAATAATCTGAAACAATGTATGGTTTTTTCTTCGCTGCTGCAATGGCTGATTCAAATTGCTAAGCAAACAGAACAAAAACTCCAATACAATTTCAACAGTTAGTACAATTATACAAGTGTTGAAGTTCACATGAGAAGCCTCAAAGATGACAAGATCCCACATTTCAGTGTAAAATGCATGTTCACATTGCTGAGGTGTCCTCAAAGCACTGGTGGTACTGGTGCAGGATGAATTAATTTAAATTACCACATGGTCACCTCCAACCCTGTTGGGCAGAGGAGCAATAGCTAAAGGAACCACTTGAGCTTAGGGGTTTCGTTGAGCACAGAGTTTAAGGGTTTCATCAGCTTCCAGACCCACTCTCTGGTAACTTCAGCACGTTCCAATTGTACTATGCAGACAGTACAGTTTCATCCTCTAGACTGCTTCTGCAATAATTAAAACTAAGTACAACCATAATATACTTCCTCTCCTGTATTATTACTGCAAAACTCCTGATCACAAAATACTTCAGAGCTAACTACGCAATCATTAACAGCTTGCAGGGGTAACAGTGCTGTATTGTTTCTGCTTGAGTGAGCTCTGTTCAATATAACCAACTCTACCAACATGTGCTGATGTCAAACAGCCTGACATTAGAGGTACCAAATTCATGGGAAAGTGTGGTGCAGTTTGCTTGTGTGAACGAGAGCAGCCTGGGGACAAAACTGCCAGGAGATGACTTACCTTGAATGCTAGTTTCCACACATTAGCTTAATAAAAAAACAAACA